TTTGGCGGATCCATTTGTGGTTTCAGGGTGGGCGAGAAAGGAGTTGGGTGCACTTGAATCAGTGACGGTAACCTGTAGTGGACTTGTGATATTTGTTTGTATTTCTTCTGATCAGAGGGAGCAGGCACTCCGGGTCACGCAACTTGGGTCAAGATCTGTTTCTTGCTTTGCTCTTAGGAACAGGGCACCATTGAAATGAGTGATTTCTGGGGTAGTGTTAAGTGTGGAGCTGGAGCAATTGAAGTTGAAGATTCCTGGTGTTTGTGACACACACCGTTTGGTGCGTCGCAGACCCGGTGGGGAGCATGGTGAAACAGAGGAGTCACTGTCAGTCTTTTTGAGTTTTGAGTCAGTCTCTACCCGACAAAGTAATGTTAGGATATACAGTGGGGAAAAAAAGTATTTAGTCAGCCACCAATTGTGCAAGTTCTCCCACTTAAAAAGATGAGAGAGGCCTGTCATTTTCATCATAGGTACACGTCAACTATGACAGACAAATTGAGAAAAAAAAATCCAGAAAATCACATTGTAGGATTTTTTATGAATTTATTTGCAAATTATGGTGGAAAATAAGTATTTGGTCACCTACAAACAAGCAAGATTTCTGGCTCTCACAGACCTGTAACTTCTTCTTTAAGAGGCTCCTCTGTCCTCCACTCGTTACCTGTATTAATGGCACCTGTTTGAACTTGTTATCAGTATAAAAGACACCTGTCCACAACCTCAAACAGTCACACTCCAAACTCCACTATGGTCAAGACCAAAGAGCTGTCAAAGGACACCAGAAACAAAATTGTAGACCTGCACCAGGCTGGGAAGACTGAATCTGCAATAGGTAAGCAGCTTGGTTTGAAGAAATCAACTGTGGGAGCAATAATTAGGAAATGGAAGACATACAAGACCACTGATAATCTCCCTCGATCTGGGGCTCCACGCAAGATCTCACCCCGTGGGGTCAAAATGATCACAAGAACGGTGAGCAAAAATCCCAGAACCACACGGGGGGACCTAGTGAATGACCTGCAGAGAGCTGGGACCAAAGTAACAAAGCCTACCATCAGTAACACACTACTCCGCCAGGGACTCAAATCCTGCATTGCCAGACGTGTCCCCCTGCTTAAGCCAGTACATGTCCAGGCCCGTCTGAAGTTTGCTAGAGTGCATTTGGATGATCCAGAAGAGGATTGGGAGAATGTCATATGGTCAGATGAAACCAAAATATAACTTTTTGGTAAAAACTCAACTCATCGTGTTTGGAGGACAAAGAATGCTGAGTTGCATCCAAAGAACACCATACCTACTGTGAAGCATGGCGGTGGAAACTTCATGCTTTGGGGCTGTTTTTCTGCAAAGGGACCAGGACGACTGATCCGTGTAAAGGAAAGAATGAATGGGGCCATGTATCGTGAGATTTTGAGTGAAAACCTCCTTCCATCAGCAAGGGCATTGAAGATGAAACGTGGCTGGGTCTTTCAGCATGACAATGATCCCAAACACACCGCCCGGGCAACAAAGGAGTGGCTTCGTAAGAAGCATTTCAAGGTCCTGGAGTGGCCTAGCCAGTCTCCAGATCTCAACCCCATAGAAAATCTTTGGAGGGAGTTGAAAGTCCGTGTTGCCCAGCGACAGCCCCAAAACATCACTGCTCTAGAGGAGATCTGCATGGAGGAATGGGCCAAAATACCAGCAACAGTGTGTGAAAACCTTGTGAAGACTTACAGAAAACGTTTGACCTGTGTCATTGCCAATAAGGGGTATATAACAAAGTATTGAGAAACTTTTGTTATTGACCAAATACTTATTTTCCACCATTATTTGTAAATAAATTCATAAAAAATCCTACAATGTGATTTTCTGGATTTTTTTTTCTCATTTTGTCTGTCATAGTTGACATGTACCTATGATGAAAATTACAGGCCTCTCTCATCTTTTTAAGTGGGAGAACTTGCACAATTGGTGGCTGACTAAATACTTTTTTTCCCCACTGTATCAGTTATCCTGTTAGAGCTTTTGTGCCGAATCCACTTCATTGTTTTAGGTGCAACGTTTATGGTCATGTTGCAACAGTGTGTAAGAGGGAGATTCCAAGATGTGGGAAGAGTGCAGAAGGGCATAGGACAGAGGATTGTGTCATTTCAGTGGATAAAGTTGTGTGTCAACTGTAGGGGTGCCCATGTTGCTGGGGATCGGAAGTGTCCAGTTCGAGAGAGGCAGGTTGAAGTGGCCAGAGTCAGAGTAGTGCAGTGCAGAAGGTGTCGTATGCTGAGGCAGTGAAGAAAGTAGAGGAGGATGGGTCAAGAGTGAGGGATTCCGAGAGTAGTAGTAGATTTGTGCCAGCACAGAGGGATAGGCCAACGAGTGATTTATGCTTCAGTAAGGTTGGCTTTTTAGCATTCATAGGAATGGTTATCCTGTACCACAGAAATGGAACGTAAATCACAGAAAATAAATGTTGTGGTGGCTGCTGCAGAGAAATATTTGGGTATATGAGATTTGACTTCAGAAGAGTTACAGGGTGTGTTGAGTGGTGGTGTTGCATCCTCCCAGGCCGTTGGCATGGTGCAGGAACAGATAGGGTCAAAATAGTGGAATGGGGTAGTGGGTTTTTATTGAGTGTAGGTGGCAGCTGCAGAGAAGTACCTGTGTGTACGAGATTTTACTGCAGAATATTTTTTTGGGATTTTTATTGAATAATAGTATTTAGGTGTAGGGTTGGTTGGTGGTGCAATTATATTTTTTTGTATCACAAATGTAACATGATTGAACACACTACCGCACAGTAGGTGGCGGCATGCACAAACTAAATGTGCGAACACCATGATAAAAATAAAAAAAAATACCAAAAAAGAAGGAGAAGCGGATTTTTGCTGGCTAATGATCTTGTACAGTTCGCTGAGTGCCGCCTTAGTGTTTGCTTGTGATGGTATGTACACAGCTGTGATGATGATAATAACACACGTGAATTCCCTCTGCATATAGTGGGGTCGGCATCAGGAACTCCAGGTCGGATCAATCAATCAATCAATTTTATTTTATATAGCCCTTCTTACATCAGCTAATATCTCGAAGTGCTGTACAGAAACCCAGCCTAAAATGAACAGGAGCGATGTTTTCAACTTCGGTACATCAGGAATTGTTTATGAGGAAACATACCCCTCCCCTCGACTCTTACCAGAAGCCGCTGTTAGATCCATTCGGAATATGGTGAAGCCGTACGGTTGAATAGCAGAGTCGAGTGTATTGTCCTTAAGCCACGTCTCAGTAAAAACAAAGACACAGCATTCCCTGATGTCCCTCTGCAATTTAAGCCTTGCTATGGTCAGATCACATGAAAATAGAGCTCTTTGGCCATGCACACCAGTGGTGGGTTTAGCCTTTAAAAACAGAAGCATATGCAGAAAAATACCTCATACCTACAGTAAAATATGGTGGTGGATCTTTGATGTTACAGGGCTATTTTGCTTCCACTGATCCTGAGCCAGAGAGTATTGAAAACATGGTTATTGGCATGGGTCTCCAGATCCTCAAAAAGTTATACAGCTGCAACATCGAGAGCATCCTGACCGCTTGCATCACCGCCTGGTATGGCAACTGCTCGGCATCTGACCGTAAGGCGCTACAGAGGGTATTGCGTACGGCCCAGTACATCACTGGGGCCAAGCTTCCTGCCATCCAGGACCTATATACTAGGCGGTGTCAGAGGAAGGCCCAAAAAATTGTCAAAGACTCCAGTCACCCAAGTCATAGACTGTTCTCTCTGCTACCGCACGGCAAGCGGTACCGGAGCGCCAATTCTAGGTCCAAAAGGCTCCTTCACAGCTTCTACCCCCAAGCCATAAGACTGCTGAACAATTAATCAAATGGCCACCCGGACTATTTAAATTGACACCCCACCCCATTGTTGGTTAAGGGCTCGTAAGTAAGCATTTCACGGTAAGGTCTACACCTGTTGTATTCGGCGCATGTGACAAATAAAATTTGATTTGATTTGAATAATTTTGACCCCTATTTTTGTATTACTTGTTAAACAAAATATTTTTTTTCTGAGCAATTGTATTTGTATAAAATAATATATACTGAACAAAAATATAAACGCAACATGTAAAGTGTTGGTCCCATGTTTCATGAGCTGAAATAAAAGACCCCAGAAATGTTCCATACGCACAAAAAGCTTATTTCTCTCAAATTTGGTGCACAAACTAGTTTACATCCCTGTTAGTAAGCATTTCTCCTTTGCCAAGATAATCCATCAACCTGACAGGTGTGGCATATCAAGAAGATTATTAAACAGCATGATCATTACACAGTTGCACCTTGTGCTGGGGACGATAAAAGTTTTGTCACACAACACAATGCCACAGATGTCTGAAGTTTTAAGGGAGCGTGCAATTGGCATGCTGACTGCAGGAATATCCACCACAGCTGTTGCCAGAGAATTTAATGTTAATTTCTCTACCATAAGCTCTACCAACGTCGTTTTAGAGAATTTGGCAGTACGTCCAACCGGCCTCACAACCGCAGACTATGTGTAACCACGCCAGCACAGGACTTCCACATCCGGCTTCTTCACCTGCGGGATCGTCTGAGACCAGCCACCCAGACTGCTGATGAAACTGAGGTGTATTTCTGTCTGTAATAAATCCCTTTTGTGGGAAAAAAAACTAATTATGTTTGGCTGGGCCTCCCCAGGCTGAGCCCCTGCCCAGTCATGTGAAATCCATAGATTAGGGCCAAATGAATTGATTTCAATTGACTGATTTCCTTATATGAACTGTAACTCAGCAAAATCGTTGAAATTGTTGCATTTATATTTTTGTTCAGTTTAGTATTTGAACCCAGGTCTGGACCACTCTACCCAATGTTTAACCATTTGTTCATAAATCTTTTCAAAGATGCACTATGCAACATTTATAACCTTTTTTCAGTTTCTTCAATATAGCTGACAAAACAACAGCTTGCTGACATGTCTGAGGATCATCAAGTTTTTATCTGACCGACTGATGCAGATTATCATCCCAATCCTTTACGAATTACTGGGCATCCAAGATGCTGTCACCTCTCCATTGCCACATAGATTTCTTACTACATCAGTCACAAGCCTGGTGGAAGATGAGGCTAACACCAAGTCCTGTGTGAGATTTAATGAGGCTGGGGTACCTAAGAGGAGAGGCAGTGGAAAGTCTTCCACTAGCTATCGACTCCCGACTCCTTACCCTTACTCCAAGTGTATGAAGCAAGAAGAGGAAGAAGAGCAGGAATCAACTATTGAAGTACAGGGAGATTTACCTGACTATGGAGATGCGCAGACCGGGCAGCGGTGGAAGCTACGTGCCCATGCCGGCCATGAGGTATGTTCCTAACCATTCTTCAATGCTGCCTTGTATTTATGATTATGTCCTAAAACAGTATTTCATGTCTATAGCAATTTAGATTTCTGAGAGGATAGACATACTGTATTTGACACAGAAGCAGTTAGGTTGGGATCACACTAAAACATTTTTTAAAGTGGCAGCAGCTTTTCCCCTGTTGTTTTCAATGGTGCAGATGTGTTTTTAGGTCTCTGAGGACACCCTCGTCACTTGTGTGCAGGACAGCCTGCATCGGTCTCTCTTCAAACTTGCATGCATGTCCGATTCTCCATCTGGAAGCGCAGGCTCTCCGAAGATAACCCCTTGTTTAATGGCAGATGTGGCTGAAGATGTCATGTCGAACGTATCAGTGATCATTAAGAGTGCCTCTGCAAGCCAAACCTCTCTAGTGACACCTGTAAGAAGGTGACTGAGGGCATGGTGAGAGAGCTCGCAGCTAAATGTGAAAAAGTTGACCAAGAGAGCAAGAGTCTTACAGGGCAAGTCATGACCACCATCTCTGGTGTCAGGATTTGCTTGAAGATCTGACGGAGAAGATCACGTTTTTGGCGTCGCATTGTGGCTCTGTTGACGATCTTGATGCCCTGATAAGGAAATATTAGTGAAGCAGGTTCCTCCTGTACGCTCACCTCTAAGAGCATCCAAAAACTCTCCAGCCAGGAGTTTTAAACATCCGCAATGCAAGCAGTGAGTAGAGTTCTTGACAAAAAACGTTAGTAGTTCGAGCTTTCCCAATTGTCGTTCAGCCCGAGTTAACAGGTGCTGTATCAAGTCAGACAATGTCTGACATTGTAAAGACAGTCTGCTCTATCTATCGTCCAATCAATTCACCCTGTGGGCTCAGCAGCATCAGTAGTTGTTAAAGGGGAACTGAACCCGCTGATTTGGCTTTGTTATTTGGCTTGCTCCTCAAGAAATGATGGCGGCCATGATTTGATGTGGGTGTTTCTTGGTTGTGTCCTTGCCACCACCAAGACACACCCATCTGTCAGAACCTTGCCCGCAGCGGTTTCCCTCCCTCAATCACAACAAACAAACCTCCTGCAGGTTGAATTCAATAACTACAGGCAGATGTATGGTGAGATGCAAGAGGAAGCTCTGAATAGGTCAGTAGCCTACAGATCACAGGAGGTTGGTGGCACATTAATTGGGGAGAACAGGCTCGTGGTAATAACTGGAGCGGTAACAAATATATCAAAGACATGCATTCCAGGTGTTCGATGCCATTCCATTTGCTCTGTTCTGGCCATTATTATGAGCCGTTCTCCCCTCAGCAGCCTCCTATGCTACAGAGTTATATGAGAATGCAATTGCTGAATTTATGTAGATTTTCTAAACTAAGTGTTTTGATAACTTTCAAATGTAGTAACAGGTCCATGTAGAATAAAGAACCCTTTACATAATACCATAGAAGCAGTGTTCTGCTAATATAACAATGTGCACCTTTCAACTTTCATTGTCATTCCCATCCAATACAGATACTGTGCCTATCTGCATTTTGTCACGTGGTAATGGGGCTACCTTGGCAAACATGCCAGAGTGGTCATACCTTCCTGTGTGGGGTCCCGTATACAACAGGAGTTCTCTGATCCTGGTGCAGAATACACAGGGTTTCACCCTCCCCATATTGACTGATACCAAGGGTTGTAACCGGTTCAGGGAACAGAACCAAAAACTGGAAAATAACTAAATTATTTGAACCCGAACCGAAAACTAAAGTGATCTATACTGTTCTGGAACAGAACTGTTATTTTAAAAGCATGGGAACCGGTTAATAACGTTATTTTACGTTCCAGGCATTATTTTCCAGTCCCACAAAAATCGTAACAAAGCGTTGCAAAGCCCTCACTCTGTCACTCAGAAACTTATTCCAGCTTCTGCCTGCCAGCAGGAAATCTTTGCCAGTAGTTTGAGCTTTCCCAGTTCAGTCATTCAGCCCGAGTTAACAGGCGTTGTATCAAGTCAGACAATGTCAGACAGTTAAGGCTTTTGTAACATAATTTATATGAAGTGCTTAGCTCTGTCCAGAGAGAGTCCCCAACAGAAGAGTGTCTGGTCTGCCGCTGTTCACACCTATCACAGCATCCAAAACAAATTGAATAATTATTTCAGTAAGCTGCAGATTTGACCTCACCACAAATTCTTTGTGTAAGGAGACAGTTCCTCTTCCATGGTTGGACATGAACTAGAGTTAGCCTCAGTTGCCAGAGTCCGCTAATGAAGTTACTCTATGAGGGGCCTAAGTGAGAGCTCTAAACTTCTTTGGGCACAAACTGAAAACAAGCTCCTTCTGGCAACTTGCACCAAATAAGTTATTCTCACTGCTTCTGGTTTTGTACAACACTGAGGTGTCAGATGTTGACCATCCCTCCACTGTTGGAGAAAAATAGTCAGACGTCTCTATTGAGAGAAAACAATTTTAGAAGGTAGAGAGATTTGGGGATATCTCCCATTCTAGGGCCCCCAGTTTGTGAGTTCCCCTCTCAAATTGAGGACATCATCGACAGTAAGGCCACAGCCTCTTCGACCAGTCTGTCTGATTGCATGAAAAAAACTAAAGTGAGGAATTCAAGAGAAACGCCACTCAAGCAGTGAGTGAGTTCCTAGTTAATAAGTCCACCAGTAGCTTAACTAGTGCACAGCCTGTTTATTTTGTAGAGGCATCCATCTCTGGTTCCATTCAAAACCTGTGCACCTTGTCAAATGATATTTTTGCTGACCAGCTAGGTTTCCATTCAATTGGCGATTAGATTTTCATGGAAATATTCTAAAATCTGCATAAAAACAATATGCGCATTTTCCCACCAGAGATGTTTCCATCCAATTGAATTGTTGCGGATAAAAGGCTGTCTGTGATGACATAGTGCACATATAAAGAACTTCTGCAGTTAAAGTTCTGGACAAAATTATTTTTATTTGTCAAACCGCAGCCAAGCATCGATCATCATGTCACCAGAAGAAGACCCTAGATATTTATTGGAAAGGAGCATCAAGCTCATTATCATGCACTTTCACCACCCTGTGAAGTTCATCATAACCTATTTCATCTGTAGCCTAATAAACTGCATGCTTTCCCGATGGTGGGAGGACCACACAACACATCATCGCGTGACTCACAAGTTTACTTCGATATGATGGTTATTACTGTATATCAATATTTGCGCATAAAGGCGTTTCCACCGCCATTTCTCGCATAATACATTTTACAGACACAAAAAGATCCCACCTTGTCTAGCGTATTTGGTTTTGTCAACATTTGGAAAGTTTACAAACAAATTTGCTGTTTCCATCAGGCCTATCGTGACATTTTTTTTATCCGACATGCACTTTACTCACATAAAAAGGTTGGATGGAAACCTGGTTAGTGACACACTTGTGGAAGCCCTGCAAAACATGGCACAACCCTCAGAGGTATAGTTGAAAGACCCTGACCTTTTGGAAAAAGCACAAAAGCTAGAGGGCAGGATTGGGTCTGCTACCACTAGTTTATATAACAGCATCAAGAAGACAAAGGACTTCACCATTCACCAGAAGAGGTCAGACATGCATAGCAGAATGTCCAGTCATTCACCCACAGAGGACTCGAAGGTCTTGGGACTGAGGAGTACCTTTGTTTGACAAGCCAGGACTTGAGGCAAGCTAGTAAGAGGGTCATTCTACAGATTCGGTGACATTTCAGTATTGTCAGTGTCCCAAGATGTACTAGTGTTATAACTTGTCAGAACATTTATCAAACTACACTTAAATTACAACATTTCAAAGTTTTACATGTTTTTAATATGGAGTAGAGAATATGATTTTAAACAGAGATGAATTTCAATACTTATATGTTTGCTTTTCTTGGGAGTATTAAGAATTTCGCCTGTCCCTATTGACCATCATGCAAATGGCGTGACTCATTTTGAGTACACAGTTTTAAATAATAATGCTTTTTTTTTGTTAAATTAATTGTATATGCCCCCTTATTATGCATCATCCATTTTCTCAGCATAAGACATTTTATTTTCTGAGAAATTCAGGCTTTTACCCCTGTCCTTGTATTTCTTTCAACCCCGTAACGCAACAATACCCCCACTCACAATTAAATAATGGTTTGATCCTGTGGACATCATTTATGAGGAAGTGACATCATACAAGTCTTCAGAGAAGCCTGGTGTGACAAGTGGTAAACTGCTCTCTCACTTTTTATAAATATTTCATGTTTTTTTAAGCACATATGGGCTTTGTCAATCTCAGGTATTCAACTCTGTTGGGGGGGGGGAATTCATAGTTAAGATTTTACCAATAATTGTTTTTATAGCTATGAAGTATAACAATGTCTTTTGTTGAATAAGGCCATGTGGCACACTGCTAGCTGCTAGCATCCCGAATTAGCAACAGATTAGCACAAAATCTTCAACCCTGTCACATTCAACCCCATCACATTTTTCAATGTTACGGGGTTGAATGGCTGTTACAGGTTTGAATAGCTGTTAAATCTTAGCAATATTTAATGTATATTGCTTAATACCAATCATATTTTCTTGTTGAATGTTTGTTGTTTACGGTTTTACAGTATCAACTAAAAGTACGAGGAATTTTTGAAAATAATAACTTTAAAAAAGTGACAATTAATTTGTTCTCTCTCCTATATACATTGACATATTTAGGAGTATTATCTGCAAGTTCATGTTCATTTTACTACATAGTGATTAAAAGGATACAATATTTAGTCTTGAAGAGTAAGCAGGTCATTGACTTGACCTTGACCTACAATTTCAGATTCAACAATGGAAAAAACAGCAGCAGAAAGGAAACACACATAGAGAGGAAGGTGAGGGACATCCGCGCGCCGGTGGTCAGGTAATTCTCCTGGAAATGTAAGATCTTTAAGACACGAGGTGGTGGTGGTCATGGACACACAATCAACAAAAAATAAAGTTTTGTTGCTTTAAAGCATAATTTGGTAATGCATAAAAAGACTAGAGAATGTAAATGAAGACTAGTCTAAAAAGACATACAGTATACTGCCTTGGCAACTGGTGCGTGAGGGGTTCATGTTCACTAGCCGACTGGTTTGTACTGACATATTTAGGAGTATTATCTGCAAGTTCACGTTCATTTTACTACATAGTGATTAAAAGGATACAGTAATTAGTTTTGGAGAGTAAACTGGTCATTGACTTGACCTTGACCTACAATTTCAGATTCAACAATGGCAAAAACAGCAGCAGAAAGGCAAAGATTTGCCAGTAGTTCCATCCACAATGCGGATCCACCAAGTTGTTTGTGTGGCTGCAAGGCAAATTGCCTACCGTGATGTAAGCTGTATGTGCACAGTCCACAACAAGAAACTGGAATGCCAGTGTTTCAATACACAACATTTCACATTTACCCCTAAAGTTACATCAGTCGTGTCACAGAGGGAGGTTGATTGGGCAAATCCAGACATATGCGGGAAATGGTGCGTGGCCAAATATGATGACGATTTCTATCCCGGAATAATTCTAGCCACAGATGAATCCCATGTGCAGGTCAAATGCATGTGCTGTGCTGGACCAAATAGGTACTTCTGGCCACTTCTTGATGATATCCTGTGGTATCCATTTGAGGAAATCTTGGAACACATTGATCCCCCTAAACCGGTGACTTCTAGGCACATGGAAATACAGAAGGAAGTGTGGGCTAGGCTCTCTCAGTAAAAATGGTGAACAAACTGTAGGCTTACCTATAGGTTATTAATGTTAAGATGTTTGCTTAATGTTCAAACATTCAAACAACACAGACATTCCTGCCATTACTCTGGATATTTCTATGAAATCAATGAAATGTTGTAACTGTTGTTAGTTTATTAATGTGTTTTAATCTGTCTAGATTTCATCTTGATTGTTTAAACTTTAAAAGCTATGTTGACAGTAGTTTAAAATGTTAAAAAATGGCAACATGTGACCTATATAGGTTATCAATGTTAAGATGTTTGCTCAATGTTCAAACAGACTCCTGCCATTATCAGATGGATATTTTTATGAAATCAATGAAATGTTGTTACTGTTATTAGTTCATTAATGTGTTTTACTCTGTCTAGCTTTCATCTAGATTCTTTAGATTTTAAAAGCTATGTTGACAGTAGGTTTAAAAATGTTTAAAATGTTTAAAAAATGGCAACATGTTAGTGATCTCAAAAGATAAAACATATGACACGTGATGCTTTTCACTCAACCCTGTTACATGATTTTCAACCCTGTTGCGGTGCATTCATCCCTGTTACGAGATTATTTTTTTTACATTTTTGTATTAAATACACAAAATATAACATCAATAGTGTTTTTATTGTGTGTATTAAATCAGGGTAAATAAGGCTATTTCAATTTTGTCAGGAATTACGCAGCATTCTTGCACATTTCTTGCGAAAATGTGGAGTTAGATTAGAAATTTCTTTATCGTAAACTGGAAAGGATGGTGCTGGTCAGTTTTTCTTGATTTTCTCTTTAATTACAATATGCCATTATTTACAAGGGACATCTAAACTGTGAGATTATGCCAGAAGCTGATCTCAAGCTTATTGGAAAAATGAATAGTTGAATAACAAAATGACTGTGACGGGGTTGAATTAAATTGGGACTTGTTTGAGAAAATAATACAGAATAATAACTTAATACTCTACATTGAGATGGGAAAAGGTATTTTCTATCAAGTACACACATTACTTTGTCACATCAAATAAAAAAAAGCTTAAGATTTTAATGTTCATTGTTTCATCCTCCTCAATCACAAAAGGCACCGAATCTGTAGAATGACCCAAGAGTGTGCCTCACCTGCCCAGTTTGAACCATGAAGTGGCGCTACACAGGGGTGTCAGCAAGAGTTCAAAACTTCTGAAACTGAAACAGACAAGGCTCTTCTGACCAATAGTACCAAAGGCCATTTCAACAATCTTGACCTCATGTGAGGACGAGATATCAAATTAATTACAATCTGATGTGTTCCTTGAGGTCAACGTGTTTGTAGGTGGTGTTCTGTCTCAGCTGAAGAACATCTCCTTGTCAAGGTCCCCAACACCATGTGAAGACATGTTTGAACGTCTCCAATAAGTCTAGATGGCAGCATGACTACCTACAAAGGCATCACATCTTCCCATAGTCTTTCAACAAAAAGTCTCCAGAAACTCTCTAGTCATGCGTTCCAAACCAAAGCTGAGCAAGGGGTGAGTGAGGTCCTCTCTAGATAATGTATCATTGTGGAGGAAAACAAGACAGATAATTACCTCCAGTCTATCTACATCCACCACCTCTACTGATTATTATACAAACCATGGTGAAAGACCTGCAGGAGCTCACCCAGACCACCCAATCATCTGACATGGTATCTGGCACCTTCCAGCTCACCACTGGACAGGTTTCTGAGAAAAGGATCTGGTCTGTTGCTTGTTTATTTTTATTTAACCTTTATTTAACCAGGAAGGGCTCATTGAGATTTGAAATCTATTTTCCAAGAGCGTCCTGGCCAAGATAGGCACCACCAATTCATTACACAATTACAGACAGACAACATGAAAAATTACAAGTAATCTAGTAAAAACCATAGAAATCACAGGAGTATAACGAAATCATAAAACAGCAAATTAAAAACATTGACAGGTCAAGGAATCAGCCTCAAAATCCTTCATCAATGATTTAAAAACACCAATCGGGACAAGTTATTCCAGTTTAAAACAATTTTCTAAGGCGTTCCAAGCCGATGGCGCAGAGTACATAAAAGCCCTTTTACCAAATTCAGTTCGGACATTTGGAACAGTTAGCAGGATAAAGTCCTGCGAACGAAGAGAGTACCCACCACATTTCTGAAGAATAAAAATGGGCAAATAAAATGGTAGTAAACCCAAAATGGCTTTGTAAATAAAAGTATACTAGTGATTGAGCCTACGAGTGACTAGAGAAGGCCAGCCAACACTCGTATATAAAGTGCAGTGGTTGTAACATCTATCACAGTCCGCAATGTAAGATTAAGGATTTCCTCTGAAAATATTTGCAAAGATCAGACAACACCTTAATACCTAAAATCAAGTCCTCAGAAAAGATCTGAACAACCACTAATCCCTTGGGATCCATGCTGGAGGATATTGGCACGGTCCGCTGTAGGAGTGCTGACAGCCAAAATAAATTAAAGCCCTCTTCTTCAGGCTCCTCCATCTCTCCAACACCTACTTCAAAATCAAGACAGTCAGAATGGGACTTTACCTTACCCGGTACTCCCATCCCCACTGAGTTGCCTGCTCAGAGTGACTGCCCCATTGTAAGAAATACGATCATTTGAGGACTTGTTTCACACAGAGGACTTACTTCCCGCACCCTTTTTGGACAATGTCAGGCAAGCTGCTGGGGTGATAGGGGACAAGATGGTGGAGAACACACAGGAAGATGGACAGGTTGCTTCTCATCCTGACGACCTCCGATCTGCAGTTAGGAAATTGAGAAGAAGAATTTCCACTGGGACAATCCACATTTTTCAGGTAGGATAATATAGCCACAGAACTCCACAGGTTCTAACATTGGCAGCAGCCAAAAGTGCTTCTGACTCCATACTTTCAAGGCTGAAATGGGGAAAGGAACGGAGTAGCAGCAGCGTGTGTGTGTGTGGCGTCAGTATATGTGTATGTGCATCAAAGCTGGGACCGAGAGAATGAAAAACAGCTTCTATCTCAAGGCCATCAGACTGTTAAATAGCCATCACTAGCACATTAGAGGCTGCTGCTGCCTATTGAAATCACTGGCCACTTTAAGAAATGGGACACTAGTCACTTTAATAATGTTTACATATCTTGCACTACTCATCTCATATGTATATACTGTATTCTATTCTATAATATTCTACTGTATCTTAGTCCCTGCTGCTCTGTCATTGATTGTCCATATGGTCCAAATTCCATTCCTTACTAGATTTGTGTGTATTGGGTAAATGTTGTGAAATTGTTAGATATTACTTGTTAGATATTACTGCACTGTCGGACCTAGAAGCACAAGCATTTCGCTACACCCGCAATAACATCTGCTAAACACGTGTATGTGACAAATAAAATTTGATTTGATGTGCGTGTTTGTGTGAGTGTCAGTGTGTGTGGGTAGAGTCAGTGCAAAATAGTGTCAATGCAGATAGTCCGGATAACCATTTGATTAACTATTTAGCCGTCTTATGGCTTGGGGATAGAAGCTGTCTCTGAGCCTGTTGGTCCGAGACCCGATGCTCCGGTACCGCTTGCCGGACAGTAGCAGAGAGAACAGTCTATGGTTTGGGTGACTGAAGTCTTTAAATATTTTCAGGCCTTCCTCTGACACCGCCTGATGTACTGGGCCATCCGCCCCACCCTCTGTAGCGCTTTGCGGTCGAGGGCGGTGCAGTTTCCATACCAAGCGGTGATGCATCCAGTCAATATGCTCTCAATGGTGTAGCTGTAGATGCCAAGAAGAGCAAGGCCAGGTTTAGCTTTCTTGTAAAGTTTCCCAAGATCAGCTTGAACCCAAAAGGTATAATACAGTGGGGGAAAAAAGTATTTAGTCAGCCACCAATTGTGCAAGTTCTCCCACTTAAAAAGATGAGAGAGGCCTGTAATTTTCATCATAGGTACACGTCAACTATGACAGACAAAATGAGAAAAATACATCCAGAAAATCACATTGTAGGATTTGTAATGAATTTATTTGTAAATGATGGTGGAAAATAAGTATTTGGTCAATAACAAAAGTTTCTCAATACTTTGTTATATACCCTTTGTTGGCAATGACACAGGTCAAACGTTTTCTGTAAGTCTTCACAAGGTTTTCACACACTGTTGCTGGTATTTTGGCCCATTCCTCCATGCAGATCTCCTCTAGAGCAGTGATGTTTTGGGGCTGTCGCTGGGCAACACATACTTTCAACTCCCTCCAAAGATTTTCTATGGGGTTGAGATCTGGAGACTGGCTAGGCCACTCCAGGACCTTGAAATGCTTCTTACGAAGCCACTCCTTCGTTGCCCGGGCGGTGTGTTTGGGATCATTGTCATGCTGAAAGACCCAGCCACGTTTCATCTTCAATGCCCTTGCTAATGGAAGGAGGTTTTCACTCAAAATCTCACGATACATGGCCCCATTCATTCTTTCCTTTACACGGATCAGTCGTCCTGGTCCCTTTGCAGAAAAACAGCCCCATGCTTCACAGTAGGTATGGTGTTCTTTGGATGCAACTCATCATTCTTTGTCCTCCAAACACGACGAGTTGAGTTTTTACCAAAAAGTTCTATTTTGGTTTCATCTGACCATATGACATTCTCCCAATCCTCTTCTGGATCATCCAAATGCACTCTAGCAAACTTCAGACGGGCCAGGACATGTACTGGCTTAAGCAGGGGGACACGTCTGGCACTGCAGGATTTGAGTCCCTGGCGGCGTAGTGTGTTACTGATGGTAGGCTTTGTTACTTTGGTCCCAGCTCTCTGCAGGTCACCGTTCTTGTGATCATTTTAACCCCACGGGGTGAGATCTTGCGTGGAGCCCCAGATCGAGGGAGATTATCAGTGGTCTTGTATGTCTTCCATTTCCTAATAATTGCTCCCACAGTTGATTTCTTCAAACCAAGCTGCTTACCTATTGCAGATTCAGTCTTCCCAGCCTGGTGCAGGTCTACAATTTTGTTTCTGGTGTCCTTTGACAGCTCTTTGGTCTTGGCCATAGTGGAGTTTGGAGTGTGACTGTTTGAGGTTGTGGACAGGTGTCTTTTATACTGATAACAAGTTCAAACAGGTGCCATTAATACAGGTAACAAGTGGAGGACAGATGAGCCTCTTAAAGAAGAAGTTACAGGTCTGTGAGAGCCAGAAATCTTGCTTGTTTGTAGGTGACCAAATACTCCACCATAATTTGCAAATAAATTCATTAAAAATCCTACAATGTGATTTTCTGGAATTATTTTTCTCAATTTGTCTGTCATAGTTGACGTGTACCTATGATGAAAATTACAGGCCTCTCTCATCTTTTTAAGTGGGAGAACTTGCACAATTGGTGGCTGACTAAATACTTTTTTTCCCCACTGTACATGTACATCTTTCATAAATAACACTTTTATATAATTCAGTCTTCTTAGCATTGCTTCTTTGCAAGTAATACTGAACAAAAAAGTAAACGCAACATGTAAAGTGTTGGTCCCAATTTTCCAAATGCATATAAAGCTTATTTCGCTCATGTTGTGCTCAAATTTGTTTATATCCCTGTTAGTGAGCATTTATCCTTTGCCAAGATAATCCATCCACCTGACAGGTGTGGCATATCAAGAAGCTGATTAAACAGTATGATCATTACACAGGTGCACCTTGTGCTGGGGACAATAAAAGGCCACTCTAAAATGTACCGTTTTGTCACACAACACAATGCCACAGATGTCTCAAGTTTTGAGGGAGCGTGGAATTGGCATGCTGACTGCAGGAATGTCCAACAGAGCTGCTGCCAGATAATTTAATGTTAATTTCTCTACTATAAGCCACCTCTAAAGTCATTTTAGAGAATTTGTCAGTACATCCAACCAGCCTCACAACGTGTAACCACGCCAGCCCAGGACCTCCACCTCCGGCTAGGCAGGCCATTATTTTGGATGTACTGGGCCGTCCGCACCACCCTCTGTAGGGCTTTGCGGTCGAGGGCGGTGCTGTTGCCATACCAAGCGGTGTTGCAGCCAGTCAAGATGATCTCAATGGTGCAGCTGTATAACTTTTTGAGGATCTGAGGGCCCATGCCAAATCTTTTCAGCCTCCTGAGGGGGAAGAGGCGCTGTCGTGCCCTCTTCACGACTGTACGGGTATGTGTATGTGTGGGCCATGTTAAGTTCTTATTTTATTTTTTATTCATTTAGCAGACGCTGTTATCCAGAGCGACTTACAGTTAGTGAGTGCATACATTTCAATACTGGCCCCCCGTGGGAATCGAACCCACAACCCTGGCGTTGCAAGCGCCATGCTCTACCAACTGTGTGACAGCCCTGTCGATGTGGATGGGGGCATGCTCATCCCCCGTTCCCTGTAGTTCACGATCTTACTAACGTTGAGGGAGAGGTTGTCCTGGCACCACACTGCCAGGTCTCATGTGCCTTTTCCCACCAACCAGGGTTCCAAGAAAGTAGACAAGGACCTCTCTCCTCAAGAGTCTAGAGTACCAGCCTCTGAACACTTCTGTGAATGTGTACTTTACAGGTAAGTCCTGCTGTTGTTTAGGCTGCTGCTCAGTCAATACTAAGATATTATCCCTTTACCATTCAATCAGTTCATTCGGAAAGACTTTGTACTCTCCTCTGAACTGTTACATATGACATACTGTACTCACCCATATTAGAATCTCTTTCTTTGCAGTCAATGAAAAATTCTCAGCTCCTTGGCTCCAGAGGGAGATGATATTGCATCTTCCATCCCACCAGAAGAGAACAGTCGAAAAACCCTCCCTTTTCATCAGAATGTGTAGAGCTATCACTAAAGGCTTCAAATAAAAATATTTTCCTCATTAAATTACACTGCATTTATTTGGGGATTGTGTAGTGACTAAGCACAACCTGTGAAATAATTTAAGCAGATGAGAATTTGTACAATTATGCATCTGTTCTGGGGGTTTTTGTGTGAACGTATGTATGCAAGTGTCAAAACAGAATTCAAGAACACCACTTAACAAAAATTCATTTTATTTTCAAAAGACAGCAAATAGCCAATCAAACATAAGTGAAATTAAAATACAGATTTAATTTGCAGTGAATAATTGTCATGTCCAGCAACTCAATGACATCATTAGAGAAGCTTATTCACTACCCCAAAATGGAAAGGCTTAAAGACAAATGACATTCACCTGACAACACATTAGATAATGCACATACACTAACACTGCCCAAGTGTTTCTTACCTGTCAAGAGGATTGATATCAAAATATCAAGTCGTTAAATATACTGAAAATGATGTGGAATCAAAAAGGAACTTAGCCTCCCCCCTCCCTCCTCATAGCAATGTGACACGGTTTGTTATAGTCAATGTTTTCTACATAAAATTATAAAGACAGACTTATCAGTTTAAAAAATCAACAAAAACAGCGACCGTCCTTGGGAGTTCCTGAGTCCACAATAAAAGGTTAAACTAGACACGTTGGGAGTTCTGGAAGCAGCAGAACGTTGTTGGCGGTCGATCAAGGGCACTTTCTGTCCACACACTGCTTCCCGCCCTCCTCGTACTCTTGTTTCGAGATCCACATTTGCTGGAAAGTTCCCTAGAGTAAAAGAGTTATTAGGCCAAAGACTTATTAGGCCAAAGTAATATGCAATATCATGTTATAATCATAACATTGTAAATCAGGCAAACACACAAATACACGCAAATCATGGTGAGCAAGTGACCAGAAGTGTTGCAATACAGTAAAAGTATATACAGTGCATTCGGAAAGTATTCAGACCCCTTGACTTTTTCCACTTTGTTACGTTACAGCCTTATTCTAAAATTGATTGAATTGTTGTTTTTTCTCATCAAACTACAAACAATACCCCATAATGACAAAGCAAAAACAGTTTATTTTATTTTTGAAAATGTATTAAATACAAAACTGAAATATTACATTTTACATAAGTATTCAGACCCTTTACTCAGTACTTTGTTGAAGGACCTTTGGCAGCGATTACAGCCTCAAGTCTTCTTGGGTATGACGCTACAAGCTTGGCACACCTGCATTTGGAGAGTTTCTCCCATTCTTCTCTGCAGATCCTCTCAAGCTTTGTCAGGTTGGATGGGGAGCGTTGCTGCACAGCTATTTTCAGGTCTCTCCAGAGATGTTCGATCCGGTTCAAGTCCGAGCTATGGCTGGGCCACTCAAGGACATTCAGAGACTTGTCCCGAAGCCACTCCTGCTTTGTCTTGGCTGTGTGCTTAGGGTTGTTGTCCTGTTGGAAGGTGAACCTTCGCCCCAGTGTGAGGTCCTGGGCGCTCTGGAGCACGTTTTCATCAAGGATATCTCTGTACTTTGCTCCATTCATCTTTGCCTCAATCATGACTAGTGTCCCTGCCCCTGAAAAACATCCCCACAGCATGATGCTGCCACCACCATGCTTCACCGTAGGGATGGTGCCAGGTTTCCTCCAGACGTGATGCTTGGCATTCAGGCCAAAGAGTTCAATCTTGGTTTCATCAGACCAGAGAATGGTCTGAGAGTCTTTCGGTGCCTTTTGCCAAACTCCAAGAGGGCTGTCGTGCCTTTTACTGAGGAGTGGCTTCCGTCCGGCCACTCTACCATAAAGGCCTGATTGGTGGAGTGCTGCAGAGATGGTTGTCCTTCTGGAAGGTTCTCCCATCTCCACAGAGGAACTCTAGAGCTCTGTCAGTGACCATCGGGTTCTTGGTCACCTCCCTGAATAAGGCCCTTCTCCCCCGATTGCTCAGTTTGGCCGGGCGGCCAGCTCTAAGAAGAGTCTTGGTGGTTCCCAACTTCTTCCATTTAAGATTGATGGAGGCCACTGTGTTCTTGGGGACCTTCAATGCTGCAGAAATCTTTTGGTACCCTTCCTCAGATCTGTGCCTCGACAATCCTGTCTCGTAGCTCTACGGACAATTCCTTCGACCTCATGGCTTGGTTTTTGCTCTGACATGCACTGTTAACTGTGGGACCTTATATAGACAGGTGTGTACCTTTCCAAATCATGTCCAATTTACCACAGGTGAACTCCAAGTTGTAGAAACATCTTAAGGATGATCAATGGAAACAGGATGCACCTGAGCTGAATTTCGAGTCTCATAGCAAAGGGTCTGAATACTTATGTAAATAAGGTTTCTGTTTTTTATTTTTAATAAATTTGCTAACATTTCTAAAAACCCTGTTTTTGCTTTGTCATTATGGGGTATTGTGTGTAGATTGCAGAGGATTTCTATTTATGTAATCCATTTTAGAATAAGGTTGTAATGTAGCAAAATGTGGAAAAAGGGAAGGGGTCTGAATACTTTCCGAAGGGACTCTATATGGATGTGAACTCACTAGTGATGCCAGGATGGAGCCTCCTATCCAGGCACTGAACCTGCGCTCCACCGTTGTGTTGTTGGCTATCAACTTCAGCCTCATGCTCTGAACAGAGGAGAGAAGACAGGAACCATGTTTAGTAACATTAACTAGAGTACTACAAATGGATGAAGTCATTGAGAAATAGTTTAGTGCAGCACTCACAGGAGGGGTCTTCTGAGAGAGTTCTCTGGTGAGTCGGTCCGTGAATCCCGAGATGAGTGTGTTGCCGCCGGTGACCACCACACTACCGTAAAGACCCTGGGACAAAAGTCAAAGGTCAGTTCTGTAGAACCTCTTAATTCAAGTGCGGAAAAAGGTCACCTGGCCTCAACCTTGCTTTAACATGTAATTCTGAATAACATAAATATACCAAGTATCACTCACATAGGCCTAGTAGCCATGTCAGTCAAAACAAGCAAAGAGATAGATCTTGAATATGGGCACCTACCGGCCGAATATCGATGTCACACATTCCCACACTGGTGGTCACCACGTGCCCGACTCCCAACATGGTGTTGCCAGACAGACCCTGTGGAGGAGAACCGGAACAGACGGTTAGAACACTGAACATTCTGGCAACAGTCTGAACACCACATTTCAGACAGGTCCGGTCACATAGAATGATTAAGGCTTTTTGGCATTCGGTGATTCTCACCTTGGCATTGGAGGGGTCGAAAAGGCCCTCTGGAATCTTCAGCCTCTCTGCCCCAAAGTCACAGTTGTATCCATTGGGTAGCTCGTAGTGAACTGTGGGCATCTGGGCTGCAACTCTGTGGGAGAGGTGATTACATTTCAAAACAATGAGAATGAACCCTTTAAGGGACAGAACCTATTCTGTGGTGGTTATTGTGAAATGTTAGAATGGAGTAGATTATGGTGGACTCACTGTTCATCGTACGGCGAGTCTGAAACCTGCAGCACGGAGGCCTGGAAATCCTGGATCACAGTCTGGAGGTAGGGTGAAAAAAATATCAAATATTCAAGCAGCAGGGCTTGACATTAACTTTTTAAGCCACTTGTAGGACTGTTTTTTTTACTTGTCCAAAAGCTCAAGTCACTTGTTCCCCCCCCCCCCCCCCCCAAAAAAAAGGTTAGTAACACCATTTGTAAAATATTGTATGATGCAAGGAACCACTTTACAACACAAAATGCATTACATTTTACCATAGACAATTAGACAAAAATGTAGGCTACACTCTGCCCCTATTGGCTTCTTTGAATATTCAAGCATGTCTGAAAATACAACACTGCCTCTTTAAGGCTCTCCTGACATAAAATGTCCAGGTTTTAAACAATTAAGTTTATGGTTAAATAGTTTCAGAATGCTGACCGCCTCCACTCAGATTCAAGGTGGGTGATGTGTGGTGTGCAACAGGCACTGCCGTTCACTCTGGTATTGTGACCATTTTATCTGAATGAACCGTGCCTCGAGTAGGTCGACAGAATCAAGCCTTTAGACGTCAATGTTAATTATCCTTCATTATATTTGTCAAACATGACTGGCATTTAGCCTATATTTATGTAATTAAAAGTCTCATTAAAGTTTGGCTACATTTTCTGGCGCCTCCCTCATGTCAGCATCGGTTTAGACATGAGGCTGTAGGTCATATGCATATACATTGCCTTGAGAAAGTATTCACACCCCCTTGACTTAATCCAAATTTTATTGTGTTACTGCCTGAATTTAAAAATGATTTAATTGAGATGTTATGTCACTGGCCTACATACAACACCCCATAATGTCAAAGTGGAATTATGTTTTTAGATTTCTTTATTTATACAAAATTAAAAGCTGAAATGTCTTGAGTCAATAAGTATTCAACCTCTGTTATGGCAAGCCTAAATAAGTTCAGTAGTAAAAATGTGCTTAACAAGTCAGATAATAAATTGCAAGGACCCACTCTATGTGCAATAATTGTGTTCAACATGATTTTTTTAATGACTACCTCATTTCTGTACCCCACACATATAATTATCTGTAAGGTCCCTCAGCAGAGCAGTGAATTTCAAACACAGATTCAACCACAAAGACCAGGGATGTTTTCCAATGCCTCGCAAAGGGCACCTTTTGGTAGATGGGTAAAAATACAAATAAATCCATTTTAATCCCACCTTGTAACAAAATTGTTTGGAAAAAGTCAAGGGATGTGAATATTTTCCGAAGGCACTGTAATAATAATCACCTACACTTTAACATGTAGCTTTTTTGTTTATGTACATGAAAAATAGATTTGAATATTATTCCAATATTGGCCTCTCTGATCCAATTCTGATCTGAGTAATTGTTTGATAGGCCTATTGTGATTTTTTTGTTTTACTTGTCCATTCGGACAACTTATTCTTCTTGTACAACTATTTTTTTTACTTGTACCGGACAAGAGGACAAGCGTTAACTCCGAGCCCTGTTGCAGTAATAAACTCACTAAGAAAATGTAAATGATGAAGACCGGTTAACATCACGTCTATGATCCATATGATTTGGTGACGCAGCACTGAACACCTACATAGGACTGTTTATGACTTTCTGTTTATGATAGCACACATAGCTACTTACATTACACATGTAGTTGTGCCAGGACCGGGTGACTTGAGGTAGTTTCTCCTTCTTCTTCCAGCTTGCTGGGGCTCCTTCACGTACTGCATCCTACAATGAGAAACACTAAGGTTCGCAGTGTGCCGTCTTAATGGAAGAGTAGTACCCTGGTCCCAGATCTGTTTGTGCTGTGTATGGAAATGACCATAGGAGTTGGTGAGACAGCACAAACAGATCTGGGACCAGGCTAGAGGAGTAAGAGCGTGTAATAAGATAGAGCCAGGGATAAAAGGCTACCAAGTCTTGAGGTCAGGAATATGAGGAATTCCTGATAAATTCAAAGAAATCACATCTCAGAGTGTGACGGGTGAAGACAATCACAGGACAATGAAGAACGTCACATTTTGTGGTATGAGAAATCAAAATATGAAGGATGAATGGGATTCCTGTGAAGTCTGGTTCCTATCATGGTTTCTTTCCCCCAGTGCTTATTAAATTATGGATATTGCTTTAGGTTTAGTAGATTATGACTTTTTCAAGCATGCTGTGTGACATGCTCATTTAAATTCATGCTAATGCAAGTATAAGACAGAGATTGACAAGGGGATTTCAAATAACTAGACTAATGTAGGGCTTTTGGTCTGGAGTTGATCAAACAAATGTTGTCTATGCCAATTTTATGGCCCATGTCAATTTGATGCTCATGCATGAAGTGTATGGGAACCAAAGACCTGAGTTAGAGCATCACTTGTATTAATTGTTAATGGTCAATCATTAAATTACAGACATCCTTAATATTACATGCAGATTACCAAACAGACCCAAGTGATTAATGAAACAAACATTGAGTGGATGAAGGGAAATCCATGAGACAACATGAATATGTAAAGATATTTTTAAATATCTAAGTTCTATACTTACAACACCCCACCACCGTAACTTGAGGAATAGCACCAAAAAGTGAGATGTGGAATCTCTGAAATGAGTAGGTTTGACTTACTTTAGCAGGTCTCACCTTTGAGGCAATCATGTAAGGAGGGACTATTTCAACATTTAACTCTTGAAATAGCTCTCTACATTGCATGCTCATAAAATCCCCAGCAAGGGGAGACTTGACGATGCCTGAAACAAAATATAAAAAAGGTGTCACTTTGATCGTTTTGGGGAAAGGATATTGAAGACAGCATCATTTTGGTTTGTTGTCATGTCCAAAACACATATTTAGACAATAAATAGTGTATCTATAATTTTCTTTTCCCATCATTGGAACATACACTCAGTGTACAAAACATTATGAACACCTGCTCTTTCCATGACAGACTGGCCAGGTGAATACTATGAACCCTTATTGATGTCACCTGTTAAATTCACTTAAATCAGTGTAGATGAAGGATTTTGAAGCCTTGAGACATGGATTGTGTATGTGTGCCATTCAGAGGGTGAATGGGCAAGACAAAAGATTGAAGTGCCTTTGAACGGGGTATGGTAGTAGGTGCCAGGCGCACCGGTTTGTGTCAAGAACTACAATGCTTTTTGCTGGGTTTTTCACACTCAACATTATCCCGTATGTATCAAGAATGGTCCACCACCCAAAGGACATCCAGAGAACTTGACAACTGTGGGAAGCATTGTAGTCAACATGGGCCAGCATCCCTGTGGAATGCTTGACACCTTGTAGAGTCCATTCCCCAACGAAATGAGGCTGTTCTGAGGGCAATGGGGGGGTAGGGGTGCAACTCAATATTAGGAAGGTATTTTTAATGTTTTGTACACTCAGTGTATACACCTGCTATGATGGCTTATAACAACTATGACATATACACAGACCAAGAATACTGAATCGACTTAGCACCATTGTGAACAGAGGCATTATGTCCTCATGCTTGTCCTTTAATGACCCTAACCTAATACTCCTTTTCCAAATGAACATTCCCTCATATTATATCAACTAAAAAGGCTCCATTGATTTCTGGGTGACACCATCCCCTATTAATATGCCAGCCTGGCCTCCTGTGCCATTCTCCTCAGTCTTGTATTTCAATGCAGCTCCGACTCAAATGGCCTCACTGCAGAAAGCCTAGCCCTTGATACTTTGCATGATGGTTGCGATTACCTAATTTCTCTCAAAAATGTATCTTTACTGTAAGGAGATGATTTGGAGATGGATACAATGTCAAACCGCTTTCCTGCGTTTCTTTACTTAATCTTACTGCTACCATACTTTCTATGGGGGTTCAATTTGTTGCAGGGAGGGACGGAAATGTTACCCAGTTGATTGATTTTGGGGTTTCCACAAGCTTGAAGTATTCAAAACCAAATTAGTATCTATCTTAAGTCATTTCTACCCACATCATGAGACACAATGGCTTCAATGTGGATGACATTTCTGGTCAAGAGTGTTCAAAAAGTTTTATTGCGATTAACTCATAAGGGTAAGAGTTTATCAATCCTTTATAAGACGTGTGTGGATATGGCCCATGAAAAATAAAAACCACAAACAAAAATATAAGAGCGGGTGGTGGGAGAAGTGTACAATTTACCTTGCTGAAGCACGTAACCGTCATGCACTGGAATGGCTGTTGTGTGTGTGGCTCCGCTGTCTAGCACCAACCCTGTGGATCGTCCATTGGCAAAGCTCAGGCACTCAAGAGTTAAGGGAACTGAAGGGACATTTCTACAGAGATCAAAATGTATTTTAGCCCAAACCCAAAGTCACATGAGCAATAGCTAAATAAAAACTATTTTGGAAGAGAGAAGTTCTCAATGAGACAAACCTGGATAAATAAAGGTTAAATAAAAGGAATTGAAAAACAACTGTTCAGGAGATTTTGGGGTCATTATCAAACAGCAGATGGATCGAATTTGACTAGTGTTTTATCACAGTAACACCATCAATTTGACTAGCGTTATATTACAGTAACACCATCAATTTGACTAGTGTTTTATTACATTTACATTTAAGTCATTTAGCAGACGCTCTTATCCAGAGCGACTTACAAATTGGTGCATTCAACTTAGGATAGCCAGTGGGACAACCACCCTTTAGTTTTTTTTATAAATGGGGGGGAAGAAGGATTATTGTTACACTATTCCAGGTATTCCTTAAAGAGGTAAGGTTTCAGGAAGGTGGTCAGTGACTCCGCTGTCCTGGCGTCGTTATTACATTAACACCATCAATTTGACTTGTGTTTTGTTACAGTAACACCATCAATTTGACTAGTGTTTTGTTACAGTAACACCATCAATCCACCACTTCAACCGTCCAACAACATCCCCATTTCATGTCAATCTACTCTACAAGCCCGGATGGCTTAAGGATACGAGGACAGCACTGCCGTTTTACACAGGAAGAAGGCGGGAATGTTGTAATGCTCAAACATCAGCTCGGTTAGCTTCTCCCGTTTGGCTCGTGTGTTCCACTGCACAGAGATGAGAGAAAGAAGGGAAAACAGAAAACCATGAGGGACCCTCTTTTTACAACAGTGTTGTGTTCATTACGGCACACCATAGCAAAACGTTTTGCAACTGAAAACGTGAACTAGCGTTTCTTATTGAACAAGTACAGATAATACCTTCTGTTTCAGAGTGTTTTCTTCATTGAGTATGTGTTATAAATGGCATGAGGCTCATTCCAAACTGAAGTTGAGGCCTACTCACAGAGGCTTCTGACATGAGTACAGGATGCATGCTGGGCTCTGACTTGAAGTGCATCTTGTAGGTGTGGTCTAGGATGGCCTGGAAGCTGTCCCAGTCCTCAACTTCACAGATAAGAAAACAAAGACACACATGAATGAGTAAGAGGATGTCATTGGTAACCACCGCAAATTTGCCAGAAGAAAATCTTTAGACAAGGGGGTGGGCCAAGGTAGTTTTCAGTGTATAAAAAAATCCATAGATTGGGCTCGACATTAACACTTGTCCGCTTGCACGGGACAAGTAAACAAAAAATAGTTGGACAATAAGAATATGGATTTGAGTTGTCTGAATGGACAAGAAAAATAATCTGACAAATCGCAATATCAAACAATTACTCTGATCAAAATCTGATCACTGTCCTATGGATGCAATGTACTGCTGTTTTCCCAATTTCTGTAGAGCACATCGAGTAGAATTGTATTGCATTGACAGGCAGGAGCGGGCTTTCAATCATCCCCGGTTGCGAGCTTTTGAGAACAAGGTGTGTAGCCGCGTGTGCACATTTGTTGATATTCCTTGCTAATTATTCGAGCAACAGAATCAGAACTGGGAACGAAAGGGATCTATACTGTTCCGGAACAGAACCGTTATTTTAAAAGCATGGGAACTGGTTAATAATTTTAACGTTCCGGGCATTTTTTTCCAGTCCCACAAAAAAATCGCAACAAAGCGTCTATGCAAAGCCATTACTCGGTCACCCAGTGTCTGCCTGCCAGATGGAAATCTTTGCCAGTGTGTATGCGCGTGTGTAGGCTACCTGCCCCCCCTCCTCCGAAGCCTAGGTTACTATAGCCTACTGACGACGTAGGCCTTTTTATTATAGAAGAATGGACCAACTTTTTCAATGCTAGTTATAGTTGGGCTATCACATTTCACATTGGATTTATTAACTACAAAAAGGTAAGACGTGTTTTAATTCTAGTGCTGCTCTGCACACATACGTTTGTTAGCTAGCTAACATTAGCTCTGGTCCAACGTTAAGCCAACTCGCTGAAGTTCAAAGACTTGTCTGTCCATGGTGACTGGCAGCACAGTGCACAGTGTGTACGTTTGTTTTTCATTATGAAATAACCATGCTGTTATGGCAAAAGACAATTTGCTCTTAACGTGCGTTCCTATAAAAATGAAATAGCTTACCTGCTCCATAGCAAGCGGCTCTATCTGCACTGATTGGTGAAGTAATTTAATGTCGAGCTAAATGTAAAAAATAAATAATTAAAAAAAAAAAAAAAGACTTCAGAGTTTTAAAAAGGAACAGAAAGGAACGATATAAACCAATACTTTTCTTTGAATCGAACCGGTTGAGAACTTTATTTTGCTGGTCAAAAAAATAAAAAATAAAAGTTTCTGTTCAGAACGAAACGATTGGAAATTAATTTTGGTTCCAATCCCTGGGTTTAGTATCACGAACACTGAACAAAAATATAAAACACAACATCCAACAATTGTAAAGATTTTACTGAGTTACAGTTCACATAAGGAAATCAGTCAATTGAAAGAAATGAATTAAACCCTAATCTATGTATTTCACAACTGGGAATACTGTTGGTCACAGATACCTGAAAAAAAAGAGGCAGGGGCGTGTATCAGAATAGCAGTCAGTATCTGGTGTGACTACTATTTTCCTCATGCAGTGCGACACATCTCCTTCGCATAGAGTTGATCAGGCTGTTGATTGTGGCCTGTGGAATGTTGTCCCAGTCTTCTTCAATGGCTGTGCGAAGTTTGCTTGATATTGGCAGGAACTGGAACACGCTGTCGTACACGTCGATCCAGAGCATCCCAAACAGGCTCAATGGGTGACATGTCTGGTGAGTATGCAGGCCATGGAAGAACTGGGACATTTTCAGCTTCCAGGAATTGTGTACAGATCCTTGCGACATGGGGCATTATCATGCTGAAACATGAGGTGATGGCAGCGGATGAATAGCACGCCAATGGGACTCAGGATCTCGTCAAGGTATTTCTGTGCATTCAGATTGCCATTGATAAAATGCAATTGTGTTCGTTGTCGGTAGCTTATGCCTGCCCATACCATAACCCCACCATGAGTCACTTTGTTCACCCATCTACACACAATACCCCATAATGACAACGTGAAAACATGTTTTTGGAAATATTAGCAAATGTATTGAAAATGAACTACAGAAATATTTCATTTACACCCGAGTCAATACTTTGTAGAAGCACCTTTGGCAGCGATTACAGCTGTGAGTCTTTCTGGGTAAGTCTCTAAAAGCTTTCCACACTTGGATTGTGCAACATTTGCCCATTATTATTTTCAAAATTCTTCAAGCTCGGTCAAATTGGTTGTTGATCATTGCTAGACAACCATTTTCAGGTCTTGCCATAGATTTAAATCAAAACTGTAACTCTGCGCCACTCAGGAACATTCACTGTCTTCTTGGTAAGCAACTCCAGTGTATATTTGGCCTTGTGTTTTAGGTTATTGTCCTGCTGAAAGGTTAATTCAACTCCCAGTGTCTGGGGGAAAGCAGACTGAACCAGAAAGTGAAATGCTTTGCCACATTTGTTGCAGTATTACTTTAGTGACTTATTGCAAACAGGATGAATGTTTTGGAATCTTTTTTATTCTGTACAGGCTTCCTTCTTTTAACTCTGTCAATTAGGTTAGTATTGTGGAGTAACTACAATGTTGTTGATCCATCCTTAGTTTTCTCCTATCACAGCCATTAAACTCATAACTGTTTTAAAGTCACCATTGGCCTCACGGTGAAATCCCTAAACACGGTTTCCTTCCTCTCCAGCAACTGAGTTAGGAAAGACGCCTGTATCTTTGTAGTGACTTGGGGTATTGATACACCATCCAAAGTGTAATTAATGACTTCACCATGCTCAAAGGGATATTCAATGTCGGCTTTTTATTTTATTTTTACCCATCTACCAAAAAGTGCCCTTCTTTGCGAGGCATTGGAAAACACCCCTGGTCTTTGTGGTTGAATCTGTGTTTGAAATTCACTGCTCGACTGAGGGACCTTACAGATAATTATATGTATGGTGTACAGAAATGAGGTAGTCATTTAAAAATCATGTTAAACACTATTATTGCACACAGAGTGGGTCCATGCAACTTATTATGTGAGTTGTTTTTTTACTCCTGAACTTATTTAGGCTTGCCATAACAAAGGGATTGAATACTTATTGACTCAAGACGTTCCCGCTTTTCATTTTGTATTAATTTTAAAAAGTCCACTTTGACATTATGGGGTATTGTGTGTAGACCAATTGAATTAATTTTAAATTCAGACTGTAACACAACAAAATGTGGAAAAAGTCAAGGGGTGTGAATACTTTCTGAAGGCACTGTATCTCTTTGGGCAAGTCATTTGCTGCTACAAATAAAGCCCAGTACTGTTGAATAATTAAGGTGTGCATACATAGTGCTCGTCTCATCACACAACTGGGTTGGATACTGGAGGGAAAAAAAGACTGAAGAACTTTGCTAATTTGAGCGAAGTGTGCGAGTAATGATCCAGGTCAGCACTCTAAGGAGGTCTCTGGTCCCATAGTGCTGCTCTGCGTCAATTAAGATTGCTGTCACAATTTTCTCTAAATAGTCCAACTCCCCTGTACTGAATTCAGATTGACGTCAGTCAGGTCATCATTACCTCCATAACGACAGCTTGAAGGACCACGTAAGCAGCAATGTCCTAAATGGCAATGTCATAAAAAATATTTAAATCACTGTGTTGACTGCTGATAATTTCAATGTAGTGGCAAAGCATTACACAGGGGAAGACTCTGGAAATACTGTTGTTTGTGTTTATCTCACAGGAAGTTTATCTCACAGGAAGAAGGTTAGTGAAACACTGACCACAGACATACAGAGCAGTCCAGATAAGGATCCTCTCCCAAAACATTGTGCAGTGTCATAGACGATGAAGGCATCACTGAGCCTGGCATTCCCTCTACCATACTATCTAGGGGCCACGTCACAGGACCAGCAGCATTTGCTCCACCAACTTTATGAGGATTTTAATTTCATCAAGGCCGAATGCTGTCAATACAACTTCCACATTGCCCACGATCACGTCGGGGGAGAGAGACTCACTCATGCCGTTTTTGAGCGGTGACATGACCTCCATGTTCTCGCGGGCCACCCTCAGCTGGTTGGTGTCGATGAAGTAGTTGGTGCCCTGCTTGCCCTTGTCCCCGCCATCCGTCTCCATCGGAGTGCTGCCATCCTCTCTGTCCAGGGTCACGCCGATCACTGTGGGGAAGTCAGCCTACGGGCAGAAATAAATATGTGTATATAAGTGTCAATTCCACTTCCTTATTCAGGTCACATTATAACATTGGCCAACTCAGAGGAATGGAGCAGGAGCACTCGGTAGTCTTAGTAGGCTAATTCTTGGGGCAGGTCTGATAGAATGGCATTTTAACGCATTGTTTCTATCACTACTGTCCAGAATACTGTACGTGAAACATAACTGTATTTTCTCTAACTAAAGGTGGATCACCTTTTTGCAGAACACTAATTTGTTTACGGCAAACAGCATCAGCAACAATGAAACAACTATAGCCTTGCCTTAGCCCTTGATCATGACTCTCAGTTCCAATACATTACACATAAGAGTCATTGGACGAAGGCGTCTTCTATATGGGGGAGTTTTGTTAAGAGCTGCGACACTCGGTCTGAACATTAACATGCATCGCTTGCGGTAGGGTTTTGGAAGCATAAGTACCTTATCTTTGATATCAGCGAGAAATAATACAAAAATATGTTAAATTGATCATTTAGCTATTTTATTTAGAATTTTAGGACCCCTTTAGGTATCAAAAACATGTTAAAAAAATTATTTTATAAAATATTGCATTTGGTCTTTACTACTATAGCCCACAAAAACGCATAAAATAACATTCATAAATGGCAAAAAAATACAGTAAAAAATATATATCATAAGGAAGGTTTTGAAGTGTTTCCTATATCTAGGAGATAAGAAACCTCAGGAAAATGACATTATGTAGGTTTTTTTGTACACATATTTAACTCATTGTTGTTGGCACAAAACTATCTCCATACTTCCATTCATTTGTATGGGTTAGTCGAGTCATATGACACCTTTGGGGGTCGGAGAGCAAAACAGAGAACACCATCGTCAGACTCTCTCCTTTCCACAGTGGGGTCATATTAGTTTGTAGCCCAAACGGTTTGTACGCTACAGACAGAAGATGGCACATCAGCGTTACCGACTTCAGACGAGTCCTGTGGGGCTTGTGGGGGTCGTAAAGCAAAACGGAGAACACCTTCGTGTTCGTGAGTCTCATCTTTCCATAGAGTGGTCATATTAGGCTGTAGACCATTTGGACGCAACAGACATTTACGTGAGAATACCAATTTTCGGGATGTCTCATGGTCTGACAAACACTGCTGTAGCCCGGCCACCTTCCACCGCAAATGCGGAAGGCTGACAGCGGATGCAATGGATTGAGACACAGCCCATGAAAAAAAAAAAAAAAAGATCTCTAGCTTAAACTGACAGATTTTTATGGGGATTTTTTTTATTATGTTACTTAGATTGACGCACAGGTAAGGTCCTTGGACTAAGGAGTAATTGTAGGCTCATTTAGTCCAATATTGGGCTAGCCTCGCCCTAGTGTGTATTCACTGGGAACCAAACAGAAGCAAGCGGCCAAAACAGGGAGGGACTAACCTGAACTTGTCCAATAAGAAACAACTTTTCGTTGATTATCGTTTTCCGTTGCCAAATGTTTTGCTACTGTGTGCACTAATGAATACACCCCTAGATAGTGGCACATTCTTCATGTCTACTGATGACAGAGGTGTTATTTCTATTAATGGGGAAGGGCAAATGGGCAATTCCACAGTCACAGTAAAACTGCATTGATGGTTAAGGGCTTGTAAGTAAGCATTTCACTGTAACTTCCACATAAAATGTTACAAAAACATATTTACTTGATGAACAGTGCAGTTTTAAAGTTTGGTAACACATCATTCTGTTACCAAATTTTTGATGTACTGTTCTTCAAGTCTCAGCATCACTCTGTTACCATGGAATTGCCCAAATGCAAGTGTGACAGGAACTGACAGAGACTACCTAAACCTAATTCATGCTCACTGTCATGGGTTACAGTCCTCATTTCCTGACATTGATATACCCTCCAAAAGAAAATGAATATGTAGAGGAAGATGCATAGTTAATCAGGTCACTAGACTAGGACACTTACCTTGGGACAATCTTCTCCAGCATAGCCAGCTCTCACTGTGTATGAGCCTATGTCAAACACCAGTGCGCCAACCTCATCTGCAGAGAGTATGAACAAGTGAATAAATGAGACAACAGTAAGCAATGTTTTGACTTACATCAAGACTAGAGGCTAGCTTAATTGACCACACTTGCCAACTAGTTACATTTCTACTAAGAAAGCTAACGAAAGTATTAAATGTCACTGCATGCAATCTAAACTTGTTTTGGTTGAACTTGCTGATAGCCTAATACCCTGGGCAACGAAAAACTAGCTAGCTAAAATAGCAAGCAAGCTAGCGAGTAATTAATCTGCAAAGAGCTGTTAGCCATGCATCTAGCGAGTTAGCTTTCACTCATTGTTGGCAGGCACGCTGGCAGTCATATTCGATAAATCACAAAGTAGTAAGTGCATGAAAGAAAGTAAATGATTATGCCCGTCATTGATAGCTAGCTATTAAGCTAGCTAGCTAAATGCTAAAGATAACACCAGTCTGCAGATCACTTGCTAACAGGTTAGTTAGCTAGCAAGCTAGTTGTAGGTAGTCGTCTCTTACTACTGTTCGCTAGTTTCTGGTAGCTAGCTACGGCACAACGTGGCGCGTTCATTCATTTCATTTTGACCGCAAAATCACACTCACCGCCTCCATACACTCCGCCACTCATCCTCTCAAATGATAAAAACAGACAAATATAACTTTGTGTATTATACGATTAAAGAAAATGTACCGGCAGCTAGCTAAACGTTTTATCACAACAAAAGAAATTCATAAACGTGAATCAACCTAACACGCGCCATACAGCCGTTACCAGGCTATCCAATCAAACTTTTCAACGGCATCACTAGATCCGCCTCAGTGCGTGACGTCAAAGTTAAGTTAATATGAGAGGAAGAGGGACTGTATTAGACGACAGGGAATAAAATTGGAGGGAGTGAACCTAACTGTGTTTGGCATTGTGTAAAATTTGAGCACAATTCAACCCCTAAATATAAATGGTTAGAGACTTGAAGAAGGTACAGTATGGTCAATATGACCTGTCAAATTGTCCATATTAGTTCATTTGTTTTAGAGTAATGGGGCTTATTATTTGACTGTCAATGGGTAGGGCAACTAACTGTGCGTGTGCGTGTGCGTGTGTGTGTGCGTGTGCGTGTCAAAGACCTTAATTTATAAATCAAAATAAAATGGTATTTGTCACATGCTTCGTAAACAACAGGTGTAGACTAACAGTGAAATACATACTTACGGGCCCTTCCCAACAATGCAGAGAGAAAAAATAATAACACATGGAATAAATGCACATTGAGTAACAATAACTTGGCTATTATTATCAGCCATTATTATGTATTTGCATATTTTGGCCAGGTGATTCATTGAATCAGGTTGCTGTCAGCTCTGACTATTGCATTGTGCAACTTGCATAATATTTTAATGATTGGCATTATCAAGCTGCTGTCAGAAAGAAAGTTCTGTCCCTTTAAAAAAAAAAAAATACCTACTGTCTCTTTTCCTCATGCCCCCCTCCACACTCACCCCCACCCCCCACCCGCCCGCCCGCCTGCACACACTCACACACACACACACACACACACACACACACACACACACACACACACACACACTCACACACACCCAGCCCTCAGCCTCATGCATCAGCTCTCTCTACATTACTGCTCTTCCTTGCAACAGTCACTGAGCATAGAGGAAGAACTGAAACCACACACCGTCTGTCTGCTTACAGTCCATGTACTTAAGGACGTATGTGGAAAACGCCTACTTCCTCTCCCACTTATCTGCACTGAAAAAAAGGTAAAAGCTGAATGCATTTTAGTGTCAAACCTGTTTTTGTACATGTGTCTTATGGGTGTTTGGCATGAAATGTTAATGTAGTAGGCAAGTCAGACTCACATCATCTGTGAGTGTGGCTCCAAGTGAGGTGTGGTGTTTGTCTGTGTGTGTGTGTGCGTGCGTTTGTGTGTGTCTGAGGTAATGCCTTGGTCTTATCTTATGTCTTGAGCCTGGGGTGCACCAAAATGTCAAATCAAATTAATTGCGGGCTTATGCCTACTAATGAATTAGTAATCGGGTATCACAGGGTTTCGACTGTGAAGGAAGGTGCAGTTTTTTTTTTTGTATAATTTTTTGATGAATAGAGAGGGGCCAAGTGGAATTCATTTTTTAAATATCTTGACAGTCAATAGAATCAAGAACAGTTACTGTCAATTCAGACCTGGAATGACCTTTTCCTCATTTCTCAAAAAGAGTTTGAGAGTTGAACATTTCAGTGAGAGTTGAACATTTCAGTGAGAGTTGAACATTTCAGTGAGAGTTGAACATTTCAGTGAGAGTTGAACATTTCATTTCAAGACATTTCAGTAAGTGACTCAGGACATTTCAGAGATTCAACAGAGACATGACTTTGTTCTCAGTCACTTCATAGGATACAGCAGGTCAGTTCAAGTCTTGTATTGTTATTTGCATCTCTGATTTGAGCAAGTCTTATTGGGATTCCCCTGGACTGACACACTGTCCTTTTCTCACTTCTTCTCACAGTCCATTTCCTGTTGAGCTTCCTCCCTAAAAACAAAGCCAAATACTAATGCAGTTTAAGAGGCTACTTCTCCTCAATTTTGGTTGTTGTCTTTGAATATGGAAACACTGCTGATAGGTTCTTCCACAGAATTAGAACAATTTAAAGTAAGGCACCATAGCAACTTTCCAGTGTATGTGCCTGTGTTTATCCCGTGGCAGTGTACATCTGGTGTATACTTGGCACACTCCATCTGCATAGTACTGAGGTGCACTATTCCGATCAGTGTCATGCTTCTCTGGTGTGTGACTCAGACACCGCACGAGAGGCATTATCATAGAAATGATGAGGACACTTCAGCAAGCAGCCACTGTGACAGTCTCTTATGGGCCAACAATAGCTCTGAGATAAAACAATAACCTTCCAATGGAACAAAGGGATTGCCTGTAGTTATGCTCTATGTTCATCAAGAGATTCGGATTGATTAATTGTTTTCGAAAACCACAGCATCAGTGGGTCCCATTGGAATGGGTTATAGGGTTTATGAGGTTTAGGATAGGGAGCAAGGTTTACCATCCATCTTATTGTCTTTTCAGACTGCGTTTCAGTGAGTATACAATCATTTTATGCATACCCATGTAGAAATACAGCTGAGAGAGCAGGGCCCATATTTTATATCATATGCAAAAGAGCACCAGTATATATATATCAGCAATGCCCGCACACAAGGAGAGACCAGCCATCGCAAAACAATGGATGCCAAATGATATAAATGTTACCCAAAGGATTTATTTTATAGTCAGCGACACTGTTCATCAGATGGCGAGATGGTTGATGAATAGTGGTTCCGAATGGCTTGTTTCAAATGGGTCAGGCCATGCCAGGCAGTGAAAGCATGTGCAACTCTGGATGTGTCAATGTCTATTCTCCTCCACAGATAGAGAGTGGCAGAGAGGGAGGCGCTGAGCCAGAGAGGTGCGCATATTTTAAGTCACTTTAGCACTCTTCTAGAGGGCCTTTTTCAATGATCCATTATGCATACAACTCTGGCTCTCCCTGGTATTTCTCCTACCTTCTTGACGTCAGTTGCCATTTGTGAGGGTTGCCCAGGCAACGGCCAACCTCCCCTGGAGATATGTCTGGTGGCCTGATATAGCCTTTTAAGGGTTTACTGTTTGTACACGTTTTGATTGCCTTTGATACACTGGCAGTATTACATGTAGGTCATTGGAGTACATCGGGTGTGAAGAAAAAAAATGGGAACGCATATAAAAATAGCATATCAAAAGCTATTCTGGCATGATATCCCATTAGTGCTTCTCATCTCCTCTCAACTTGGGCACCTACATATTGTGTTAACGGCTGTTTCGGAGCAGTCCTCCAAGGGTATTATGTACCCTAAAGTGGTAGCAATGAAGTTCAAAGTGAGATTATGTGATCTGGTATGATTGCTTGTTGCAGGCTATTAATTTGTAACACCCTATGTGTGTTATTATAGTGTCTTGCCTACTTATTTTACCTACACTTGTATTATTACAGTCTAATGTTTACCATAATGTAAATGACTCCAGCAATCAAGGGGAACTTAGTTAATTAAGGATATCAATGCATCATCTTCATCAGATACAGTATTTCAGCAAGCAAAATTCCCCAATCTTTTAACATTTCTCCTAAGTGTTTACGAAGTGTTACTGTGTTTCAGTCTTAGACAGTTCCCATTGCAATGGTAGGTTAGGATGTGTGCAAATCTGTCATGGCTGAAAGACAATAGAGATATTGTACACACAGGGTACCTGGTTCAGAGCTCTGAGGCTATTTATAGCTTCTGCGGCATCTTTTTTCCAGACATCAAGCTATTGATGTTCTATTTTTACAGTGCAATTCGCTCCCTCCCTCTCCTTTTGGTTGCCAAGCGATTGACCAAGGGACCTGATTGGAGAATGATGTGTCGCTTGCTGGACACCTTGACTCTGATTTTCAGTTGGTTAATGAACTCTTTCAATAAGGAATGGATGACACGGATATGAGATGGTTGGAGGGTTGATTACAAAAACGATTACAAAAACGATGTGATTTAAGATATTTCACCCTTCACATCTAATCACCAAGCATGAGAGAGAAAAAGCCACTGGGATGTATTTCAGTTAATTGACTTGATAGTTTACTGACTTGATTGTTGTGGCCTTGCTTTTATTGGAGATAGAAATCTGTTATCATTTTTCATAGATTCATATGAATTTGGTATAAGATGAATGTATTATTGGCTACAAAGCTACTAACATTATTGTGTTGTTGTCAAGGTGAGCCAGGTCTTTCGTGGTTTTGTCTTTACAACATTTATATTTGGCAATATTAGGAATGCTCAGGCCAGAATATTGCGTTTAGCCACACCTAGGTGAAAGGGTTAAAAAACAAAACATGACAAAATGTAATTTGCCCTGTGTTGTGTTACAGGGGACGTGACTAACGTCTCTCTTTTTCAGAGAAACTAGAGAGATATCAGCTAATATATGAATATTTGACGTTGATATGAAACTGTGAGAGTGCTGCCAAAATTTGACAGTAATATATTATGTTCTGTCTTGTTGCGGTGATGTTCACACCTCAGAATAGTTCAATGTTGCCTCATTTCAGACATGAATTGGCAAAATCGTTCGGTTGCATTTAAAATTATGACATCCTGTGATTTTCATCAGTCTTTTTGATTTATGTTAATAGCCTTCACAGCATATCAAACCCTGCAACATAGGCCTACATCTTCGAATCAACAACATGTGACTCTCTACTAGCTATTATTTTAATCCTAATCCTCATAATGCATTTAGGAAAAGGAATCGACTGAGGTAATCTACTGCTGTGTGAATTCATTTAGACTTAATCTGACCCCATGCTATTCCAAAAGGAAACCAAGGGCTGTGCAACTTTCATCTCCCCTTCATTGATTATAGCTCTCGCAGAGATGAGGAAAAGCCTATCCCACTGCTCTCTTTCATTGGCCCCATAAAAAATTCAGCATGTCCTAATGGAGAGAAATCCTATTCTACTATGTACCCTCTTTACACTGGAAACAGACTAGACACACATTTCCCTGGTGCTATCAAAAATGATCAGAGATTAATAAACACATACATGTTTAATCATATGATGTAGGTTCAGAGCACCAGAAACATATAGCTACATTTAACTGGCACTTTTAGTGTCTGCACAATGTGAGCGATCTCCAGGATTGGATGAAAGTGCAGGCCTATTGGTAGTCTGTATAAGTATGCCCTAAGTGTATATAATGGTTATCCCAATAACCATTTTATTTCAGTACTACAAGATATCTAGATAATTAATTGGTACTTGCCTACATAAGCCAAAACCTTTAGCCTATTACAGTAAAAACTAAAGGTTTTGTATTGTAAGAACATAGTATTAAAAATGGTAATTCATATTTTGGCTATGTTTTGCATATCAAGAGCAAAATTGTGAAGGCCTAATCACACTGAATTGACAAAGTCTTCAAAACAACTTGCATTGATAATAATGTATGAACATTTAGAAAACACTGAATTCCATTGTAATAGCCTGATAGTAAAGCACTCTGTCATCCCCTTACTGCAAACTTTAGCCTACTTCCCAATGCTCAATCCACTGTATAGCTCGAAAGTCACAACTGTAACCATACAACATGATGAAGGAAGGAATAATACATGTAGGCGGCGTTACAAGCTCCGTAAACCAATAATAATATTTTAAAACAATATCGTATTGTCCAGACCTCCGCGATAGATGTTAACCTACACTGTAACAATTTGTTTCCTGTACTCCGTTCTTTCTTTTTGTTGAGGGAGTTGACAGTCAATACCATTTTCCTGTGGGTGAAACAAAGCTATTGCGACACGATTGATTTGGTCATTATTGTACAAGAAAACAGGACACTTCTCTAAGTAGAGAAAAATCACTGATATAAATCAAGAGATTGTCTTAAGAATACGTTTGAACATGTTTTAGGAATGAATAAGATGAAAATGCACGACATCTCTGTTAGTGCACCCCTCGGTGTAGGCTGTTGCCATGTTCCCAGTTTCTTCATGGGTGTGGTGATTAGATTGCTTGGTGAACGTTCAGTCTAATCCTGCCAGAGTTGCGCGAGTGCCTGGCCCTTTAAATCTGTTAAATTGTCTTAAAATTAATACCGCTATCTTGAAATTTCTTTCACAGCTGGGACCATGTATGCCATTTGAAAACGGACTACTGTGACACAGATTGGAACGACGTGGAAATTCCCCAAAAAATCCAGTTTCAGGTAATAACGTGTGCTCTGGCGAGCTGTATCTCTTGTCATTTTCTTGCCTTTATTTCCTGCTTTGGGTAAACCGTAGGCTATAGCCTACAATACGGGTTGATTTCGGCCTTTGTTTTGCATTGAGTTTGCAAAACATTAGGGGAGCAATTGATACATTAAAAAGCAATGTGTTGAATAGTGGTCATCTTAATAGCTAATTACATCTATTTCAAGGCTTGCTGTTTTTCTCGCTGAAGCTTTTATTGGTGAAAATTCGGTGTTATCGAAACGCGGCCTTTTACTGTCAAATCACCGTCGGACGGAAATAAACTAGCCTACTGTAGGCTATAGGATAAAAGGCTATCTTCACGAATATAACGAAGCCTTATTCAGATATGTAGAGTAGGATGCCGGGAGTATTATATATATATATATATATATATATATATATATATATATATATATATATATATATATATATATTTTACATTCATCAATTATAGATGACATTCAGCCTTCATTCGAGCGGCAACTTGTAGCAAGGCTGCCAATTGCTTAATTTCATGCATCTTTAGTCTTGAACATGCATGCCACCATCATTGATTTTGTTTGGAGATTATATAAAATCTAATATATTTCAATATTTAATCTTGTCAAAGCAACACGTGTTCAAGATTCTGTCAGAACACTGAGAACAGATAACCTTCCAGTTCTGTGTGTTGTGGTGCTGTTACAATGTAACAGTATTTTAACAACATTGTAACAGTATTGTAACAAAGTTGGAACTTTCGTGTATCTGCTATCTCTCTAATAGTATACACAATCCGCGTTAAAATTACAGTAATTGTTTTAATAGTTATAGTCTAGGCCTATAACTAGCCCTGTGTTTGTTTTAGCTGTAAGCCTATCAGTTATTGTTATACTTCTGAGTTTTAAGCAATATCCTGACAAGACAGGTTTAATAAGTCCTCCAACAAGATCAGTGAGGTACAGCTGTAGGACCTTAATTTGATCACCCTGTTGCAGGAGAACTTTCCTGCAATGCAGGACATTTAAAACTTGTAGTGTATTTGAGGTTTTAAAAGGCTTCTGAAGTTTGTAATTTCCACTTTGAAATGTCAGACTTGATTTTCCCTTACGAAAAATGTATCAACCCCTCCAAAAATGTCCATTAATTATAATTCACATAATAATTCACATTTCCTTATAATTTTACTGCTGTACCAAACTAGCTCAAATTAAGATCCTACATCTGTAGTGAAGTGTTGTAAAGAGTAAACAGCATTACAACTGCTGTTATCATAGTATGCAAACTTTGACCAGTAATACTGTAGCTCTTTGTGCACAGGTAGGCTATAGAAAAAACATACTGGCCAAATATTTTCGTGGTCACAATTAGAGTGGATTTGTGATAGGCCTAAGTGGCAAATTATTTATTAGAGAACATATGAAGATCATGTTTGATATCCATATGCGTCTGTCATATACTGAATGTATTTAATGTATTTCCTTATGTCTGCAGTTGACCAATGTAAATACTCAGCTTGTCCAGGAAATAATTTGGGAAGTAAAGTCACCTGATATTTCCGTCATTCTCCAGATGTTTCTGTGAACTGAACAAGTTGACACCTGGTGGGGCTGCCCTACCTCCTTTTGCTTTTACCCAATGTTTAGGCCACCTCCACCTCTCTGCAGAGATGTATCACCCTATTGGAGTTAGAAGAACATATACATGTACACACGATTTCATCCCAAGAACATGTGCACCTACACCCGCTCACACACATTTCACATTGACATTTTAGTCATTTAGCAGACGCTCTTATCCAGAGCGACTTACAATTAGTGAGTGCATACATTTTTCATACTTTTTCATATTCTCCCAAGACATTTCATACTCACATCACACTTTCATCGCATGACATTACCAAAATCTTCCACTCCAAACATTAACAATATTTTTTTTTACAAACATGGCTTTAGCCTATTACAGGGGTTTTAACATGAAATAACACACATATCAGACCAAACCCATGCATTACACATTAATAAGTCCTATTCAGCCAGCAATATCTATTCATCAGAGACAATGTTACTTGGAAAATCAATCCAGTATTCAATATAACGCTGGATACATTACACAAATATGAAACCATGGTAATCCCTAGGATTAGGTTACAGACAAGTCTAACATTGTGCCCTTCCCAGGAGAGGTCAAGTTAATGGCCTTGTGACCGTAAGTGGACTCATTTGGGTGAGACAAACATCAGACACAATATTCCCAATAATATTACAGTTCAAAGTTGTAACTAAAAGTGGGCGTGCTAATTTCAGATGCAAGTGTAACGGTAAAAATAAAAAATCCATTACTGTTCGAGCGATGTTGTTTAAATGGAGCGGATGTCAGGGAAGATGCAGCGTGGTAGTAGTATGTGATATGTGTGTGTGTGAGCGAGAGAGAGATGCACAATTGTGTGTGATGTGTGCATGGACGTATTTATTTATTTCACGTTGATTTGTGAAGGCATTTATGCGTGTGTGTTTGTGTGTGTGTGTCTCGGCATTAGTTACATTCGTGTTGAACAGGGTGGGCGGGCGGGCAGTGGCTGTCTTCACTGGGTAGAGTGGAGAGCCTCCCACCCATGCCCAGGCTTAGGGCCTGCCTGCTGAGGTTGTGCCAAGCAGCACTGCCACACACTAAACAATAGGGAGCCAGCGCAGAGCTCCCCTTTGTCATCCCTGTCTCTGTGCCATTCTCTGGGCCTCCCAGTCAACCACCACCACTAGAGGAAAGCTACTCGGCCAGTCTGTATCCCACACACCACTAAATAAGGGCAATTCGATTCAGAGATGGCCTCAGAAGTGGTGGAAGGGGGCAGAAATGTGTCATTTGACCACCAACTTAAGTAGTTTACAAAATGCGAGAACAATTTAGATTGAACCATTAGGGTCTACTTTTAAAGTCTGTCGTTGTAGAAATGTAGTACTGTCACATTATGGGGATTGTTGTTTTACATTTGCATTATTTTGCATGTCATATGCGCAAATAGGTTTAGTTAAGCTTTTGTGCATAGTCTTCTGCCTAATAGTTGAAATGAAATTAGCTTTTATGTTGGCCAGTGAGACATGTACACTAGTGTATAGTGGATTATGTTTCTTAAAGGAGCAGATAAGGCACCAGCAGCAGCACGTCACTGGTAAACTGACATCAGGGGCTCTGCAGGTGTCATGACGGAAACATAATTCCCAGCCAAAGGTATTTCTTTCTCCACTGTCTTACTTTTGTCAGTGTGCTTCCTACCTTACGCCGAAAGGATGCATATATCTTTTTTGTAATTCTGCAGTGGGAATAGAATGACAAACAGTCTCGAGCTAAGCCTTGAATAGTGTAGCTTTTGAATGAGGTTGTAAAATGCATATGCATTATGTAGGCTATATGGAAGGAGTATGCTGTTATGTAAATTAAGCATAAAGAATAAAGATTATTTAAAGCTGGGCAACCTGACCAAATTCACATAGAAATGTGTGTTAGATCTGTCATTCTCACTGAAAGCAAGTCCAAGAAGCGGTATATCTTTTCTATGTGCGCTATTTCTATGCTTCCCGTTCTTAAGTTTAGTTTTTAAGTTTAGTTCTTAAGTTTAGTTTTTGCGTCTTTTACTTTTGGTTTTGTACACCAGCTTCAAACAGCTGAAAATACAATATTTTTGGTTCTGGAAAATATATTTCGCAGTGGTACAGTGGTACAGTGATACAGTGATTCTCTACACTATACTTGCTTGTTGTGTCACATAAACTGAAATTAGGCGAACTATTAGAATTTTAGCAACCAGGAAATGGCGGTGAGATTTCTGCATAGTGCAGAACATGGTTTAACATGGTTATTAGCGCAAAGGCCATTAACGCTTAGTTATTAATGCTTATTTAACACTTATTTGTTAACCCTATTTCATAAAGCATCATACATCCATGGCCATTCAATAAACAGAAATACCAGCTGCTATGAATGCTTTGACGAGAGTTATTAAATGTGTAGCAAATATTTCTTCCAATGTGGGAAAATAAATACATTTTACAGGCCTGCTACCATAGCTGCTAATTATAGAAATGGAACTAAAACGTTAATCCAGGGCTGCATTCTGGACAGCATGCTGCAAAATGTCCTGGAAAATGAGGGGGGCCCGGCGCTCCCAACATTTCTGAAGAGTGTGTAAGTGCTCCGTGACCCACATTCAGGCTCCCCTAGGTAAAGGAAGAGATGACACACACACAGCCTAGTGTGTGTGTGTGTATGTATGTGTGCGTGCGAGCGTGGGTGTGTGTATAAACCCAATTCACTCAATAGAGCTACAGTACAGTTACAGTACAGTTACACCCCTCATTTGCACGTCAAATTATATTCAAACAGAATCAATGGCAGGGCAGGGAGCTAAAACAGCACAATGCAAAACACCCCCCCTGATTGAGTGGAAAAGGTCAGCGACTCAGAGCCTTGTGCGTCTAAATGGCCTTTTGAACCAGACTGGAGGTGATTGGTGCCTGTGTCTGGGTACAGGCCGGCGCCCCTTGACTCAGGCCAAAGCAGCCCCATCCACAGGATGTCCGTGTTTGTTACAGCCCAGGGAAGTGCTCCTCTGAAAGTGTGTCTGTCCGTCTGACTGACTGTCTGTCTGTCTGTCTGTGTTTTGCAGGTGTCAGCTGGTCTGTGTGTTTTTTACAAACCCAGTATTCCAAGTGGAGCGTGGCCTGAACACATCACAGAGGGACAATGAGTGAGCTGGAACAGTTACGGCAGGAAGCGGAGCAACTACGCAATCAAATCCGGGTATGGGGCGTGTGTGAGTGTGTGTGTCTGGATTGAATCCTTGACTCAAGAAATCTGAACAGTAAAGTTTCAGATGAGCAGTTGATAGCATTCCTTGGCATGATATATCATTTTGTTGTTGTGTTACAGGATGCCAGGAAAGCCTGTAGTGACTCCACTCTTTCGCAGGTAAGGGATTCAACAAGTTAAGATTACACATTTACTTACAGTACATAGAAATGCCGGTTATACCTTGGATCAAGCTATCATGTGTGCTTGATATAAAATACAGCCAAACATTGTCTACATAAGCATGACCCCTTAGGCTCTTTCCAATCACAACCAGTTAGCAGGTTTGCAGGATAAGATTTGAAGAAATACATTCTTGTTACACTTGAATTTGAGCCTCTTTTGACAATCTGAAATCTCAAGGTCTTTGTTATCTTACCATGTACCATGTATCAGGGTGACTGATTGGATAGGGTCCACTACACTAAGACACAAATAGCTATGAAACAAACATACAGTGCATTCGGAAAGTATTCAGATCCCTTGACTTTTTCCACATTTTGTTACGTTACAGCCTTATTCTAAAATGGATTAAATAGTTTTTTCCCCCTCATCAATCTATACACAATACCCCATAATGACAAAGCCAGAACAGGTTTTTAGAAAATGTTCCACTTTTATTAAGAATAAAAAACAGAAATATCACATTTACATAAGTATTCAGACCCTATACTCAGTACTTTGTTGAAGCACCTTTGGCAGCGATTACAGCCTTGAGTCTTCTTGGGTATGACGCTACAAGCTTGGCACAACTGTATTTGGGGAGTTTCTCCCATTTTTCTCTGCAGATACTCTCAAGCTCTGTCAGGTTGGATGGGGAGCGTCGCTGCACAGCTATTTTAAGGTCTCTCCAGAGATGTTCATTCTGGTTGAAGTCCGGGCTCTGGCTGGGCCACTCAAGGACATTCAGAGACTTGTCCCGAAGCCACTCCTGCATTGTCTTGGCTGTGTGCTTAGGGTCGTTGTCCTGTTGGAAGGTGAACCTTCACCCCAGGCTGAGGTCCTGAGCGCTCTGGAGCAGGTTTTCATCAAGGATATCTCTGTACTATGCGCCATTCATCTTTCCCTTGATCCTGACTAGTCTTCCAGTCCCTGCCGCTGAAAAACATCCCGACAGCATGATGCTGCCACTACCATGCTTCACCGTAGGGATGGTGCCAGGTTTCCTCCAGATGTAACGCTTGGCATTCAGGCTAAAGAGTTCAATCTTGGTTTCATCAGACCAAAGAATCTTGTTTCTCATGGTCTTAGAGTCATTTAGGTGCCTTTTGGCAAACTCCAAGCGGGCTGTCATGTGCCTTTTACTGAGGAGTGGCTTCCGTCTGGCCACTCTATCATAAAGGCCTGATTGGTGGAGTGCTGCAGAGATGGTTGTCCTTCTGGAAGGTTCTCCCATCTCCACAGAGTAACTCTGGAGCTCTGTCAGAGTGACCATTGGGTTCTTCGTCACCTCCCTGACCAAGGCCCTTCTCCCCCGATTGTTCATTTTGGCCGGGCGGCCAGCTCTAGGAAGAGTCTTGGTGGTTCTAAACTTCTTCCATTTAAGAATGATGAAGGCCACTGTGTTCTTGGGGACCTTCAATGCTGCAGAAATGTTTTGGTACCCTTCCCCAGATCTGTGCCTCTACACAATCTGGTCGCGGAGCTCTACTGACAATTCCTTCGACCTCATGGCTTGTTTTTTGCTCTGACATGCACTGTCAACTGTGGGACCTTATATACATTTGAAGTCGGAAGTTTACATACACCTTAGCAAAATACATTTAAACTCAGTTTTTCACAATTCCTGACATTTAATGCTAGTAAAAGTTCCCTGTCTTTGGTCAGTTAGGATCACCACTTTATTTTAAGAATGTGAAATGTCAGAATAATAGTAGAGAGAATGATTTATTTCAGCACATTCCCAGTGGGTCAGAAGTTTACATACACTCAATTGCCTTTTAAATTGTTTAACTTGGGTCAAACGTTTCGGGTAGCCTTCCACAAGCTTCCCACAATAAGTTGGGTGAATTTTGGCCCATTCCTACTGACAGAGCTGGTGTAACTGAGTCAGGTTTGTAGGCCTCCTTGCTCGCACACGCTTTTTTAGTTCTGCCCACAAATTGTCTATAGGATTGAGGTCAGGGCTTTGTGATGGCCACTCAAATACCTTGACGTTGTTGTCCTTAAGCCATTTTGCCACAACTTTGGAAGTATGCTTGGGGTCATTGTCCATTTGGAAGACCCATTTGCGACCAAGCTTTAACTTCCTGACTGATGTCTTGAGATGTTGCTTCAATATATCCACATAATTTTCCTTCCTCATGATGCCATCTATTTTGTGAAGTGCACTAGTCCCTCCTGCAGCAAAGCACCCCCACAGCATGATGCTGCCACCCCCGTGCTTCACTGTGGGATGGTGTTCTTCGGCTTGCAAGCTTCCCCTTTTTCCTCCAAACATAACGATGGTCATTATGGCCAAACAGTTCTATTTTTGTTTCATCAGACCAGAGGACATTTCTCCAAAAAGTACGATCTTTGTCCCCATGTGCAGTTGCAAACCATAGTCTGGCTTTTTTATGGCGGTTTTGGAGCAGTGGCTTCTTCCTTGCTGAGCGGCCTTTCAGGTTATGCCGATATAGGACTTGTTTTACTGTGGATATAGATACTTTTGTACCTGTTTCCTCCAGCATCTTCACAAGGTCCTTTGCTGTTGTTCTAGGATTGATTTGCACTTTTCGCACCAAAGTACATTCATCTCTAGGAGACAGAACGTGTCTCCTTCCTGAGCGGTATGATGGCTGCGTGGTCCCATGGTGTTTATACTTGCGTACTATTGTTTGTACAGATGAACGTGGTACCTTCAGGTGTTTGGAAATTGCTCCCAAGGATGAACCAGACTTGTGGTGGTCTACAATGTTTTTTCGGAGGTCTAGGCTGATTTCTTTTGATTTTCCCATGATGTCAAGCAAAGAGGCACTGAGTTTGAAGGTAGGCCTTGAAATACATCCACAGGTACAGTGAGGGAAAAAAGTATTTGATCCCCTGCTGATTTTGTACGTTTGCCCACTGACAAAGAAATGATCAGTCTATAATTTTGATGGTAGGTTTATTTGGACAGTGAGAGACAGAATAACAAACAAAAATCCAGAAAAACGCATGTCAAAAATGTTATAAATTGATTTGCATTTTAATGAGGGAAATAAGTATTTGACCGCTCTGCAAAACATGACTTAGTACTTGGTGGCAAAACCCTCGTTGGAAATCACAGAGGTCAGACGTTTCTTGTAGTTGGCCACCAGGTTTGCACACATCTCAGGAGGGATTTTGTCCCACTCTTTGCAGATCTTCTCCAAGTCATTAAGGTTTCGAGCCTGATGTTTAGCAACTCAAACCTTCAGCTCCCTCCACATATTTTCTATGGGATTTAAGGTCTGGAGACTGGCTAGGCCACTCCAGGACCTTAATGTGCTTCTTCGTGAGCCACTCCTTTGTTGCCTTGGCCATGTGTTTTGGGTCATTGTCATGCTGGAATACCCATCCACGACCCATTTTCAATGCCCTGGCTGAGGGAAGGAGGTTCTCACCTAAGATTTGACGGTACATGGCCCCGTCCATTGCCCCTTTGATGCGGTGAAGTTGTCCTGTCCCCTTAGCAGAAAAACACCCCCAAAGCATAATGTTTCCACCTGCATGTTTGACGGTGGGGATGTTGTTCTTGGGGTCATAGGCAGCATTCCTCCTCCTCCTCCAAACACGGCGAGTTGAGTTGATGCCAAAGAGCTCCATTTTGGTCTCATCTGACCACAACACTTTCACCCAGTTCTCCTCTGAATCATTCAGATGTTCATTGGCAAACTTCAGACGGGCCTGTATATGTGCTTTCTTGAGCAGGGGGACCTTGCGGGCGCTGCAGGATTTCAGTCTTTCACGGCGTAGTGTGTTACCAATTGTTTTCTTGGTGACTATGGTCCCAGCTGCCTTGAGATCATTGACAAGATCCTCCCGTGTAGTTCTGGGCTGATTCCTCACCGTTCTCATGATCATTGCAACTCCACGAGGTGAGATCTTGCATGGAGTCCCAGGCCAAGGGAGATTGACAGTTCTTTTGTGTTTCTTCCATTTGCGAATAATCGCACCAACTGTTGTCACCTTCTCACCAAGCTGCTTGGCGATGGTCTTGTAGCCCATTCCAGCCTTGTGTAGGTCTACAATCTTGTCCCTGACATCCTTGGAGAGCTCTTTGGTCTTGGCCATGGTGGAGAGTTTGGAATCTGATTGATTGATTGCTTCTTTGGACAGGTGTCTTTTATACAGGTAACAAGCTGAGATTAGGAGCACTCCCTTTAAGAGTGTGCTCCTAATCTCAGCTCGTTACCTGTATAAAAGACACCTGGGAGCCATAAATCTTTCTGATTGAGAGGGGGTCAAATACTTATTTCCCTCATTAAAATGCAAATCAATTTATAACATTTTTGACATGCGTTTTTCTGGATTTTTTTGTTGTTATTCTGTCTCTCACTGTTCAAATAAACCTACCATTAAAATTATAGACTGATCATTTCTTTGTCAGTGGGCAAACGTACAAAATCAGCAGGGGATCAAATACTTTTTTCCCTCACTGTACACCTCCAATTGACTCAAATGATGTCAATTAGCCTATCAGAACCTTCTAAAGCCATGACATCATTTTCTGGAATTTTCCAAGCTGTTTAAAGGCACAGTCAACTTAGGTTATGTAAACTTATGACCCTCTGGAATTGTTATACAGTGAATTATAAGTGAAATAATATGTCTGTAAACAATTGTTGGAAAAATTACTTGTGTCATGCACAAAGTAGATGTCCTAACCGACTTGCCAAAACTATAGTTTGTTAACAAGAAATTTGTGGAGTGGTTGAAAAACAAGGTTTAATGACTCCAACCTAAGTGTATGTAAACTTCCGACTTCAACTGTAGATAGGTGTGTGCCTTTCCAAATCATGTCCAATCAATTGAATTTACCACAGGTGGGCTCCAATCAAATTGTAGAAACATCTCAAGGATGAAAAATGGAAACAGGATGCACCTGAGCTCAATTTCAAAAAACTTGTTTTCACTTTGACATTATGGGGCATTGTGTGTAGATTGATGAGGAAACAAAATAGTTTAATCAATTTTAGAATCAGGCTGTAACGTAACAAAATGTGGAAAAAGTCAAGGGTCTGAATACTTTCCGAATGCACTATAGGTATAAAGCAAATAGCCTAGCAATTAGTCTATGAAACTAACATTTACATATTTGGGCTAGCATGAAGTTTATGAATGACTGTGCTGGGTTATGCTGATGATGTTTCCTTTGGGCCTGTTATATTGGCAGATCACAGCTGGTCTGGACTCAGTGGGCCGGATACAGATGAGAACGCGGCGCACTCTCAGGGGCCATCTCGCCAAGATCTATGCAATGCACTGGGGCACTGACTCCAGGTCTGACAATACTACTGCTAATACTACTACTACTGCAATACTACTACTGCAATACTTCTACTGCTACTATGCTTCTACTGCTAATATACTTCTACTACTGCTGTTGTTATTTTATCCCCCTTGATTCTAAATTGTTTTTTATTGTCTTTTTATTGTTGCATAAGTCCTATGAGGTAACTCTAATGAAAAGCACTATACAAATTAAATGTATTATTATTAGTACTACTACTAGTTAGTACCACTACTACTAGTACTACTGCTACTATCCTACTAATATACTACTACTACTACCACAACTGCTGCAATACTACACTACTGCTACTACTACTACTACTACTAATCCTCCATATTCTTCAGCACTGGCTGCTTGTGTCCTGTGGGTTTTGGACAGAAACATTGTCCCAAACCAAAGCCATTAACTTTTAAATTACAAAAAAAGTAAAAGAAAAGTTTGATAGACTGTTAGAAATAGATTTAACCCATAGCTAGCTATGTGCTACTAGTTCAATACTACGCCACATAGGGCAGAGGCACATTTTTACCAGTCACTGTACTGTTGCCAGTCACACTAGTACAGTTGGACCGACTGATTTCCAATTGAGGCTCGATTTATATGTGAGCCATTGGATTACAAGTATGTATGCTTACCAGCTCATTCTTACTGCTCCCAAATACTTCTGAGTGTGCGTCTGCACTCTGGGTGAACCACCTGGAGGACAAACAGCCTGTGTTTATTTTATATACAGCAGTTGACATTTCAGCGGCACAGCTCTCCCTTTATTGTGTGCTTGGCTCGCTACAGATGGGTGCCAACCCACTTCCTATCACTGGAGAGACGGAAACACAAGCAGTTGGTGGCAGGGGGATGGGGGGTGGGGTAGGCTCTCTTCCTATCTCTCTCCCTCTCTCTTTCCTTCATTCTCTCTATCACCTCCCCTCTCTATTCTCCCTCCCCTTCTCTCCACCTTTATCTTGCTCTCTATCCCCTCTATCCTTCTCTCGTTCTCTCTCCCTCTGTCTCTCCCTGCCCCCCTCTCGACTGTAGAGCCTTTCAGATGACTGAGGCAATGAATATTACATGAAATGGCTCATCCAAAGTGGTCGCTATCCTGGACGGTTCACACTGCGATCCTGGCATGTGGGGTGTCCCACCAGAGAGAGAGAGAGAGGGAGGGAGGGAGGGAGGGAGAGGGAGGGAAGGAGGGAGGGAGGGAGGAAGAGAAAGAGGGAGGGAGAGGGCTCTGGAGTTCACACCACATTTAAACTGCTTTGGAAGCAGCAGCTTTTCTGGCTACATTAGTTATGCATGCATTAGGTATGCTCTAACTAGCTCCATGGCTTTTTTTGTTCCTGTGAATGTATGCTAGTGTGCTGTGCTGACAGGTCAATATATTGAAACCATACTCTTTTTTTACTGGCGTCTAGGTTACTTGTAAGCGCCTCCCAGGATGGCAAATTGATCATTTGGGACAGCTACACAACAAACAAGGTGAGACCTACAATAAACTACACCTGTGTAACCGCTCTCAAATAACATCAAAGACAAACAAGCACCAGTAAAGTATCCTCTATATCTCCCCTCACACTGTAGCAAACAGTGCCATCCTCGTTGTCCTTGGTTCTCCTCTGCATACTGTATCACATTCCACTCCCCTGGGTGATTGAGCGAAGCACAGTTGGGGTCAAAACAATTACCATTTAGGTTATATCAGGAAGTGAATTCGCCTGAAAATAATTTCCTTTTATTTTCTACCAGGATATTTCTATTCCCGAATTGAATGTCAATTCACTTCAGGAAGGTTCCTAACATAAGATCTGCACGCGTAACTTGGACTTGGGAAGCCAAAATACAGGTTATGCGTTCAGATCTCAAGTTAGGATTTGGTCCTTCCTTTCAAGTCTTAACACTTATGAATTTTGATTGCAACCCTGGAGGTAACAGACGCTGATCATGTGTGTGTGTTCCGTAGATGCATGCCATCCCGCTGCGCTCCTCCTGGGTGATGACCTGTGCATACGCGCCCTCTGGGAACTACGTGGCGTGCGGAGGTTTGGACAACATCTGCTCCATCTACAGCCTGAAGACCCGCGAGGGCAACGTGCGTGTCACCCGCGAGCTGCCCGGACACACAGGTACACACTGGAGAAGGCTCTTTTTAAGAGGCGGAATACCGCAGTTTTAGAAAGGAAATAGCACAATTTCACCTCATCGACTTCTTTGATTGGTTTAAACCAAGATAACCTTATTTCATTCCTCCCCTCTGCCCTCATTCAATATCCCCTGCAGATCTGGGCCCGTTTCATAAAGCATCTCAGAGTAGGAGTGCTGATCTAGGATCAGTTCCACCCATAATTAATATAATCTTATTCATTATGATCTAAAAGGAAAAACGGATCTTAGATCAGCACTCCTTCTCTGAGATACTTTATGAATACGGGTGAGACTAGTTCTTCTCCATATTGTTTACACCTGTCCAATACTGTCAGATCTGTGAAGGTGGGGTGAACAAGGGCAGTGGATGCACTGAGGACCACAGTGATGGCTTGTTATGGTATTGATGTGAATAGTGTGGATTAAGCCCGTATGGTTATTTTCAACCTCTATTTTTCAGGCTATTTGTCTTGCTGTCGTTTCCTGGATGACAACCAGATTGTGACTAGTTCCGGGGACACCACCTGGTGAGTTTGTTGATCTAGTGTGGGAGGAATGCTTATTTGGGGAACACAACTTGTGTCTAGATGATATCCTTTGTCCAATAGCTGTGCATCCACCGCTCTTATAAGGCTTTGTCTTGGTTTTGTTCTGGGTCTGGTGCTATAATGGCCTTCTCTAAGCCAGCTCCTGTGAATACTACTCACACAGACTATTAGGGTTGGGCGATAATACGATAGCAGCGTCTATCGACGATGGTGACGACATCGTGATGTGACCGACAATGGTTTAGCCTATTTGAACTTGACTGCCGCCACGCAGTAAAGAGTGGATTCTCCAGCACACAGCAGGGCAGCACACAAGTGACATTCTGAGTAATTTGCCTATTCCTATTTGCTATAGCCTATTTCAATAAATATGTTGTATACAGAACGCAAGAGAGGAATGCAAGGTAAACAGAGCAGAGAATTCCACCAAAACAGCACAAAATGTCCAATATTCTCTCTCTCTCTCTCTCTCTGTCAGATGCATCGGCTTTTAGTCTGTAGCCTGAACCTATTCATTTAAAAGAAAATAACAAACACTCCTTAACTATCTTGTGTTTAGCTGTTTTAAAATAACGTAGCCTATATTCCCTTCTCTCTTCATTCGATAGGCTATGAATATGACAGAAGGCTATGCTTCATCATTTTATGAATGGCTTTCTCCCGATCAAACAATGAATGTAACTGCATTCCATCTCAAAAAGTTATTTGAGTAGCCTAAAAACATAAGGTAGCCAGGGGACTAATAATGAGAGAGAACAAACAATATCAATAGCCTATAGAAAAATCGAATGACAAGTTTAATCAAGTTTAAGTTTATTAAGAAATATATTATCCATGCGGGCTGGGAAAATCCCTCCAAACTAGATAAAAAAAACAAATGGCCAATAACCTATCCTCATTCCTCTTACTGGCATATCGTAAAAGCTTTAAGGCAAGTTCAAGTTATGAACAGCAGCTTATTTCCCAAATATTCTAGCCTACAAAGGTGTTGTCCTAAAGTTGTGGCTTTCAAAAATAACAAGAATGAAAGTCTATAGCCTATGCCTAGGCATTTATGATAGATAGAACAAACAATATGATTTATTTTCTATTATTTTATGAGGCAAATAAAGCAATTATTATCCAGTTTTGAAGACTGTAGACTGTTTCTATCCAGCCAATGAGGTCACTACGGTAAGACAGCCCGTTCCTCAGACAGTCACTGCTCCATCACAGCGCGCCACACAGACACACACACAAACCTGCTCCATGCTGAAGCTCCTCCACCAGAAAGGAATATTAGGAAAATATTTGCCTGTACTTAGCCTCTCCCCAGGCTTTCAACAACATTATCTTTCATCATTATCTGTCCAGTTGCATTCGATTTCACGCTATAGCCCAACTGTAGTTTTAGCGGATTTCTTAAAACTTATTTTCAATAAAAAACGAAAGATCATTGGGTTGGCCAATAGGGGGCGATAGCATCGTATATCACAATGTTTTATGGGTACATAATCACGATAGGACAAAGGTTGACATCGCCCAACCCTACAGACTACACTGACACACACACACACACACACACACAGAGAGGAGAACCCAGTGCACCTCCCCATTCATCATCAATTACATTTCAAGTCTTAACATTTCCACTGTATCCCCATACCCCCCCCCCTTCACTCTCAGCGCTTTATGGGACATCGAGACTGGCCAGATGGCCACCAGCTTCACGGGCCACACAGGGGATGTGATGAGCCTGTCCCTCAGCCCTGACTTCAAGACTTTTGTGTCTGGGGCCTGTGACGCTTCCTCCAAGCTGTGGGACGTCCGGGACGGCATGTGCAGGCAGTCCTTCACCGGCCACGTGTCCGACATCAACGCCGTCTGCGTGAGTAGGAGGCACAGGCGTTATATGTAGCGTTTTGATATGAAGAACCTTACATTGTAGGACGGTACTGTAAAGCAGACAAACATCTGTTACCAGACCGGTTACCAAACAAGATATCACAAATATTTGTTTGGTACATATTCACTTTCTTTGCTAACTAATACTGCAAGAATTTGATACAGATTTGTCTGACAATGTAATCTTAATCCTAAAAAGAGAACCTGAAGATGGATTGTAGGATCCAAGGAAACGTTCACTAAGTATACCAAACATTAGGAACACCTTCCTAATATTGAGTTGCACCCCCCCCCCACCACCCCCCTCCCCCCCAGAGCCTCAATTCGTCGGGGCATGGACTCTAAAAGGTGTCAAAAGCATTCCACAGGGATGCTGGCCCATGTTGACTCCAATGCTTCCCACAGTTGTGTCATGTTGGCTGGATGTCCTTTGGGTGGTGGACCATTCTTGATACACACGGAAAACTGTTCAGCGTGAAAAATCCAGCAGTGTTGCAGCTTGACAAAAACAGGTACGCCTTGCTCCTACTACCATACCCCCCTGAGCAAGGCAGTTAATGTCGATTAAGGCAGCCCCCCGCACCTCTCTGATTCAGAGGGGTTGGGTTAAATGCGGAAGACACATTTCAGTTGAATGCATTCAGTTGTACAACTGCCTAGGTATCCCCTTTTCGCTTTCCCTTTCAAAGGCACTTAAATCTTTTGTCTTGCCCATTCACCCTCTGAATGGCAAACATATACAATCCATGTCTCAATTGTCTTCTTTAACCTGTCTCCTCCCCTTCATCTACACTGATTGAAGTGGTTTTAACAAGTGACATCAATAAGGGATTATAGGTTTCACCTGGTCAGTCTATGTCATGGAAAGAGCAGGTGTTCTTAATGTTTTGTATACTCAGTGTGTATTTACTGTTTGGGGTATCTGTACTCGCTCGACCCTGTCGTGTTAAGGCGTCCGCATGCTTCCCAGCCGAAACAGTTCGGTAGAGTTTGTGCATATATTATGATGACATTTCGTGACGTTTTTGTTCGTTTTGGACTTGGGTGAGGTTTTTTTCGGCTGTTCGGGCACACAGCATTTTGTTCTGGAGGCAAGCAGAAGTTCGGCGTTGAAGTCTACGCCCCTTCGTTGATGATTGGTCAACAGTAGGGATTCTTCAATAAAGTATTTGTTGTCATTCAACGAGAGACGACTTGTTTTAATGCACATTATTTCATTGAAAAACACTGCACCAAACAAATTGCGCGACTAAGACCTCTTCGGCAAAAACGTCAAAATTAATGACCGATTTCTTGAGTTTTCTTAGATTCATTTTGACTATTTTGAGGAAGAGTATACTGGCTACGGCGTCTGAAAATGGACAAACAGTACTATTGCCGCTTTTTTGCAGTTTTTCAAGCAAAGGTCTTTTAAGGGAGTATGTGAGCACACTTGTTCGTTTCGGCTAGCCGAGTTCGCTAGGCGCCAGCCGAACTGAACCATGCTGACGCCTTTAAAGTGGAACATCATAGAATCTTCCAAAGACGAAATGTACCTTTAGTATCATGATACAGTAACACAAATTATTACAAAACATAATGTCATACACATTAGATAAAACAGTGAGTATGACACAATACACTATAACAAAAATAACTTAATTCACTATACCTAACCCATTCTCTCTGTCTGTGTGGTGCAGTTCTTCCCCAACGGCAACGCCTTTACCACGGGCTCGGATGACGCCACCTGCCGCCTGTTCGACCTGCGTGCTGACCAAGAGCTGATGATGTACTCGCACGACAACATCATCTGCGGCATCACCTCGGTGGCCTTCTCCAAGAGCGGCCGCCTGCTGCTGGCCGGCTACGACGACTTCAACTGCAACGTGTGGGACACCCTCAAGGCCGAGCGCGCAGGTACAGTGGAGGGGGAGCTGAGGGAACTAGTCCACGAATTAAAATCCTTTCTAATTCCAATCCCTTTTTTAAATGCAACCTTTTCTTGTTTCCTCCCTTGAGGTTAGAGGAAGGGACATAATGCGTCTTTTTGTGCTAGGCGCTCATTTGGCAGTCACACTTATCGACAGCAACTTACAGTCAGTACATACAGTAGTTGGTGTAACACTGGCTGTACAATGACTCACAATGACTCCTAATCACCCTTATATTGTTTCTCTTTCCCTCTCCCCCCACTCTCTTTCTAGGTGTCCTGGCCGGTCACGACAACAGGGTGAGCTGTTTAGGCGTGACAGACGACGGCATGGCCGTAGCTACGGGCTCATGGGACAGTTTCCTCCGAATCTGGAACTAAACCCTCCACATCACCTCCACCTCCTCCTCTATCCCCCCTCCACCAACCCACCCACCCATACCACTGGGCTGGACTTGAGGGTGAACACTGTGTCTTCTCCCCCCCACCAACAACTCCACAACACAGGCAAAGTCGTCCCCCCGTCCAACTCCTCCCCCTCACCCAACCATCCTCCACCCGCCCAAGCCACAGCCAGCGCCGCTGTGAGAAAGTAACAACTCTTTCTAACTTTCCAAGTGACGTTTTTTTACCCACCTATTACACAGAGCTTTTCAGTACGTACAGTTAGTGTCCAATAAAAAAAAAATGATGAGACGATTTAAAAAAATGTACAAAAAAACAAACCCTGGCATCCCCTCTTCTTTTCGGACAGGGGGGGAATAGAGCGCATGTTACCGTGGTTACCGCCAAATTAGAGGACAGTCTGTGTAATATGTAAATGTATATATAAATACAGTATATATGTATAACATTATGTGTGTATATATGCATCATATATGCACATATAATGTGTATGTATATATTTTTGTAGTTTATTTCCCACCCTTGAGTTTTTTTGTTTTTGTTTTTTGCCTTATGTTTTACTTGTTTAATGTATATAATATTCACAGTACTACACGATAACACAATTCCAATTTTGTCACTTGCCCCATGTACAACATAATGTACATGTCAGTATGCATGTGTGTGTGGGTGTGTGTATGTGCGTGTGATGGTCTACTGGCAAATGCATACACACGTTCTATAACTATAATACTGTATATTCATATGTTGATGATAGCGGTAACAATATGAGTTGTGATCTGTTGGCATTCCTCTAAACAAACATGGTTTTCTTTTCGAAACAGAACTGTTGTGGTCGTTTGTAGAGACAGCTTCTAGACTACAAAGGTTAGGTTTTTAGTCTTGCCGCAGTTTAAGCCCAATCCCTTTTCTAGAAACTGGTTTAACTAGGATTTGATACACAGCCACCGTAGTTGTTTGGAGGCGCAGTCTCGCTAAGCCCCTCTAACAAACTCAAACAGCGTGAAACGACAGCCTAGAGAGACACTCGCAGGGGTCTTGGGCTGCGTACAAAAACCGCTGTTGTATGGTGAATAGTATAACATCACTCCCACGCCTTGCAAATCAACAACAGTGTGATATGCAATAAATATGTTGCGATCATTCACTAACTGAGGCTTTACTGCATATACCCCAAAGGCCAAAGCCTTTCCGTCTCTCCACTGTGGATGGAGACGGGGGCCGGTCTGAAACCTAGGGCCAAAAGGTCTGAAACGTAGGGCCCCAAACTGACAGAGGGGGGGTTTAACTAGGAATGTGATCCTGGAGCTACTGGGAGCTAGCTCAAGCCTGTATCGTAAGACTAAAGACGTACTGAGAACCGGAAATGCTGGCAGTCTATACAGTCTCTACCAGAGGCTGGTCAGTAGAAGCATTAAGATGTGAAAAGGAATGACTGCTCACTATTTGAGCAGTGAGTGACTCTCGTAATTCCTTCCCTATGAGTGGACATGAGGGAAGAGACCTGTAATAGCTTCTTGCTATGTCCTCTTCAATTCTGGGGATTTTTTAAATTCTTGATGACCATCAATAGGGTGGTTTAGTTGAGTGCAGAATGTAACGCTGTTGGTTCAGAAATGTCGTCAGCCACTCAAAATCACACTAGTGCCACCACGAGCCTGTAAAAAAAGAAATGCTTTTAAAAGGTTGTCTGTATTTAACATGTAACGTTTCTTCTCACCAAAACAAATGTTATGAACAGTTGTAAGTGTTGCTAGCGAAGAAAGTTCACTCGGTAGAAGAAAGTACACTTGGTAGAGAGCTAGATAATGCACACATACACAACAAACTGTAGTCCAAATGTAAGCAAAGAGCACATGCAACATCCTCACCAATAGAGGAGAGGAGGTATCTCTCACAATACTTTGTTAGTTTGTGCATCAGTCATTTTCCTTGCAAGATAACTTTGGTTGGGAGGCAACACTTCAATAAGGCTGCCTATTTTTTTTATACACCCTAACATCCTAAAGTAACTATATACAGGACATGGATTGGATCCATGTGGAATGGATTAGAATGGTCTGTGGCTTGAGATCAGTTATATCTCCATTCTGCCTTACTGTACATGCGACGAAGCCAATCCCATTGCCAACATCGACCGGAACTTGTCAGGAACCCAAATGTTAGGCCTGCTTGTTCAAGACTTCAGCTTTTTAATCTCCACCTGTAGGCAGTTCACTTGACCTCAATCACCCAGTCTCCATTATTTCAGTGGGCCCAAGAGAATGTTAAAGTAATTGTCCAGTGAAAATCTCACTTTTAAAAGTTCATATTCTGTTAACTCATACCCAAATCATGTTATTGACTCATCCTATACTTGTATTTGTGGCCAAAGCATAACTTGGAGAAAAAACACCCCCCACCTCAAACAGACCGTTTGAAAAATGCTTGCTATTTCCTCATAGAGGATGAGCTGGCCAATCAGCGATCTACTCGCATGAATCTTTTTAATGACCGGTATACGCCTCACAGTTCTGTTGTTGGGGTACACCCACACCATTCCAACACAGAAAAGCTGCTTTTTAACATACAATTAAAATATATACTATTAAAAAAAAGTAATTATAGGTCATATTTCATAGAAGTCTGGAAACACTGGGCAGTTACTTTAAAAGATAGTCTCCTTTTTAAATATTGGCACTGGGTAAAGAATGAGGCAGGTCATAACCTGCTATAACAAAGTCAAATGATTTGATGAAATCAAGCAATTGTGAAGCACAGAGACTCGTCAGTACTATATTAAACACTAAAAGCCAAGCTTACAGATGACCACAACCGAAGAACTGCAAACCGCATGCATCTTCCGATAGCTTCTCGAAAGTGCTGTACATTATTTTATACAATTCTGCTTTCTATCGTACAATTTGTTGTATTTATTGATTACAAAGAAAACTCTTTGATCATATAGTGATTTATAGTAGCCGTTTATTTGGTTGTACGTTTTTAGTTGCTTTACCTGGCTTTGCATTAATTAATTTGAGAATAAATGTAAAATAAATGGCTGGCGGTTTATTAAGCCCCAAAAACACATCCTTGAGGTGACTTGGATGTCAAATGTATTCCATATCAGTGTTGAAATTCTCACTGATCTGTGTGGGTAACATACATGCCGGTTATAAGTGTAACTTTTCACATTTGTGCCAATGTTACCCACTGACCCTGAGCTGTGAACTGAAAACATGTCATAATTGACAACTCATTGTGTTTCTTCGCTTGCTTACAGAAAGTGCCAGCTTTTTTCCCTGAATCAAAATCTGAATCAAATCTAATCAGTGTCATTTTTTACACTTGGCCTGTAACAAGGTCCTCTGTTGACTTCATAAGGTGCCCAATAAAAGAGAAGTGTCCAGAACATATGGATATTCCTTCAATGTTATTGAATCACTTTCTGTTTTGCTTTCATTTCCCCATATGAAATGAATCTACCCATTGTGAATGATGAGGATACAATGAGAGAAACATGGCCCTTTTAAGACAGGAAAGACAGATGGCAGATAACAAAAAGGCAGGATGAAGTTTGGTCATTTTACACTAACATGGCTGCCAGGGAAACCATACCCCAATTTCTGAAAGCAACTTTGAAGTTGGTTGTGTTGATTCCTCATTTCAGACAATACAGCACCATAGCCCTTACTAGCCAAAAAATGAATATTCTATAACACGGAGAACAGCACAGAGGCTTGACCACAGTGCTCAATAAGATGCAACAGTATTAAAAGTTTTAACCTGAAATAGTGACCGCATTAAAATGTGCCTGTGCAGTCCCACTGATCAGGTTAGTTAGCTGGGACCAATGGTTTCTAGGCATCAATAGTCAAAGGTGCTCAATCTCCCTGTATTTGACCATGTCATTGTATTTCCTTAGTCTCCTTTAGTTGTATTCATCATATGAAACAACTATGTTGTAAGAGCAGTCGTGACAGCATGTGCTCTACCGGATGGGATGCTGAGCCCAAGTCTGCAACGAACACAGCGTGTGCTGGTTTTCAAGTCTCCTTGAGATACATAGTCAAAGTAATTGAAAAGCCTGAGCGTGTACTTGCCTGGATTTACAGGTCTAAGGAAAAGTAAGGAAGCAAATCAGCATGCCTTGCGTTTACATGTGAACGGTGTTGACTCGTGGACTGAGGTGGAATATTATCAATGCATCAAAGCAGTGTTTTACAGGGTTGCTCTTCACATCTGCTGAGTTTGGCGATAAATCGGAAAACGGAGTAGCGCATGTCAAGAGAAACAAACACAAGAGAATCAAACATTGAAGTTGTACCCCAGCTGTCCTTTTGATAATTAGTTACATTTAGCGATCACCACAAACACTGACACAAATTAATGCACTGCCTTTTGGCTCTTCGATCTATTCCGACACTTTTTTTGTGTGTGTGTTTTAAGCCAGTGAAAACCAGGGACATGGTGCCATGATTTCTCTTACAGTGCTATTGTGTGAAATTATAATCACTTGTTATGGAATAATTTTTTATAGTCTTTTTCACACAATTTATTTTGGTGTATTTGTACAGTGGCTTGGTGATACTGATATGTTGACATGAGTTGATATTGTAACCAATAAAAAAAGCTTTTAACCAAGGGTTTCTGTGTTGAAGCCTATTATGTAAAAAAACTAACTGCTATAATTTGAGGTTAACAGATTACTTTTCAAACATAATAGTTGCTTGAATGCTGACCATCTACCATTCAGTAAAAGCTTTTCTTTTTGAGTGCAGTTGTTAAATCCTCTTTCCACTTCTAAGAATGCAAGTCCTTCATCTTCAGTTTCATGTTGTTTCCATTAGAGATTCTACAGCAAACGCTACTCAAACATCAACAGAATCAATGACATAGCATATTACTTTAATAGATTCAGGTAAATCAGGATGTATTTCAATTCACATTCATCATATAATATAATATAATAATAATCATGAAAGGAAAACACTTTTTTCAAAGTGGAGATTGTTCAAATGTATTCTCACGTCAAATTAGTTGAATCGGCAGAGGAAGTTATAAAATGCTTCTACTTATCAAAACACTATATACACAGTTTTTTGTTGGGGTATTTCCTCAGCCGGACATTAGTAATTTTGATTGTTGCTTCTGAAGTCAAATGGATTTCCTCTGAATTTATGTGGGTCCTTCACAAAAAACATATATATATTTTTACAATGGGGTACCAGTGCCAAGGGTCAACCAGAACAAATTCAGCTCTGAATGAAAATCACATGCCTACATTTATGTCTACAAAAAGAAACACACACACACAAACCCATTTACTTCAGGAGTTAGTGAAAGGCATATTCACAGTTATAAGAGCAGTAGTGTCACTGTACAGGATACAGCACCCAACCTTCAATCTCATGCCAACCAAGGTTTTATGTCCCGACCTTCGGAACCGTATTCACACGACTGATTCACACAGTTATACAGAGTTTGTATTTGTATTACAGGCAGTTTGGTTTGTTGAACTAAATGGGCAGTTTGTTCTCGGCTAAGTCCTTCTATAAAGTGTGGAAAACTGGACACACTTCAACAAATCTCTTCGAGAAACATCTGTTCGGAGGTGGGGGAATCCCAGGAGCAATATTGTTGAGGGTGGACCTATTTTCTCTGAGTGGAGAGGGGAGGTCGGGGGGGGGAGTCAATGCCATTAGCTAGGACTGAGGCGCCAGGGGAGCCAGTAGAGCCAGAGAGAGAAGCCCAGTCCATCAATGATGGGGATTCAGATACTGGTCTGTAAAAGTCTCCAATTGCCTCTCCAACTCTGTGGCTTTGTGCCTGAAAACATATAGAAAAATATGTTTACACATAGACCAGCATCTATTGGCAGAATATTGATGTAGAACCAATTATAATGAGGTGAAAATGCCTATCCAAATGAAGCATGTTGAGGTTTACTGACAATAAATGAATGCTGTTCAACTCAAGTAAAACTACAAAACTACACGCATTCAGTTCAAAGGGTATATCTCTGAACTTTAACCCTCAATACAACCAATGGTGAAGTAACCTAACGTAGCAGGCTTATAAATACGCCCAAGTGAAGGTCCCACTTCCCTTCTTCAGGGGAAACAGAAGTTAGGTTGAAAATATGCTAATAATGAATAAATGACAAAATGTGACAATACATTTTTCTAGGCAAGACACAAAGGCTACCAAAGCACCACAAGCATAAAATTGTTAAATCAAAAGCATTGGGGATGGAAAAATAGAGCTATCCAGGGGGCAATGAATGGTATGGGGTAACACTGGACATTGGAGGTAGCTAGACTGACCGGAGGGTCTTGGAGCGGCTCTGGACGGTCTCCAGAATCTGGACCTTGGCGGTCAGTCGGCTGATCTCTCCCTCCAGCTCCCTCTGTGTCAGGTCCACCTGCTGACACAGCCACGCAAAGGTCGTGGCCATCTCCCTGGGCAACACAAAGGTCAAAGCGCTCTATCACTTATTTATTCACCACTTCACAGAAAAGAGAGGGGAAGGGGAGGGAAGGAGGGTAGCAGAGGTCCATAGATTTGGCTTTCAGCAGAATTTCGCACTTAATACATCAGTAGTGAATCGGTTCATAAAGCAAGAGTGTTTAGAAACATCTACATACGAGGCTCAACCATTAGTTACAGTTACTGTACTGGGATTGAGGCCTGTAGATGTGTCCTAATGCAGGGAGCAGGGACCCACACCCAGGCAAACCGGCGACCCATCAAATGTTAGCAAAACAAATTGAAAAACATAATGTCTTATCATTAGGTGAATGATAATAGCAAGTAAAAGTAGGCTAATCAACATTTTAAAATGTATAGATTTGGTAGACAGTGTCATTATTTTGACCTCCCCACAGTTCATTGGAAGAGGAAGTATAAACTCTTAGCTATAACGGTATCTTGGCACTGTAGATAAAATGTTGCTGTTGTAAACACATTTTTCTGCAATTCTACAAATTGTTTCATTCAGCTGAGAGAATATTTTGCGCTTTGAAGCTAATTTCCAGAAATTCTACACAGTTTAGCTGTAATTAGCTCCAATGACTAATTTCCTCCATATTAAAGGGAGTTCGAGATTTTGGCAATGAAGCCATTTATCTACTTCCCCAGAGTCGGATGAACAGGAACAGCTAGCATGCTAACTGTTCCTGTAGACTTCCAGTCATTGTGCTAACGCTAGTTAGCATTGGCTCGTGAAACTACTTCTATCTTCCGTCATACTGGACGTATGACGCAGTAACATAAAAATAGTATCCACAACGGTATTCTGTTGCAGTTAGCGAGTCATTAAATAATTATTTTTCACATAAAGAAATTCCCCCAAATATATATATTTATAATTAAAAATGCCAGACCACCTGCAGTTACTGACCCCAGTTTGAAAACCCCTGTCCTAATGCACACAACAGGATCTACACAACTGATGACATGGAAATATTGATTGTCAGCCACTTTTGATAACTCAAAACTGGTTTAAAATAGAAACAAACCTAGATTTCATGGTGACCTTCCCCTTTAAGCTTATCCGTATTCCCAGAAAAGGCATTTATACAGAATATGTCATCTGGGCTGGAGCTGCAGCCTGTACTTACTGCTGGACCTGGTGGCTGCAATTGGCACTGGTGAAGCTGACGATGAGTTGCAGTTTCTCTGTGGCGTAGTCCACAAACTGGCGCTTGAGTGCACGCTCCTTGGCCTTGGTGGTCCACGTGAGCTTCTCCCACAGGTAGAGCAGGCCGTACATGGCGGCCGACAGGGCTATGAGCCGCCAGCCCACCGTCCGCCACACCTAGCACACACACGGGTAAGAGGGAGGTGGTTTTTTTTTGTTTGTAGTTTCACTCTGTATGGAAAGCAGCACCCATATTAATCTGCTACATCTGCTGTGTTGGTTACACATCTGTATAGATCCGCACATATACAATATACCAGGACTCTATCAAGACGATATTTTATTTTAGTGTGTGCTAAATATATCTACACTATAAAACAAATAGTCTAGATAAAGTGATCTGCCACTTCATTTAAGATGGATTGAGATGTATTGATGCATGTATAGAGCCTGGTCCGTACTGTATACCCATTATAATGACAAACGGGTTGCCAGATTGGGTGGAAGTACTATTACGCACCACTCCTCCAACGATGACCACGCTCATGGAGGTGCGGGAGGTGAGGGAGGCAAGGTTGGTGGCCATGGACATCATCAGCTCCTCATGGGAGAGCACAGGTTCCTGGGGCTGTGCTACTGCCATGCTGGAGGGGCCGCTGGAGGGCGTGGTGGACAGGGAGCGTGTCATCTAAACAAGACAGGAGGGAGGGACACAGTAATGACAAAGCAAAAACAGTTTTTTTTTTTTATTCTAGCGAATGTATTAATAATAAAAAACAGAAATATGTTATTTACATAAGTATTCAGACCCTTTACTCAGTAATTTGTTGAAGCACCTTTGGCAAAGATTACAGCCTCGAGTCTTCTTGGGTATGACGCTACAAGCTTGGCACACCTGTATTTAGGGAGTTTCTCCCATTCTTCTCTGCAGATCCTCTCAAGCTCTGCCAGGTTGGATGGGGAGCGTTGCTGCACAGCTATTTTCAGGTCTTTCCAGAGATGTTAGATCGGGTTCAAGTCCGATCTCTGGCTGGGCCACTCAAGGACATTCAGAGACTTGTCCCGAAGCCACTCCTGCATTGTCTTGGCTGTGTGCTTAGGGTCGTTGTCCTGTTGGAAGGTGAACCTTCGCCCCAGTCTGAGGTTCTGAGTGCTCTGGAGCAGGTTTCATCAAGGATCTCTCTGTACTTTGCTCCGTTCATCTTTCCCTTGATCCTGACTAGTCTCCCAGTCCCTGCCACTGAAAAACATCCCCACAGCATGATGCTGCCACCATCATGCTTCACCGTAGGGATGGTGCCAGGTTTCTTCCAGACATGACGCTTGGCATTCAGGCCAAAGAGTTCCATCTTGGTTTCATCAGACCAGAGAATCTTGTTTCTCATGGTCTGATAGTCCTTTAGGTGCCTTTTGGCAAACTCCAAGCAGGCTGTCATGTGCCTTTTACTGAGGAGTGGCTTCCGTCTGGCCACTCTACCATAAAGGCCTGATTGGTGGAGTGCCTGCAGAGATGGTTGTTCGTCTGGAAGGTTCTCCCATCTCCAGAGGAACTCTGGAGCTCTGTCAGAATGACCATCGGGTTTTTGGTCACCTCCCTGACCAAGGCCCTTCTCTCCCGATTGCTCAGTTTGGCCGGGTGGACAGCTCTAGGAAGAGTATTGGTGGTTCTAAACTTCTTCCATTTAAGAATGATGGAGGCCACTGTGTTCTTGGGGACCTTCAATGCTGCAGAAATGTTTTGGTACCCTTCCCCAGATCTGTGCCTCGACACAATCCTGTCTCGGAGCTCTACGGACAATTCCTTTGACCTCATGGCTTGGTTTTTGCTCTGACATGCACTGTCAACTGTGGTGCCTTATATAGACAGGTGTGTGCCTTTCCAAATCATGTCCAATCAATTGAATTTACCACAGGTGGACACCAATCAAGTTGTAGAAACATCTCAAGGATGATAAATGGAAACAGGATGCACCTGAGCTCAACTTTGAGTCTCATAGCAAAGGGTCTGAATACTTATATAAATAAGGTATATCATTGTATTTTTCAATATAAATTATATATATATATATATATATATATATATATATATATATATATATATATATATATATCAGCTTGAATTCAAAATATACAAATATCAGCATATCAGTTACTTTAACAAGGCCAGAATATGAAGGGGAAAAATAAGTTTACAGGCCTAATGTTGGAGAATGATAGGTTTGGTTGATACTGTATTTTAAAGTGGTATCGACATCATGTCTATTCTACATCATCCATTACACACTAAAACATATCTACTACATATCCATTACAGTCATATAACACATCTATTAAATATCTATACTACACCTAGAACATATCTATCACCACCATTCCTCACCAATGACCAATGAATGTTCCTTAGCCTTGGGTTTTGTTTTTGATGCTTAATTAGAAAAAATCGAAAACAGAGGTGGACATAGATGAAGTGGAGATTGAACAGTGAGAAAGGTGGAGGCGGGGATTTAACAGTGAGAAAGGTGGAGGCGGGGATTGAACAGTGAGAAAGGTAGAAGTGGGGATTGAACTGTGCGAGAGTTGGACACTGGGATTGAACCCCGATCTCCGGAGTCGTAGTACATGTGCTAAGAGCCGGGAGTGTTACCACTCAACATGATGCTGGTTCTTGTCGACCAGCATCAAAACTATTAACTATCTATTAAAGTCATATAACATGCCTATATGACATACCCATTTCATATCTATAACATATTACACTACAGCTATGACATACACTACATGAGTAGTATGTGGACACCTGCTTGTCGAACATCTCATTCCAAAATCATTAATTTGGGCATTAATATGGAGTTGGTCCCCACTTTGCTGCTATAATAGCCACCACTCTTCTGGGAAGGCATTCCACTAGATGTTGGAACATTGCTGCGGGGACTTGCTTCTATTCAGCCACAAGAGCATTAGTGAGGTCGGGCACTGATGTTGGGCGATTAGGCCTGGCTCGCAGTCTGGCTTTCCAATTCATCCCAAAGGTGTTTGATGGGGTCAGGGCTCTGTGCAGGCCAGTTAAGTTCTTCCACACCGATCTCGACAAACCATTTCTGTATGCACCTCGCTTTGTGCACGGGGGAATTGTCATGCTTAAACAGGAAAGGGCCTTCCCCAAATTGTTGCCACAAAGTTGGAAGCACAGAATCGTCTAGAATGTCATTGTATGCTGTATCATTAAGATTTCCCCTTCACTGGTCCTCCCGAGTGGCGCAGTGGTCTAAGGCACTGCATCGCAGTGCTAGCTGTGCCACTAGAGATCCTGGTTCGAATCCAGGCTCTGTCGTAGCCGGCCGGGACCGGGAGACCCATGGGGCGGCGCACAATAGGCCCAGCGTCGTCCAGGGTAGGGAATGGCCGGCAGGGATGTAGCTCAGTTGGTAGAACATGGCGTTTGCAACGCCAGGGTTGTGGGTTCGATTCCCACGGGGGGCCAGTATGAATTATTATTATTTATTTTTTAAATAATGTATGCACTCACTAACTGTAAGTCGCTCTGGATAAGAGCGTCTGCTAAATGAATAAAATGTAAATGTAAGGGGCATAGCCGGAACCATGAAAAACAGCCCCAGACCATTATTCCACCTCCACCTAACTTTACAGTTGGCACTATGCATTGGGGCAGGTAGCGTTCTCCTGGCATCCGCCAAACCCAGATTTGTCCGTTGAATTCATCACTCCAGAGAATGCGTTTCCACTGCTCCAGAATCCAATGGCCGCAAGCTTTACGCCACACCAGCCGACGCTTGGCATTGCACATGGTGGTCTTTGGGTTATGCTCGGCCATGGAAACCCATTTCATGAAGCTTCCGACTAACAGTTATTGTGCTGACGTTGCTTCCAGAGGCAGTTTGGTACTCAGTAGTGAGTGTTGCAACCGAGGACAGACGATTTTTACGTGCTACGCACTTCAGCACTTGATGGTCCCGTTCTGTGAGCTTGTGTGGCCTAACACTTCACGGCTGAGCCGTTGTTGCTCCTAGACGTTTCCACTTCACAATAACAGCACTTACAGTTGACCGGGGCAGCTCTAGAAGGGCAGAAATTTGACGAAGTGGCTTGTTGGAAAGGTGGCATCCTATGACGGTGCCACGTTGAAAGTCACTGAGCTCTTCAGTAAGGACATTCTACTGCCAATGTTTGTCTATGGAGATTGCATGGTGTGTGCTCGATTTTATACACCTGTTAGCAACAGGTGTGGCTGAAATAGCCGAATCCACTAATTTGAAGTGGTGTCCACATACTTTTGTATATATAGTGTATCTATCCCCATAATTTCTCACCTTCGTATCTTACTGGAATAACGCGAAGTTGCCCCTAGACCCTGATCCTGGGACAGTTTTGCATTTCCCCCACTAATGGTTAAGGTTAGGACTGGGGGAGGGAAAGCTGATCCTAGATCTGTAACTAGGGGAAACTTCACCCCGGATCTGTCTTACCTGCGTTACCTGGAAGTTCCTCTCGACCAGCATGAGGGCCCGCTTTGCGTTGGTAGGCCCCAGGAAACGGTTGACCAGTGCTGTCCAGCCCATTGAGAACTGGAACTCGATGTTCTCCTGGAAGTCCGAGCAGAGCGTGGCGCAGTTCAGGTCGTAGCTCATGTCAAACTTGCGGCTGGGCACCAGCATTTGTATCTGGCTCTGAACAGCAGGGGGCAGCAGAGGCTGCAGACTCTCTGGTGGTGGGGAGGAACAAGGAAGGAAACACAGACACAAGTCAGGTGACTTCACTGAAATAGTCTAGATGACTTCTGATCCAAATACTTTGAATGCTTCCTGCTTCCCTTGTTCCTTGCGGTCCTCAGAGATCTGACAGAACTGGATCAGTGGAAGCTATGTAGTAGAACCCTCTGAATAGGCCCCCTAACCAACTGTGTTAGATTACTTAAAAGAAGGTAGGATTTAAACAGGGCCTTCCTTTCCATGACAGTGTCTAAATACACAATGATCTGAGGGGAATAAATGGGTGAGAAGTGAGCAATATGGGAAAATCCTGTACGCTGGGCGTACTTTTCCTCAAACAATTGGTTTCCTCCCTCGCGTAACAGTCCCAGTGCTGATTTTCATAGAGGTCCATTACATCTTTGTCAGTCTGCTTTATGACTGGTTGCCTGGTCACACACAAGGCATCATGAGCCTATGAGCCTGTGTCATGACCAAAGCTGAACCCAGATCTGTTTGTGTTGTCATACCAACCATAGGAGTTGGCAAGACAGCATTAACAGATGTGGGACCAGGCTAATCATGACCAGGGCTAGCCTAAATAAAGCCTGTGTTATGGGGTGGTGTTACGTGCTGCACCAACTACCTACCGATCATGTCTCTCTGGGAGGTATGCACTGAGGCGTTGACGGCATTGGAGCAGCGGAAGGCCAGGTTTTTGCCCATGCCCTCCTCAATGTGGCTCAGTAGCTCCTGTATACGGGGGTGGGGTGGTTTGGGGGGGGGGGCAACCGCAGGACATGGTCAGAGGTGGAAGAGTCAAGGAATGGTCATGGAACGGTCACAGAAATAGAGTGCATAGAAGAGAGGTCACTACTACGATGTATTGGGAGTCATGATGCTCCTAACCTAAATGCTCTGTGTGTTACTTTAGCGACAACGCTACAATTTCAAGGAGAATCTGCCATAGAAAACAGACCTATGTGTCCGCCGTGGCAGTCTTTGGTGTAACGAAAATCAAACTCACTGATTTGTAGAGCTTGAGGACGTGGGGTGAGGGGTGGAAGTCAGAGTGGAACTCCTCGATTAGCACGTTGAGACGACAGATCTCTTCGCCCATGGCGCTGGACACCTGGAGAGAACGGCTGTTTTAGTGCCTGGCAAAATAAAATATTTGCACCACTTGGAGTAACCCTTGGAATGGATTGAGAATTACTGCTGTAATAAATTCGTAAATTGCAGTTGGCAGTATGACCCTGGAGGGCCAGAGTTGGGCTTCCCTGCACTGTTAAGAGGCTTAGGATGGGCATATTTCACAAACATATTGTAAACATTCATGTTATCAGACTAGCATGGTTTACCTTGCGCTCCACCTCTTCTGTAATGGCCTTGATCTTCTTCTTGATGTCCTCTATGAGCAGGTTGAGCTGGTTCTTCACAAACTCCAGACGGTCCATCTGGTATTCACGGTCCTCCAATGAGGCTACTCTATACGGCAGACAGGAAGTGGTAAGGTGAGACACAGGAAGTAGTAAGTCAGTGCTTCGACCAGGAAGTACACGGATTGCGATCCAATGTCCATACTAGCATACGACTATACTGCTATTGCAACAGATACCAAAATATCGGATAACAATATTGAATAGTAATAAATGTTACCGTTTACATACAAATACCACATAGAAGTGTCAAGTAAAAGTGCTACCAGAACATTTGGGTACGATTAAACAGAAGACCATCCCGGAAGAACAGAGTGATATGAGCGGATGGAACGGGGGACACCCACCTCTTCTCTGCCGCCTCGATGTTGATGGCGTCCATGATGGCTTTGACCGTTTCAGTGATCTGCTTGGCCCTTATAGTGTGCTGCTCAAACTTTGTTTTCACTGCTGACTGCGAGATACACTCCTGCGAGGCCATATAATAGCACACACGTTACTGTGACTGGGGGCTGCGACACACACACACACGGTGGGGACACACACAGTTGTGGTGGGACGAAAGGGGACAAGATATACAACTGCTGCCGCAATTTAAGAATGTTACTTAGAAATGCTCAAGTGAAAAAAGTGCCGTCAGCAGCTCTGTATCTAGAGTCCCACAGCCCCTTGGTTCACAGTAACGTGTTAGTGAAGCAATAGCAAAATCATAGGAACAAAAGTCAACACAAGAAACAACAATTCTAAGAAAAGAAGATCACTATTTAAAACATAAAACAACTCAGAAAATACAAAATGCAGGCAACAGAACAGAATCAAACAAATGAGACACGGTGAACAGAATGAAAATGTAACTGAAAGAAACGGATGATCCTCGCCTAAGCAAATCTAGACTTCAGCAATGAAGACCCAGATTGATGGCAATGTGCACATTGATTGGCCTAAGCAGGGGTTCTGAGGGGCGGGCTTGGCTTGGTTTGGAGACTTGTGATTGGTGGAGAGACTAGTAGTCCGGAGATGAGATGGAGGTCGAGACTAGAGGTGTTTCTCGCAGCACAGGATAATAGAGATAGAGTGATTAGAATGGTTCACCACTCATATCTGTAGTGGCATGGGATAGAATCTAGTTAACCTCCTATCGATTCTACAGCTTTCCTTTTAGGTGTCCGACCCCAAAACGAGGTAAATGGTATGGGGCAGCATAACTACGGAACTTTCTCTCTTGCAAATCTTTTCTATACCATTTCTCTACGCACACGCACGCACACACACACACGTCCACAAACAACAGCAGCTACCATTGTGCTTGAGCAGGTGCCCCTGGAAAATCTCTCTGTTATGTTAGGAGGAGGATAACGGGGCTGGGAATTGCCAGGGACCTTACGATACGTAGGTGACGACATGATACTGTGGGGAGAACAAGTATTTGATACACTGCCGATTTGCAGGTTTTCCTACTTACAAAGCATGTAGAGGTCTGTAATTTTTATCATAGGTACACTTCAACTGTGAGAGACGGAATCAAAAAAATCCAGAAAATCACAATGTATGATTTTTAAGTAATTAATTTGCATTTTATTGCATGACATAAGTATTTGATACATCAGAAAAGCAGAACTTAATATTTGGTACAGAAACCTTTGTTTGCAATTACAGAGATCATACGTTTCCTGTAGGTCTTGACCAGGTTTGCACACACTGCAGAAGGGATTTTGGCCCACTCCTCCATACAGACCTTCTCCAGATCCTTCAGGTTTCGTGGCTGTCGCTGGGCAATACGGACTTTCAGCTCCCTCCAAAGATTTTCTATTAGGTTCAGGTCTGGAGACTGGCTAGGCCACTCCAGGACCTTGAGATGCTTCTTACGGAGCCACTCCTTAGTTGCCCTGGCTGTGTGTTTCGGGTTGTTGTCATGCAGGAAGACCCAGCCACGACCCATCTTCAATGCTCTTACTGAGGGAAGGAGGTTGTTGGCCAAGATCTCGCGATACATGGCCCCATCCATCCTCCCCTCAATACGGTGCAATCGTCCTGTCCCCTTTGCAGAAAAGCATCCCCAAAGAATGATGTTTCCACCTCCATGCTTCACGGTTGGGATGGTGTTCTTGGGGTTGTACTCATCCTTCTTCTTCCTCCAAACACGGCGAGTGGAGTTTAGACCAAAAAGCTATATTTTTGTCTCATCAGACCACATGACCTTCTCCCATTCCTCCTCTGGATCATCCAGATGGTCATTGGCAAACTTCAGACGGGCCTGGACATGCGCTGGCTTGAGCAGGGGGATCTTGCGTGCGCTGCAGGATTTTAATCCATGACGGCGTAGTGTGTTACTAACGGTTTTCTTTGAGACTGTGGTCCCAGCTCTCTTCATGTCATTGACCAGGTCCTGCCGTGTAGTTCTGGGCTGATCCCTCACCTTCCTCATGATCATTGATGCCCCACGAGGTGAGATCTTGCATGGAGCCCCAGACCGAGGGTGATTGACCGTCATCTTGAACTTCTTCCATTTTACATTTCCATTTACGTCATTTAGCAGACGCTCTTATCCACAGTCAGTGAGTGCATACATTATTTTTATTTATTTTTTTATTTTTTCATACTAGCCCCCCGTGGGAAACGAACCCACAACCCTGGCGTTGCAAACGCCATGCTCCACCAACTGAGCTACATCCCTGCCGGCCATTCCCTCCCCTACCCTGGACGACGCTGGGCCAATTGTGCGCCGCCCCATGGGTCTCCCGGTCGCGGCCGGCTACGACAGAGCCTGGATTCGAACCAGGATCTCTAGTGGCACAGCTAGCACTGCGATGCAGTGCCTTAGACCACTGCGCCACTCGGGAGCATTTTCTAATAATTGCGCCAACAGTTGTTGCCTTCTCACCAAGCTGCTTGCCTATTTTCCTGTAGCCCATCCCAGCCTTGTGCAGGTCTACAATTGTATCCCTTACACAGCTCTCTGGTCTTGGCCATTGTGGAGAGGTTGGAGTCTGTTTGATTGAGTGTGTGGACAGGTGTCTTTTATACAGGTAACGAGTTCAAACAGGTGCAGTTAATACAGGTAATGAGTGGAGAGTGGAAAGAAAAACTAACAGGTCTGTGAGAGACGGAATTCTTACTGGTTGGTAGGTGATCAAATACTTATGTCATGCAATAAAATGCTAATGAATTACTTAAAAATCATACAATGTGATTTTCTGGATTTTTGTTTTAGATTCCGTCTCTCACAGTTGAAGTGTACCTATGATAAAAATTACAGACCTCTACATGCTTTGTAAGTAGGAAAACCTGCAAAATCGGCAGTGTATCAAATACTTGTTCTTCCCACTGTATGTATTGCGATTCTATATGTATTGCCATTCGATACTGCGATTTTATTGCAATTAATGTTCCAAACATATTGCTCACTATATGTCTGCTGCAGAGAGACGAGAGAGCATGAGAAAATGAGTTTTGATCAGTCAGGGAAATAAAAGTGCTGAAAACATGTTGGCTCATTATTTAAAAAGAAGATAGGAGTTTTGGTGCAGGTACAGCCTACTAGCGCTAGCTAACGCTAACTACAGTTGCAAAACAATTATTGGAGTCAAATATAGATTTCATATCGGACTAAAATAATATTCCGATATGTAACTATCCATTTTTTTCCCTCATCACTAGAAGATAGATGTGTTAAGTGCCAGTTCTAGCCATGCTCCAGATCGCTCCAACACTAAGTCCAGTGTCACACTGGCAAAAGCCAGGCCGGAGAATTCAGAGTGAGAGAGTTTGCCTGAGGAGGAGCCATGGTGTTTGGCTTGACTGAACTACACACTGATTTCACTTCCACCTTGATTGCTTGGAATGTGCTTCATTTTGAGATAAAAAAATCTATGTAGTTCTGCCATTTAATTTTTAATTAATTACTTCATACTATGGGGTTTTCATATACATTTCAGATGAGTTGGAGATTTTGTATTTAATCATTAAACAATCTCCATGTTTGAGGCTGAGAACGAGTGGTGTTAGAAATGCCACATACACACACAAACAGATACGCATACACTCGAACTTGCCTCAAATATCCTCTCGAAACTCTGGAACTCCTTGAGCCTCTCCTGGAAGCCTTCTGCTAAAGCTCCACCTAGGAAAGTAGCACGTTGTCATACAAAGACCACCACATCACAGCAGCACGTCTCCATAACGGAGTGTAGCACACTGCCATTTTGGATACAAACTCCTACAAAAAAATTAATGATTTAAAGGGACAGTTCACTTTTGTTGTATCAGTTAGCATTGAATTCAAAGTAGGGTGACCACATTTAAAATACCTTATATCTTTCGGTCTATTTACTTACTTTTGGAGCTCTTCGTTAGAAGCACACTTTTTGTAAGTAGTTAACTGTCCTCTCCAAGTTTAGCTGGAATTTAGCCCGAAAGGATTTGAAAAATGTGATTGGTTGACAATGGTCTAAATTTCGTCTTGCGCTGCGCAGAATATCAGATCTCAACACCGATTGGAGAAGTGTTTAACATCACCAGTACCACCACATCCTTATGAGATCTTGTCATAAGCACGTCATGACTGCAAAAGAGACAGGTTGGAATGTCAATTTTTATCAAATTAATGGGAAGACTGACAAATGAGACTATTTTACTATTTTCTGTAAATTAGTGGCGTTTTAATTTGTTGATAAAATGCGGGAAATAATTGTTTGGTTGCATGACAAAGGGCCAAAATATGGGATTGTCCCGCACAATCCGGGACATGTGGTCACCCTAATTCAAAGGTATGAGGAAAGAGCTCTGATGAGTGCCGCTATCCCCATGCTTTTGAACACATCACTAACTGATACAATCCATTTCCACTAGCATTGCTACATTCTCCAAAAATGCTAGCCATTAGCAGGGTTGAACGGATTACTTGAAAAATGTAATCTGCTACTGGTAACAGTTACATGAAAAATAAAGTAATCAGTAACGTAATCCTTTGGATTACTCAAAATGAGTAATATACTTTTGGATTACTTTAACTTCTAACACCCATGCATAAAAATGTGCAACAACTAATTATTTAATTTAGTAACATGACTATTTCCAATTTGGAGACTAGTGTGGTAGTATGCTATAATTTACATGTCAGAGAGCATACACAGCCTCCATACTAACATTTTTTTTGTAGTTTAAAAGTGCTTCATTCGAAGTGTACTAAAATGGTATGATTCAAGAAATACTGTATGTCCAAGCAGGAATGCATGATTCAACATACTTTGATGTGCAACCTTAACCAGTGAATTTAGAATTTTAGTCCTACAAGTCAAAATAGGGGTCCAGAATTTACAGATTTTTTTTCAATAGATTCATTTGACTACATATTTTTGGGCAATAGTGTGGATAATTCATGTGGGACTTATTCACCAGAGGAGAATTAGTGGTTAGTTCTGATTGACCAGTAGGCCAGGTGTCAATGTTTTGGAAGCCTTACCTATTCATTAAATCAATTGGAATACAAAACAAGCCATCCATCCTTGATGGGCGATCATCAGGACAATAGAATCTTGCCGAGTTGGGAGCATGTGAAAAGTCTTGAGGGTGCGCGAAATGACAGCAATGCAGACAAAGTGTTATCAAATTTTCCTATTGATATTCAATAAGGAAAAGTAATCCAAAATGTAATCAGGTGTTTAAGAATGTAACTGTAATCCCAATTACACTTCTTTTTTTAAATAAGTAATCCGGGCTGATTACAGTTACTTCATTTTCCCCCATTAGATTACGTAATCCTTGTTATATGTAATCCGTTACTACCCAACCCTGGCCATGAGAATCTACTAACTAAACCAACTAACACAATTTGGATGAAACGGCAACAGGTATGTACGTTGAAAATAAGATAAAACTTCCAAAAAGTGAAATATCCCTTTAAACTAGAAAGGATGTGGATAAAGTATAACCAGATGGAGAGAAGATGCCAGGCTAAAAGCAGAGCTCACAAGACCACAAGACTCAAACGAAAGGTCATTTTGGAGCATGTGAGCCAACGGATTGCATAAGTGGCTTGATCCCATGTAGGTGGTGTTAGCCAGAGATGATAGGGAAGTTTTAGTTTGATTGTTTTCTAGCTTGGCTGGGGATATTTTGTTTAGATCGTACACTGTGGATCTAATTTGGGGAGGCCTATAAGGCATTCTGCACACACAGTGTGGACAGAACACAACCTTTGACATGAGTGAGCCTGCTTGCCCGCTATACACACCCATCAACCCACCCATCTGTCCACACAGCCACTAACACACCCCCAAACCCAACAATTGACCTACCCACTGAACTACTTACTAGGGGTGTGAACACTTCAACTTTTAAACGAAATTGGGATTCTTAAAGTTAAGAAAAATCCTTAACCGTTTTTTCCCCCCACAAAATTAAAATCACAGTGCAATTATCACAAAACATTATTTTCTGTGTTATAGCCTAACTAGACGATAGGCTATAAAGGCCTGGGGAAAGTGTAATTTAAAGGTAGACTCAGCGACATGAAGTAGACGCAGAAAGTAAACGACATAGTGAATCAATTTCCACAGCAACTAAGACCTGGCTAACACGCTGTGAACAGCGTGAAGCGAACCTGTACACATGCGCAGATACTGTGTGTGTTGCACCTTGCTCATCTCAATATCCTAGCCTATTCATTGATGATAGGCCCTGCTTTACTGAAGTTGCAAGACATTGCAAGCAAACAAATTACGAGGTACAGCATTCCATTGCGAGATACAGCTTTTGATTGCCGATAGATAGGCCCAGTGCACGGTTCTGATTCTGTCTGCCTGGTGGCTGACCTGCCTATACAATGCCCCTCCCCTCTCTATCCGTCCTTCACTAGTGCACTATGAAAGATGCAAGTGTTTGTGTTCTCGGAAATATGGCAACTAATCAGTCTCCTCCGTTACAAAAATACTGAATCATAGGAGTCGATTCCAAGCGGATTCCTAGCAGAATCGAATCTTGACACTCAGAAATGGGAGCCGACGTGCAAAGAATCAATTGTTTTGGAGTCGACTCTCCACCACTATGTCATCGTTGTTAACAGTTGGAAAAATGGCAGAGAAAGGCAAGCGACAGCAGCGAAGTCCTGTATGGCAATACTTAAATGAGAAGGAAATGCAAACTTTGCGAGACGGAACTGAGGTACAGTAATGGTAGTACAAGTGCAATGCTTAACCATCTGAAAGGGACACAGTGTGAGACCAAAACCGTTGCTGGCAGCAGCATTGTGAATTCACATGAAATTCTATGATTTCTTCTTATTGTTTTACTGGAAACCCCCCCAGAAATTGCAGTTTAAACGTTAAGAAAAAACAATTTGTCACATCCCTACCACCTACCAACAACCATACACACCTGGTTTGACCACTGCGGACACCCTGGTTTGCCAACACACACACATCCGCTTGGCTATCCACCCATCAACACGCCCACACCCTCCTGGTTTGACCACCGCGGGGCTTACCGGACTCTGGCATACCCTGGGCGCGCTGCATGCGGGAGTTGAGCACCTCTTTGGCCGACACAAAAAAGATGCGGTTGGGCGCCTGCTCCCGGTCCACTACCTTCAGCTCCTCCACCAGGAAGTTGACACAGCGGTCCGTGTGCTGCTTCCGCACCTGTAAGGGGAAACATTACTGCATCACTACAACAACATTACCACAAAGCTCATAGCAATAACAAAAACTCTCATGGAGCCATAAACTTAATTTGCACTTCAGCACTAGGCTTGGGCGGTATACTGTATACCAAATATGGCAGTGGAGGCTCCTCAGAGGAGGAAGGGGAGGGCCATCCTCCTCAGTGAATTTCATAAAAGTAGAAAAATAGTGAAACATTAAAAAGGTTATAATTTTTTGATAAAACAATACTAAATATATTGACGTCACCAAATAAATGATTAAAACACACTGTTTTGCAATGAAGGTCAACACTAGCCTCAGCAGCACTCTGTAGGGTAGCACCATGGTGTAGCGCCATGGTGTAGCAGGAGGACAGCTAGCTTTTGTCCTCCTCTGGGTACATTGACTTCAACACAAAACCTAGAAGGCTCATGGTCTCACCCCTTCCATAGACTTACACAGTAATTATGACAACTTCCGGAGGACGCCCTCCAACCTATCAGAGCTCTTGCAGCATGAACGGACATGTTGTCCACCCAACCAAAGGATCAACGAATGACTATAGTTCTGAAAGCGTAAGCTACAGCTAGCTAGCACTGCAGTGCATAACATGTGGTGAGTAGTTGATGCAAAGAGAGAGAAAGACAATAGTTGAACAGTTGTGAACAACTTAATTTATTCCAAAATTGAGTGAAAGAGCTAGTTATATTTTGTAGTATTTATTTTTTATTTTTTACTTACTAAGCTAGCATCGAACACAGCTAGCTAGTTTAGCCTACAAAAACACCCGTCTCAAACAGTGAGGGAAAAAAGTATTTGATCCCCTGCTGATTTTGTACGTTTGCCCACTGACAAAGACATGATCAGCCTATAATTGTAATGGTAGGTTTATTTGAACAGTGAGAGACAGAATAACAACAAAAAAATCCAGAAAAATGCATGTCAAAAATGTTATAAATTGATTTTCATTTTAATGAGGGAAATAAGTATTTGAACCCTCTGCAAAACATGACTTAGTACTTGGTGACAAAACCCTTGTTGGCAATCACAGAGGTCAGACATTTCTTGTAGTTGGCCACCAGGTTTGCACACATCTCAGGACGGATTTTGTCAAACTCCTCTTTGCAGATCTTCTCCAAGTCATTAAGGTTTCGAGGCTGACGTTTGGCAACTCGAACCTTCAGCTCCCTCCACAGATTTTCTATGGTATTAAGGTCTGGAGACTGGCTAGGCCACTCCAGGACCTTAATGTGCTTCTTCTTGAGCCACTCCTTTGTTGCCTTGGCCGTGTGTTTTGGGTCATTTTCATGCTGGAATACCCATCCATGACCCATTTTCAATGCCCTGGCTGAGGGAAGGAGGTTCTCACCCAAGATTTGACGGTACATGGCCCGTCCATCGTCCCTTTGATGCGGTGAAGTTGTCCTGTCCCCTTAGCAGAAAAACACCCCCAAAGCATAATGTTTCCACCTCCATGTTTGACAGTGGGGATGGTGTTCTTGGGGTCATAGGCAGCATTCCTCCTCCTCCAAACACGGCGAGTTGAGTTGATGCCAAAGAGCTCGATTTTGGTCTCATCTGACCACAACACTTTCACCCAGTTCTCCTCTGAATCATTCAGATGTTCATTGGCAAACTTCAGACGGGCCTGTATATGTGCTTTCTTGAGCAGGAGGACCTTGCGGGCACTGCAGGATTTCAGTCCTTCACGGCGTAGTGTGTTACCAATTGTTTTATTGGTGACTATGGTCCCAGCTGCCTTGAGATCATTGACAAGATCCTCCCGTGTAGTTCTGGGCTGATTCCTCACCGTTCTCATAATCATTACAACTCCATGAGGTGAGATCTTGCATGGAGCCCCAGGCCGAGGGAGATTGACAGTTCTTTTGTGTTTCTTCCATTTGCGAATAATCGCACCAACTGTTGTCACCTTCTCACCAAGCTGCTTGCCGATGGTCTTGTAGCCCATTCCAGCCTTGTGTAGGTCTACAATCTTGTCCCTGACATCCTTGGAGAGCTCTTTGGTCTTGGCCATGGTGGAGAGTTTGGAATCTGATTGATTGATTGCTTCTGTGGACAGGTGTCTCTTATACAGGTAACAAGCTGAGATTAGGAGCACTCCCTTTAAGAGTGTGCTCCTAATCTCAGCTCGTTACCTGTATAAAAGACACCTGGGAGCCAGAAATCTTTCTGATTGAGAGGGGGTCAAATACTTATTTCCCTCATTAAAATGCAAATCAATTTATAACATTTTTGACATGCGTTTTTCTGGATTTTATTGTTGTTATTCTGTCTCTCACTGTTCAAATAAACCTACCATTAAAATTATAGACTGATCATTTCTTTGTCAGTGGGCAAACTTACAAAATCAGCAGGGGATCAAATACTTTTTTCCCTCACTGTAGCTGGCTATGGATATCCAACTCTGGAACTCTTCCAAGTCAAGGTTTTATTAATTTATTGCCTCCGGGGCCCGCCGGTGTAACTGCTAAACTGCTTGCTGACTGTACACTGTACTGCATGATTGTAGCGGGTTTACTAAAGCGTTAGTTCTAGTAGCTACAGTGAGGGAAAAAAGTATTTGATCCCCTGCTGATTTTGTACGTTTGCCCACTGACAAAGAAATGATCAGTCTATAATTTTAATGGTAGGTTTATTTGAACAGTGAGAGACAGAATAACAACAAAAAAATCCAGACAAACGCATGTCAAAAATGTTATAAATTGATTTGCATTTTAATGAGGGAAATAAGTATTTGACCCCCTCTCAATCAGAAAGATTTCTGGCTCCCAGGTGTCTTTTATACAGGTAACGAGCTGAGATTAGGAGCACTAATCTCAGCTTGTTACCTGTATAAAAGACACCTGTCCACAGACGCAATCAATCAAATCAGATTCCAAACTCTCCACCATGGCCAAGACCAAAGAGCTCTCCAAGGATGTCAGGGACACGATTGTAGACCTACACAAGACTGGAATGGGCTACAAGACCATCTCCAAGCAGCTTGGTGAGAAGGTGACAACAGTTGGTACGATTATTCGCAAATGGAAGAAACACAAAAGCACTGTCAATCTCCCTCGGCCTGGGGCTCCATGCAAGATCTCACCTCGTGGAGTTGCAATGATCATGAGAACGGTGAGGAATCAGCCCAGAACTACACTGGAGGATCTTGTCAATGATCTCAAGGCAGCTGGGACCATAGTCACCAAGAAAACAATTGGTAACACACTATGCCGTGAAGGAGTGAAATCCTGCAGCGCCCGCAAGGTCCCCCTGCTCAAGAAAGCACATATACAGGCCCGTCTGAAGTTTGCCAATGAACATCTGAATGATTCAGAGGAGAACTGGGTGAAAGTGTTGTGGTCAGATGAGACCAAAATCGAGCTCTTTGGCATCAACTCAACTCGCCGTGTTTGGAGGAGGAGGAATGCTGCCTATGACTCCAAGAACACCATCCCCACTGTCAAACATGGAGGTGGAAACATAATGCTTTGGGGGTGTTTTTCTGCTAAGGGGACAGGACAACTTCACCGCATCAAAGGGACGATGGACGGGGCCATGTACCGTCAAATCTTGGGTGAGAACCTCCTTCCCTCAGCCAGAGCATTGAAAATGGGTCGTGGATGGGTATTCCAGCATGACAATGACCCAAAACACACGGCCAAGGCAACAAAGGAGTGGCTCAAGAAGAAGCACATTAAGGTCCTGGAGTGGCCTAGCCAGTCTCCAGACCTTAATCCCATAGAAAATCTGTGGAGGGAGCTGAAGGTTTGACTTGCCAAACGTCAGCCTCGAAACCTTAATGACTTGGAGAAAATCTGCAAAGAGGAGTGGAACAAAATCCCTCCTGAGATGTGTACAAACCTGGTGGCCAACTACAATAAACATCTGACCTCTGTGATTGCCAACAAAGGTTTTGCCACCAAGTACTAAGTCATGTTTTGCAGAGGGGTCAAATACTTATTTCCCTCATTAAAATGCAAATCAATTTATAACATTTTTGACAAGCGTTTTGCTGGATTTTTTTGTTGTTATTCTGTCTCTCACTGTTCAAATAAACTGTATGTTGACCATGACGTGATAACAATGTAGGCTGTGTGTAGCGGTTAGCGGTCATGATATGTGTTGTGCACTGAAGTCCACAATTAAAAGGAAAAGGTGCGAGGCGAGAGCGTAGATAGATGCGAGAAGGAATTAGCTATATATAAAACGAGCTGTTTGTATGCGGCTGCTATGAAAGTGAACTGTGTTTGCGTGTGATCGGGTGTATTCCTTGTGCCGATTCTGTTGAAAAACGTTTCTGAAACGGAAGCAAATGGAACGGGGATAATCATACCTGAATTTGCCCAATAGAAACTCGTTTGCGACTGTTAGACTAATGATTACACCATAGATCAGCTAGATGCAGGCAAGAGTGGGCAAGGTGGTATTGAATGTGTCACTGTCTGTCACCTTGATTACTCAAAATTATTTCGACCTGTGCACGTATGTTGTAAACTTTTATTCATAGGCTAGGTTGTAGCAACCTCATGATGGGTACAGGGTAAATTTGAGTATCATGTAGTCGCCTAAACCTATCGACGTTACATTGAGCTGGGTGAATGGAATATGAATGACAGTCATTCAATATGCTGTAATAGAAATAAGCCATGTTCATCAAAACAATTACCATCCTCCCTCATCTTAAACGGCACAGACAGCCACTGGTATACGGTACCAGGGTATTTTGAAATACAGTTGAAGTTGTAAGTTTACATACACCTTAGCCAAATACATCTAAGTTTCACAATTCCTGACATTTAATCCTAGTAAAAATTCCCTGTTTTAGGTCAGTTAGGATCACCACTTTATTTTAAGAATGTGAAATGTCAGAATAACAGTAGAGAGAATGATTTATTTCAGCTTTTATTTCTTTCATCACATTCCCAGTGGGTCAGAAGTTTACATACACTCAATTAGTATTTGGTAGCATTGCCTTTAAATTGTTTAACTTGGGTCAAACGTTTCGGGTAGCCTTCCACAAGCTTCCCACAATAAGTTGGGTGAATTTTGGCCATTCCTCCTGACAGAGCTGGTGTAACTGAATCAGGTTTGTAGGCCTCCTTGCTCGCACACGCTTTTTCAGTTCTGCCCACAAATTTTCTAAAGGATTGAGGTCAGAGCTTTGATGGGCACTCCAATACCTTGGCTTTGTTGTCCTTAAGCCATTTTGCCACAACTTTGGAAGTATGCTTGGGGTCATTGTCCATTTGGAAGACCCATTTGCGACCAAGCTTTAGCTTCCTGATTGATGTGTTAAGATGTTGCTTGCTGAGTGTATGTAAACTTCTGACCCACTGGGAATGTGATGAAATAAATAAAAGCTGAAATAAATCATTCTCTCTACTTTTATTCTGACATTGCACATTCTTAAAATAAAGTGGTGATCCTAATTTTTACTAGGATTAAATGTCAGGAATTGTGAAAAACTGAGTTTAAATGTATTTGGCTAAGGTGTATGTAAACTTCCGACTTCAACTGTATATATACAGTACCAGTCAAAGGTTTGGACACACCTACTCATTCAAAGGTTTTTCTTTATTTGTACTATTTTCTATATTGTAGAATAATAGTGAAGACATCAAAACTATATATACAGTCGTGGTCAAAAGTTTTGAGAATGACACAAATACTAATTTTCACAAAGTTTGCTGCCTCAGTTTTGATGATGGCAATTTGCATATACTCCAGAATGTCATGAAGAGTGATCAGATGAATTGCAATTAATTGCAAAGTCCCTCTTTGCCATGAAAATGAACTTAATCCCCCAAAAACATTTCCACTGCATTTCAGCCCTACCACAAAAGGACCAGCTGCCATCATGTCAGTGATTCTCTCGTTAACACAGGTGAGAGTGTTGACGAGGACAAGGCTGGAGATCACTCTGTCATGCTGATTGAGTTAGAATAACAGACTGGAAGCTTTAAAAGGAGGGTGGTGCTTGAAATCATTGTTCTTCCTCTGTTAACCATGGTTACCTGCAAGGAACCACGTGCCGTCATCATTGCAAGACATCAGGTCGCCCAAGAAAGTCCAGCAAGCGCCAGGACCGTCTCCTAAAGTTGATTCAGCTGCGGGATCGGGGCACCACCAGTGCAGAGCTTGCTCAGGAATGGCAGCAGGCAGGTGTGAGTGCATCTGCACGCACAGTGAGGCGAAGACTTTTGGAGGATGGCCTGTTGTCAAGAAGGGCAGCAAAGAAGCCACTTCTCTCCAGGAAAAACATAAGGGACAGACTGATATTCTGCAAAAGGTACAGGGATTGGACTGCTGAGGACTGGGGTAAAGTCATTTTCTCTGATGAATCTCCTTTCCGATTGTTTGGGGCATCCGGAAAACACCTTGTCCGGAGAAGACGAGGTGAGCGCTACCATCAGTCCTGTGTCATGCCAACAGTAAAGCATCCTGAGACCATTCATGTGTGGGGTTGCTTCTCAGCCAAGGGAGTGGGCTCACTCACAATTTTGCCTAAGAACACAGCCATCAATTAAGAATGGTACCAACACATCCTCCGAGAGCAACTTCTTCAACCATCCAAGAACAGTTTGGTGATGACCAATGCCTTTTCCAGCATGATGGAGCACCTTGCCATTAAGCAAAAGTGATAACTAAGTGGCTCGGGGAACAAAATATCAACATTTTGGGTCCATGGCCAAGAAACTCCCCAGACCTTAATCCCATTGAGAACTTGTGGTCGATCCTCAAGAGGCGGGTGGACAAACAAAAACCCACAAATTCTGACAAACTCCAAGCATTGATTATGCAAGAATGGGCTGCCATCAGTCAGGATGTGGCCCAGAAGTTAATTGACAGCATGCCAGGGCAGATTGCAGAGGTCTTGAAAAAGAAGGGTCAACACTGCAAATATTGACTCTTTGCATAAACTTCATGTAATTGTCAATAAAAGCCTTTGACACTTATGGAATGCTTGTAATTATACTTCAGTATACCATAGTAACATCTGACAAAAACATATCATAACACTGAAGCAGCGAACTTTGTGAAGACCAATACTTGTGTCATTCTCAAAACTTTTGACCACGACTGTACACATGTATTTCTTTAAAAAAAAAAAAATAGCGTCCCCTTGTCTGCACTGCCAGTAACACCATATACCCCGGTATGGTACAGGAACAGTATGAAGGTATGGAAATCTTGATACTGCCCAACCCTATTTCAGCATCAGTGGCTAATTCTACTATTCTGAACTTTCTAAAAATCGATTAATGCCCTGTTATTCTTGGTAAGACACTCACATCCTCCATGTACTCTGGCTCGTTGGCCGAGGCGTCCCAGCGGTTGTTGAGGATGAAGATGTTAGGTTTGGAGAGTTTCTCGTTCACCTTGTGGAAGAAATGCTTCTCCTGGAGGACACACAAAAATGCACGGTCAGAAATAGTTAGTGCACCAACGAACATGCAGTACACACACTCACTCAGTCTATACGGGAAGGAGATGTGTCAAGGGCATTTGTCAAGTGTCACAAAGATGGGTCATCGGCTAATTAGCTAGAGAAGGGCTCCATTCATTGAAAGACGTATTGTCTGTTGTTTATCAAATAGTTGAGTTTCATTCAGAACTAAACTTAGCCAGAACAAGTACTTATTCACTTGAATGAGAAATTATGTGTTTGTCCAAGAGCATAGTATTATCAGTCAAATAATGCTAATCTAATGTACTTTGTAGAATACTTAAACTATATAGGGTTCTATGATTTAATTAAACAGAGGCTGAGTATCCTAGGGTGCATAGTCCAATAGTGAGCGGAGGGGAAACAGGGCCTTTCCCTTGAAGAGATTTGGCACAGATAACGAGCGAGCTCAGTGATTGACTATGTGCCCTGACATACCGTGAATGCCTCGGCAGACAAACACAGCTGGTCCTGAGTGCTGGACCAAAATGGAGCCGGCCGTATCCTAGCACTGTTGACTATAACAAGCGTTGGAAAGAAAACAACCTCTTCTTCCTCACAAGAAAACACTTCCTTTAGTGTCTGTCAGTTCACATACCAATTCTCACTCTTAGTTAAAGTGAAATACAATTAGATTAAGGAGGCATCATTCTTACACAACCTGCTTAATATGTACAGCTTTTCTTGAACGCATTGTTGACATATGTTGATAATTCCTTCTAGTTGCGTCAAATAACAATTTTGCTAATTTGTTGCTTCATAGAACACATAGTGTATTCGGAAAGTATTCAGACCCCTTGATTTGTTCCACATTTTGTTACATTACAGCCTTATTCTAAAATTGATTAAATTATTTTTTTCCTCATCAATTTACATACAATACCCCAAAATGGCAAAGCGAAAACAGGTTTTTCGAAATGCTTGCAAATGTATTAAAAATTAAAAACAGAAAGACCTTATTTACATAAGTATTCAGACCCTTTGCTATGACACTCAAAATTAAGCTCAGGTGCATCCTTTTTCCATTGATCATCCTTGAGATGCTTCTACAACTGGATTGGAAGAGTCCACCTGTGGTAAATTCAATTGATTGGACATGATTTGGAAAGGCACACATCTGTCTATATAAGGTCCCATAGTTGACAGTGCATGTCAGAGCAAAAACCAAGCAATGAGGTCGAAGGAATTGTCCGTAGAGCCCCGAGACAGGATTGTGTCGAGGCACAGGTCTGGAGAAGGGTACCAAAAACATTTCTGCAGCATTGAAGGTCTCCAAGAACACAGTGGCCTCCATCATTATTAAATGGAAGAAGTTTGGAACCACCTAGACTCTTCCTAGCGCTGGCCGCCCTGAGCAATCGGGGGAGAAGGGCCTTGATCAGGGAGGTGACCAAGAACCCGATGGTCACTCTGAATGAGCTCCAGAGTTCCTCTGTGGAGATGGGAGAACCTTCCAGAAGGACAACCATCTCTGCAGCACTCCACCAATCAGGCCTTTATGGTAGAGTGGCCAGACGGAAGCCGCTCCTCAGTAAAAGGCACATGACAGCCTGCTTGAAGTTTGCCAAAAGGCACTTAAAGGACTCAGACCATGAGAAACAAGATTCTCTGTTCTGATTAAACCAATATTGAACTCTTTGACCTGAATGACAAGCATCACATCTGGAGGAAACCTGGCACCATCACTACGGTGAAGCATGGTGGTGGCAGCATCATGCTGTGGGGATGTTTTGGTGCGGCTGGCTTCCGGGTTAAGCTGGCGGGTGTTAAGGAGCACGGTTAGGCAGGTCATGTTTCGGAGGACGCATGACTCCACCTTCGCCTCTCCCGAGCACGTTGGGGAGTTGCAGCGATGAGACAAGATCGAAAGAAAAAAGGGGGTAAAATACAACAAAAATACAGATTTGTGAACATGACCAAATCAAATCATTTTGTATTTCCTTTCTCCAGAAAGACTAACTTGTTTGTGGTTGAAAAATAACTCAAAGGAATCCATGAAAACAAATTGGGGAATGAGAAACTCATATCCCAAACTAAGCACACAGAGCTATATGTGCTCTTGGAAGCTCTGCTACTTAACACGTTTGTCAATGTTTCAGATGGACGCATTGATCAAATCTATCTAAACCCACGTGATTTGTCAGCTCTGTCAAGATCCCATCGGGATTGGTCAGATCTGTCTAGATCCCATGGGGATTGGTCAGCTTGTGAGCACTCTTACCGTGTTCATGAGAGTTGATTCGGAGTTTGCAACCAGCACGAAGACATCGGCATCCAGGCAGAACTTGTCGATCCAGCTGTCCAGCTGCGTGGTGACATCTGTCCCAGGGCTAAAGAAGATGGAGGATGGGGTTAGAAAGTCAAGTTCATAACTTCTAGTAATACAGTTTAGTCAACCTCTGCTTAGTGATGGTCAATCCTTCCCATGGGACTTGGGACACTGGTGGTTGATGGCTATTCTAGTTAGGCTACTTAGCAATAGTTCAGATCATACCGTATGGCATAGTTACAATTGCAATCCTCATATACAGGAAAGCAAAACAGATTCATGTGGGTTCACTTCTTCAGTCTTCTATCGCTGTTCAGTTGATAGGTGATCACATACACAGTTCATCAGTGTTTATTTGAATAACAAATACATACAATATCTAGCATATATGTAGCTATAAAGCCATATCTAGCTATATAGCCTATCAACGTCAGTAAGACCAAGGAGCTGATCGTGGACTACAGGAAATGGAGGGGCGAGCACGCCCCCGTCCACATCGACAGGGCTACAGTGGAGCGGGTCGAGAGCTTCAAGTTCTTCGGTGTCCAAATCACTAAGGACTTAAAATGGTCCACACTTACGCAAACAGTCGTGAAGAAGCCGCGACATCACCTATTCCCCCTCAGGAATGGAAGGACCTATACATATCTACCCCTACCACTCCAGTATCCCTGCACATTATAAATATGGTATTGGCACTGACCCTGTATACACTGAGCATACCAAAAATTGAGTTGCACAGCCCCCCTTTAGCCTCAATTCATCGGGGTATGTACTCTACAAGGTGTCGAAAGCGTTCCACAGGGATACTGGCCCATGTTGACTCCAATGCTTTCCACAGTTGTGTCAAGTAGGCTGGATGTCCTTTTGGTGGTGGACCATTCTTGATACACACGGGAAACTGTTGAGCATGAAAAACCCAGCAGCGTTGCAGTTTTTGACACAAACATACTACCATACGCCATTCAAAGGAACTTTAATATTTTGTCTTGCCAATTCACCCTCTGAAAGGCACACTCACACAATCCATGTCTCAATTGTCTTAAGGCTTGAAAATTATCCTTTAACCTGTCTCCTCCCCTTCATCTACACTGATTGAAGTGGATTTAACAAGTGGCACCAATAGAAAATTTAGCTTTTGTAGCACACGGGATGGTAGATATAGAAATAACTACTAGATTGATGCAAATAATATTCATATCAATTCTCGTTGCCTCTTCAGAAAGTTGCAGGAAATACGAATCACTTATGCATTCTGTTCATGTCTTAAGATAAACTTGGAAAAATGAATTAATTTTCAATACATTTAGTTGATTCCCTACCAAGTTCAATACATTTTAGAATATTGTTGAATTCCATTTTAATGTCTGGATTCTGTGATTCCGTCCGTGTCCTCCACATCGCTGATTTTATAGGGCCCTACTCTTAGGACCAGCGGTGTAAATGGAGGTCAAGTTTACATTTACATTTACATTTTAGTCATTTAGCAGACGCTCTTATCCAGAGCGACTTACAGTTAGTGAGTGCATACACTTTTTTTGTTTTGTTTTTTCATACTGGCCCCCGTGGGAATCAAATCCACAACCCTGGCGTTGCAAACGCCATGCTCTACCAACTGAACTACATCCCTGCCGGCCATTCCCTCCCCTACCCTGGACAACGCTGGGCCAATTGCGCGCCGCCCCATGGGTCTCCCGGTCGCGGCCGGCTACGACAGAGCCTGGATTCGAACCAGGATCTCTAGTGGCACAGCTAGCACTGCGATGCAGTGCCTTAGACCACTGCGCCACTCGGGAGGTTGGGGACCTCGGGAAGTTGTGGGGTCATTGGCAGCATTCCGTTGCCGTACCTGTCTACGAGGACCAGGTCGTCTCTGAGCAGGGCACACTTGGTCTTGGGCCAAAAGACTCGGACCAGGCAGCCTGCGTCCAGACTCTCGTCCATGTGTAGTGCGTGACCCAGCTGGTTCACAGTCTAGAAAGAGAGAAGAAGTCACAGTATCATTTACTGGATTTCAATCAATCTCAAACTTTGCTTGCCTGACAATTTGTATGTAATGTTCAATGGCAGAATCAAATATAGTTATTTTTTCTCAAACAACCAGAGTAGAGGTGCTATTAAATAAAAAAATACTGCACGTGAAGGAGAGGCATCTCTTTCCATTAAAAAAATACTGTTCGATAACACAAATTCTACAAATGCTAATGCTCTGGTCCCCTGGACGCAGATGTGTAAACATTTCATTTGTTTGAGTGTTAAAATCAACTGGAGGAAAAGTATCAATGCTGATTTCTTTCTAAATTTTTCTTACAATGGTTCTAAAGGTCTCTACAGCATTTTCCAATAGACAGTGGACTATATCATGGCTAATAGGTTTAGGCTGAGGGTAGCTTTAGCTTAGATCTCTGTATTATGGATAGCTTCCATACAGGGTTCAAGCGTGATGCGCCCAGAAAAGTGTACTGCCACTACATCGAGTCACTATAATGTCCATTCTTTAATGCTTTCCTTGTACCTATGTTTGTCCTGTGTTACTGCAGGGTTTTGGTTGGGTGTTGAAATCCATAGTTTTTTAAATATTTTTCCAATGTAGTAGAAAGTTACGTCTTCAAGCGTGGACTACCACTCGATACTTATAAAAATATCCATTAGTTAACGTTTACTGTTTACCTGTGCCTGTCCTGATTGCTTTAACCTTATCTAGACTAAATTTGTTTAATGATTAATTGCTTAGTCAGAAATCAAATCAAAACAAAACGTGACTGTGAGGGTACACTTTATGAGTGGTAAAACGAGTTAATCTTCAAGTAACCCATTTCCAACCTCACTGAGGATGTTTTGCCTACTGAATGAGTGGTAATAAGAGCTAGCCTAATCTTCCATGCATCTAGGCCTATGCCAGTATATCCACATCATCTCCAGTGAACTTACCTTGATGCTCTTCTCCTCCTCTGAGCCCTCGGTCTTGAGGTAGGCGTGGTCCGCGTCCGTGCCCTCCACACTCAGGAAGCAGTTGGTGGTGTGACCCATGCCACTGGGCAGCACCCGGTCCCTCAGCATGGCATTAACCACTGTACTCTTCCCATTACTCGTCCTAGGCACAGAAGATCATGTAAGAGGAAGTCTAACTACTATTATTTTACCTCATACATACAATCTCAAAGAACCTCTAATCAAAGTCAGGAATGAATTATTACAGAAATGTTGGCCAGATGTGATTTACTGGATAATGAATAGGCAGTTATGTAACGTTGAATCATGTCCAATAGCTAGTTTGTATGTATACACAAAGGTTGAGACTTTTCAAAAAGAGGATTGGTTTTGTAAGATTTTATCTGTGGGAGTGGAGCCGTTTCAATGCAGGTGTGCTAGGATTGGGCGATATACCGTATACCGGGGTATTTCGAAATACAGACGGTATTATTTTCAATACCATAAAAAAGAAAGTACTTTTTTGGGGGATTGGGGACACTCCTGCCACGCAGGGGCTGTGGAGGTGCGTACTACGCCACTGCTTATAACTATGAGTTAAGTATATCTATAAGAAATCTAAGACGTGTCAAATAGCTAAGTGGCAAGATCTCAAGAGAAAGCTTCTTGGTTACAGCAGAGACAGCATAAAATTGTTTTGTGCGTCACCCCAAAAAAATAGCACCCCTTGTGTGCACTTCCGGTAATACCGTATACTCCGGTGTGACGGTATGAACATCTGGATACCGCCCATCCCTAAAGTCAGGGCCGGTCCTTGCCATTCTGCCACCATTGGCGAGACCCGAAAATGACACCCCTCGCAAAACTACAATAGTCCCAGTAAGCAAAATGACGTTGAAAAGATATCTAAAATACATATTTTCCAGACATTGAAGTTTGGTTCAATTTAGGGCGGCAGGTAGCTTAGTGGTTAAGAGCGTTGTGCCAGTAACCGAAAGGTCGCTGGTTCTAATCCCCGAGCCGACTAGGTGAAAAATCTGTCGATGTGCCCTTGAGCAAGGTACTTAACCCTAATTGCTCCTGTAAGTCGCTCTGGATAAGAGCGTCTGCTAAATGACAAAAAAAAGAAAAAAAATAAAGAAAGAAAGGTGAAAAGGTATTTTTCGTATGTTGAAAATATGTATTTTTCAGATGTTGAAATCAGGCTCATTTTTGGTTCTGAATGAAAGTTGAAAATAAGTAATTTATAGACGTCTATGTTTGGGCCAAATCAAGGCTGGTCCTGACCGGAAAAAAATCTGAACCAAACATAGACATCTATGATGGACCGGACCAAAAATCTATGTCCGTGGACGTTGAAATCAAGGCAGGTCTGGACCACACCAAATATAGATGTCGCACAATTGGCCCAGCGTCGTCCGGGTTTGGCCAGGGTAGGCCGTCATTGTAAATAAGAATTTGTTCTTAACTGACTTGCCTAGTTAAATAAAAATGTTAAATATGTTTGGTTCAGATTTGGTCCGGACCAGACCAAAAACCAATGTCTGTGGATGTGTAAATCAAGGCCGGTCTGGAACTACACCAAAAAAAGACATCCAAAAGGCGTCGGGCATCGGTCCGTGCTTACTGAGGTGTAGCCTACAGTGTTGCCTGAAATTGAATTTTATGAATGCCCATTTATGTGGTAAGCCTACCATTTGTAAAACACCAAAAAACAGCGTCTGGACAGGACCAAAAAAATATGTCCAAAAGGCGTCGGCTCGTGCATACTGGGCTGTAGCCTACAGTGTTGCCTGCAATGGAATTTTATGAATACCCATCCATGTGGTAGGCCAACCATTTGTAAAACAGGCCATTGCATTGGCTTTATCAGTCCTGATTCTTGTGACTAATCAATTTGGCTATTTAAGCTCTGAATATCAACTACCCAACTTTATCAGGAGTTATCGCAAGCCTATTTGCAACGTGTTTACACAGCGGGAAATGCAAAAGTATTTTATATTTAGCTATGATCAGCTTGTCAAAAACTGACGGAATCAAACTTGAAACCACTGATCATGACAATGAGGTGAAACTCCTGGACAACAGTTGTGATTGTCCATTCCATATTGTCCATTTTACTTTGACCTGTCCTGTTTTTAGGATATGTTGTTTGTTAACATGACAGCTCATTTTTTCTTTGATTGAGCGCCATTTGGGTTAGGCTATTTGATCGGAGAAACCTGCATGATGTAAATAGTGTCCCTTTCATTACATTGTCATACATTTTATCTCCAGCCTGTAGGCTACAGAAAAGGCCACATACTCTTTCTACTATATCCTATATCTGCTACATGATTTATGTTAGATGATATTTTTGACGGAACGTTGGTGGTGTGCTGCAGAGACGCGTCTCCCCAACAGCACCCTGGAGAGGCACGCTGGGAACGGACAAGCAAAATATTTTGTGCCCCTGCCTTTGACAAAGTGGGTACTGCTTATCAAAGCGCTCACCTAAAAAGCCCTTATGCCACTGGTTGAGAGACATTGTCATGGTTTTTGGACAGAATTATGTGAGGTTTTATGTGTTGTTGGAGGTACGTCTTAGTCAGTTTAGCTCAGGAAATGCCGCCCTCGTCAATCTGCCGCCTAATCCTGCCTAATGAGCGGGCCGGCCGTGCCTAAAGTGTGCTTCAATGAACCAGCAATAAAAAGGAAACTGAAAGCTAAGTTGCACATCACACTTTCTTCATCATCCTCAATTAGCAATGCTGAAAGCGTGGGAAATAAGCATCTACTACAGTACAATACAGTGCTTTGTATCCATGGTGTAATAAGAATAATCTTAACTGATCAATAAAAGCAAAACTCGATGTCATGATGCATTGATCTCTGCTCAACTGCGGTTGTGCGCTATCTAGACACATTTCTTTTCTAGCCTCTAAGCTGTGTACTAGGGATTTGACAAATGGATAATTTTGCTTAAAGTTTCAAATGGCCCAAAAAAATCCACGTCAATTTACAATGCCGAATAATGGTCAGATTACGTATGTATGACCGCTAAGGCCGGGCAATGAAGTTATATCTACTACCACCCTTTACAGACATAGAATGCAGCTACAGTAACATGTCGTTAGCAACAATTGAGGTCTGTACAGTAGAATTCTGCTCCAGCGTAAATCTTCTGTAACAATAAACGTTGCTGACTGGTCTGCTGCTGTGTTGTTTTTATGCCGTTGTTTATGGTATGGTAGCTAGATGTGTTATATTTCTACTCAATGTTTTGGTACTTTTTTGGGAGAGAGTGGTCTGCGCGCAGGCAGCAGGCTTGGCGCAGCAGCTTGAAATTATTTGACTGACAGTTCTGGTTGTCTATTGATGGACTTTAATATCTGTTAATATCACCAGAGAAGGTTTCGTGTCCGCATTAAAAAAACTGTAGTGTAGCCTACCCCAACAGACAGACAAACAAACATACCATTGCTGAGGCCCTTTCAAGGGGCCACATTTCATTATGTCTGAAAAAACGTAATCGATACAGGCTACCAGTAGTCTACTGTAATTTTATGAGGCAAAAACTAAGTAGGCTACCCTTTGCTCGCAAGACTGGCCCGAAGACATCGGTGCCATGAATAGGCTAGGATATTCTACACACAACAGACCGAAGACTGAACACACTTGCATCATTAGCAGGCAGGCCAGCAAGAGGGAGAGAGGCAGAAGAAGGCAGAAACGTGCTCATATGTTTTAGTAATCTGCATCTCGCAATGTCTTGTCTTGCAAATTCACCAAGTAGCCTAAAGTTTGCCTCTTCCTATCTGGTTTTATTTGAATTACACAACTTCCCCAGGCCTTTATAGCCTATCAGCTATAACACGTAAAATAATATGTTTTGTGATAACTGAACTGTGATTTTAATTAAGTGGGGGAAAAAACAACGGATTACGGATTTTTCTTAAAGTTAAGGATCCCAACTTCGTGTACTGTGTACACTACACTCAAACTAAGCATATGCAAAACGGTGGAGAAATCAAAATGCATTCGACTACACTTATTTACCTGCCAAAGAAGGCCACCTTCATGTGTCTGCGTGCCAGCACATCTTTGATAGTTTGCAGTTTGCCAGCATACGCCTGAATCTGCTCCTGTTGGTTATGACTTGCAATGTTCTCCAAGGCTTCATTCTGACACGTTTCTGACAATCACACAACAAGGAAAAGTGAGAAGAGAACAGTGTACTCACGACATAAGAAAAAGCACTTCCACATTTTATTACTTAGCCTACTTTGGCATTGAAATGTTGCCAACACACCTGATTTACTATACACACTCACCTTCTACAAACAATGAGCCTTCCTTCACATACTCCAGCAGTTGCTCAAACACATCACAGATCTTCTTTTTGGCCACTACAAAGTGTTTGAGTGGAGAGAAGTTCCCCTGAGCCGAATCCATGCTTCAGCTTTCTGATCTTGAAGAAAGTACGCAAATTACAAAGGTGGAATGTTTGTCATACTTTGTGCACTATCAAATGGAACCTCATATATACACTATAAGTTGTCCTTATCCCCAATATGGACATGTCTGTTACTTGACATATTCAATAGCCCTAGTGCCCGAGTATGTGCCTTAACCAGGACAAATGCTAGATACTTAGAAAGAGCATATTATCATTACTTTCCCCAGAAACACACACCTTGCTAACTGAAATGTAGACAGCAACACAACTTCAAAATAGCTATAATAATTAAATGTCAGCCTTCATGAGTCGTATACCTGTGACTATTCATTACATGCACGTGGAGAAAACTTGCTTGCTTCCCACAAAAACGTGCAACTAGTGTTGTGTTATGAAAGCAATAAACGTATGTATGAAACAGTTGACTAGCTACTGTACTTGTCTGGCTAGCAAATAAAAAAAACACTGTGGTTGGCTACAAAAAATCCCATCAGTTGACAAACATTACCCACTAGCTAAAGCACGAGTAATCGTACACTGACAAGACAGATATTGTATTATTACACATGTCAACAAACATCTTTAGCTAGCTAGCCACTTTCAGCTAAAGATGTTTGTTGACATGTGTCATACAATATCTAACTAGCTAGTTAGCTAGCTATACTAGATAGTTGCACCGTTAGCTAACTAGCTAGCAAGTCATTAGCGGAAGCAAACTACCCAAGATTAACATATCTTTACATAAACGATGTTATTTGTTATATCACATTACTAGCTAACTAGCAACTTCGTGTGTTACTTCGCATTATTGAAATGCATGTGTTTTGTAACGCGTATCATGCCCTCGTGTCAGCTATCTACTGTAACGTAGCTAGCTATCTTCATGAATAATTATGTTAGTCCTTTGAATTCCCCTTACCACAACTTCAGGCGAGATGGCCAAAGCTACCTTTTCATACCACAGACAGGGGTAAATCCTCTTGCTGACAATGAATAGTCAATATTTGGTAAAGTTACTAATACAGGTCTCTAGCTAACCTTTCATCTGTTATTCTGTCCCAGCAGCAGCTCCTAGCGGTTAGGACAAAGGGGCGGGGCTATCGGTCAACGAGTTGTCGTCTGACCATGAGACATCCAATCAATGGCCAAAAAATGTTGACAACCCCTTGGTGTCCCCCTCTTCCAGGGTTGCCAGGTCTGTTTCAAATTTCTAGCCCAATGATCGCTCAAAACCCACCCAAAAGGACTGAAAAAAATTGGCCAAAAAACAATTCACAGCAAGAGAGGAGTTGCCATATTTATACAATAAACCCTATTTCCATAACCTTATTGACCCAATTAAGAAGGAATATCGTACTTGTAACGACGTTAGAAGCAAAATTCCGTTTCCCTCAAAATAATAATTATTGCAAGCTATGACATGATGTAATAAAGGTATTTGAATATGTCGCAAGAGAAAATATCATTCGCCCTTATTAAACTTGCCAAATCATTTTCCATCAATGGATGTCGATTTAACTCATTTGACTGCAATGATTAAACAATAAATGCACAAGGGGTATGGTATATGGCCAATATACCACGGCTAAGGCTTAAGCATGAGCAACAGGGAGTGACTGGATACAGCCGTTAGCCGTGCTATATTGGCCATATACCTCAAACCCCCGGGGTACCTTATTGCTATTATAAACTGGTTGCCAACGTAATTAGAAGAGTCAAAACAATTTTGGGGTCATACCCGTGGTACATGATCTGATATACTATGGCTTTCAGCCAATCAGCATGCAGGGCTCCAACCAGGTTTATAATTGTAAATAAATCCCATTTGCACACGTGCATAACTATAGATAAATCCGTCAGGAGAGTTTGAGTGATGAAAGTTGGACAGAGGATCTCCAAATCTCTGAGGAAGAAACACTTGGACGAACATAAAAAAACGAATGTTAGGCAATTTTCTGGCAATTGTGCTGTTATTATGTGTTATTATTATTATAGATGTTAAGACTACAAACCGTTATAAATGGCCCATTTGCGAGATTAATTTGTCATTTCAATAGGCATAGGCTACAGACTAAAATCTGGGTTTATGATTGTAATTCAATTTTGCCATGGTTTGCTTAGATAAAGGCAGGTAGTCTATAGCCCCTGATAGGTCTACATCGCATTTCAGATAGTCTACAGTAGTCTAGACAACATGTGATCCTGTAGCTCAGCTGGTAGAGCACGGCGCTTGTAACGCCAGGGTAGTGGGTTCAATCCCCGGGACCAGCCATACACAAAAATGTATGCACGCATGACTGTAAATCGCTTTGGATAAAAGCGTCTGATAAATGGATTATTAATATGTAAACTGAACGATTTAGCAGTTTGCTTAGTTCAAATTAACAGACGAATTTATTAAATAGCGAGGCGATTTACGGGTAAGAAGTGCTTGTGTTTCCCAATAGGCTACTGAGGATGGGGTCATTATTAATAATATGTATATGAACTGAATATGCTTGTCAACAACAGCCAGTGTTTTTTTGTTTTTTTAAATCAAATTGACCTGTAGCCTAATCTGACTACTGTTACCGTCAATCTTATAAATTCTAACAACTGATCGGCAATTGCGAAAGAGGTTTGATAACTTCCAATTTATTTAACTAAACATGTCCATTAATAATTGCATAATAATATAAGGCTACAACAACAATAAATTGAAGTTATAGGCTATTTATTAAATTGGTTTGCCAGCTCCAGGTAGGCTACAGTGATATCGTCATTTCAACATATTTATTGTATTAAATGGTAGCCTACAATGGCATATAAATTAATAGGCCACTTGATGGCCAACAGAGGCAAATGTATCACTCTCCACATTTAATGTCAGTTTCATTGAAGACTTTTCCCCATAAAAAGAACCACGCGAGGGAATTCCATAACTTCCATTTCAAATGTTCATTCGGGCAGCCCCCGAGACCCAAGAACTGATCATGCATAAAACACTTCGCTTGATACCCTTTTCTTTAAGCAAAGTCAACATTAGAATGCAGTTTAAACCACCTACAAGCGAATTTATGTAATGCGCTCTAGTGCGCCCAATGTCGTTGTCCAGTGCTTTGTCTCCATTATTTCTTGATGTGCATCAGTTCTAGCGTATTAATATGTTCTACGAAAAAAGGTTTGGAAATAGGTGCCTCCATAATGAAAATCTAAATAGGCAACCTACAACTGGTTTAAAAAAAGTTGTCTCGACGTGCGCGCGTGCTGCTCTCGCTCCTCTCGCTCACGTGACTCAGCCAATAGCTGTAGCGCTCTCTCAACACAAACAAAAGTCTGCACCTTGACTTTTGACAATGCTTATAGAAGTATGTTTCAAAACGTATAAGACTACTAAAGGCGGGAATGTACCCATATTAAAGGTGCTACACTAGGTGAATTGCAACAGCAAATCTCCCCATTCCCCCGCATCCCATTTCCCATAACATGGGGGAGACTCAACCTTGAGCCTTTTACTTTTGGTTCACAAGCTTTAAAGATCTGTAAAAGCGATATTTTTTGTAATATAAAAAAATATTTCACAGCGATTTAGAAGGTACAATGATTCCCTACTATATTCAGTGCTTGTTATCTCACATAAACTGAAATGTTATGCAACCTGGAAATGACAGAGCTATTTCCACTAAATAACACAGCCACAAAGTCAAAACAGATGCCAGTCCAGCGGCAGAAATGAATAGGCCAATATCACAGCCAATCACAACACTGGCGGATAAGTAATACTGTGAAACACTCAGTGGTGGAAAAAGTACCCAATTGTCATACTTGAGTAAAATTAAAGATACCTTAAAAGAAAATGACTCAAGTAAAAGTGAAAGTCACCCAGTGAAATACTACTTGAGTAAAAGTCTAAAAGTAGATGGTTTTAAATGTACTTAAGTATCAAAAGTAAATGTAATCGCTAAAATATACTTAAGTATCAACATTTACGGACACCCAGGGGCACACTTCAACACTCAGACATCATTTACAACTGAAGCATTTGTGTTTATTGAATCTTCCAGATCAGAGGCAGTAGGGATGACTGGGGATGTTCTCTTGATAAGTGTGTGAATTAGACAATTTACCTGTCCTGCTTATCACGTTTCAGGAGAAGACCCAGATACAAAAGTTTATTACAAAAACAGGGAGCAGGCAAACGACAGGTCAAGGACAGGCAGAGGTCAGTAATCCAGATCAGAGTCCAAAAGGTACAGAACAGCAGGCAGTCTCAGGGTCAGGGCAAGCAGAGGTCAATAATCCAGGGTAACTCAGTTGGTAGAGCATGACACTGGCAATGCCAGGGTTGTGGGTTCGTTTCCCAAGGGGGGCCAGTATGAAAATGTATGCATTCACTAACTGTAAGTCGCTCTGGATAAGAGCATCTGCTAAATGACTAAAATGTAAAAATGTACAGAACGGCAGGCAGGCAGAATCGGGCGACACCTGGAGGGGGGTGGAGACAATCACAAAGACAGGTGAAACAGATCAGGGTGTGACAGTACCCCCCCCCCCCCACCCCCCCTTTAGGGGTGCCACCTGGCGTCCTACCTGGGCGCATACCTGGTTGACCGGGGTGCCGGCGTTGAAACTCAGCGATGAGGCCTGGGTCCAGGATGTCCAGCTGGGGACCGTGTGAACGGAAACTTGGGAGAGGTGAGTGCAGACAGGGGGGAAGCCAGGGTGCTGTAACCCCGGATAAAGTGGCGATTAAAGTTGGTGAATCCCAGGAAACGTTGCAGCTGCACTATGCTGGGGCCAATCTCACCTTCCCGGGATCCATCTGTACACTCCCTGCAGCGATGATGTAGCCCAGGAAGGGGATGATGGACCGATGGAATTCGCATTTCTCCGCTTTCACAAAAAGCTGGTAGTCCAGGAGGCATTGGAGGGCCTGTCGGACGTGGAGCACGTGTTCTTGGGCGGAGCAGGAGAAGACGAGGATGTCGTCGAGGTAGACGAAGACGAACCGGTTCAACATGTTGGAGAACATTATTAACCAGAGCCTGGAACACAGCTGGAGTATTGATAAGGCCAAATGGCATGACCAGATACTCGTAATGACCGCTGGCTGCGTTGAAGGCAGTCTTCCACTCGTCCCCCTACCGTATCCGCACCAGGTGGTAGGTGTTCCTTAGGTCCAGCTTGGAGAACACGTTGACCCCCTGGAGCGGCTCGAAGGCAGAGGAGATGAGTGGTAGCGGGTAGCGGTTCTTCACCGTGATGTCGTTGAGGCCCCGGTAGTCGATGCACGGGCACAGGGTTTTGTCCTTCTCCACAAAGAAGAACCATGCGCCGGCGGGGGAGGCAGAAGGACGGATGAACCCGGCAGCTAGGGAGTCTTCAATGTAGGTCTCCATAGCCTTGGTGTCCGGACCTGACAGCGAGTACAGTCAACCCCGGGGCAGAGTGGTGACTGGGAGAAGGTCGATTCCGCAGCCGTAGTATCGGTGCGGTGGAAGCAAAGTGGCCCAGGCCTTACTGAACACCTCCTGGAGGTCCTGGTACTCTGCAGGAATGGCGGAGAGGTCCGAGGCAACTTCCGAGCCCTCAGGAAGACATCCCGGGGCAGGCTGCGCTGACTTCAGGCAATGAGCGTGGCAGAACGGGCTCCAGCCCATGATGGCACCAGTAGACCAGTCAATAAAGGGGTTGTGTCGCTGGAGCCAAGAGAAACCCAATACCACGGGAACCTGAGGAGACTTAATTAGCAGGATTTGGATCGTCTCGCTGTGGTTCCCATATACTCGTAGGTTGATGGGGGTGGTATTGTGGTTGACCCGGCCTATAGAGCGCCCGTCCAGCGCTCTAACGTCCATGGGAATGAAGAGGGGATGAGTGGGCATGCCCAGCTCGGACGCCAGGGTAGCGTCCATAAAGCTCTCAACAGCGCTTCCGGGTTCCAGGCATTGGAGTATCGAAAAACCTTCTTTACCTCCTGCATGAACTCCTCCAGACTGAAGCATATGGCCGACTGTTGTTCCCACACTGTCGTAGCCCAGATGAGAGCCCTCCCGGACATCAGCGTGATGAGGTACGCTATCTTAGAGCA